TGTAAATAAATTTGTTTTGTTTTGTTGATTTTTTGAGCCTGGATTATCTTAATGAAGAAGTCTAGACAGATTTACTGGATGAAATATTGGAATTCACTTGGTATTGTTGTTTACTTGGATCTTCCTATTGAGGTTTAGGATTATAATTGATCAGTCTGTTATTGACATATGTGCATACTGTGTGTATTGTTTCAATATTGTCTTAATTCACAAGGATTATAAAGAAAGATGGTTAGTGGCTAACATTGAAATCCAGGACGCACGTTTCGTCCTATTTACGACTTGTCAGTTGGATGTACCTGGATCTCGGAGTTGATATTCACTCATGAAATCGAACCCAGTACTGTTCACTTCAAACACCATCGCTTTATCTACTTAGCTACTGATTCCTGATAGCAACTTGCTTGTGCAATGGGTGAATTGTAAATTCACTTGATATTGTTTGCTTGTATCTTCCCATTGTTGTTTAGCACTGTAATTGGTCAGTTTCTTATCAGTATATATACATCTTGTGCGTATCGCTTCGATATTATTTTAGTTCAGAAGCATTCTGAGCAAAGATGCATAGTGTCTAGCAGTGGAATACTAGATGTGCGTTTCATCTGAAATAGGACGCGCTTCTTGGATTCTACTGATAGCCACTATCCATAATTTTCGTATAATATAAACTATATTGTTTGCTTGTTTGTTTATAAACCTTGTAATTTTGTTAATTTCTTAACTTTCAAGTATAAAACTTATATGTAAAGTGATGAAGATTTGTAGCTGAAGTGGATGATCTTGATGGAGTTTTGTTCTCTAAACTGACACTTCCTATAGATATATATTTGTACGAGAAATTTATTATTATAATTTGTGGGCCTTATACTCCTCTTAATCGATAACGCAATGATACCGGTAATTAGTGAAACAGTGATTTGTCGATTGGACAAATAGCGCGTAAACCAGTCTAGAGTGCTAATCGATCTTTGCTTTCCGCCTAGCACAGACTCTTAGAGGCCACAACACCAATCTCAGCCTCCACCATATGAATCATGTATTTCAAACATACTGAGTTTAAATATCAACCAAACAGACTACATCACACCATAAAATACTTACTTACTTACTTACGCCTGTTACTCCTCGTGAAGGAGCATAGGCCGCTCACCAGCATTCTCCATCCAACCCTGTCCTGGGCGATCCTTTCTAGCTCCTTCCAGTTCCTATTCATCCTTTTCATATCTGCTTCTATTATCCGAGTTTATATATCAACCAAACAGACTACATCACACCATAAAATACGAAACATCATTTGTACAAGATATACACAAATGTGACTGTGAATGTGGGAGACTGTAATTGACAGACTAGGCACAACTCAAGAATGGTAAATCATATCATCATATTCTATGGGTCAAATGGAAGTTCATAATAAGAGGAATATGAATATGTAGATAGTTTAGTTCCATAAGAGTTACATAATAAGAATATATGTATTGTATTTAATGCATAAATCGATTCCAACAGTTACCACCATTTATTATTCTCGCCTGGATGTTACAGGGTTTTTCCCTCAAGCTAGAAAAGAATACCCATACCATAGTCTTCATAAAACTACACACCTTAAATACGATGTTCACGAAAAGTCTTTTCTAATGCTACATGGAATCTTGAAAACTACATTCCTGATTATATGTTTCTATCTAAATACCTGAGAGTACGTCTGTTAATGATGATGAGTGACGCAGTTATGTGCTTTCCTCAATGTATGTCCTTTCAATTTCAGCGCTTCTTCTTGATTTATTCCTCCATTGGGGTCTGGTTATGTATCGTATTTAGTGCATAAATCGATCCCAACAGTTACCAGTCTACATTATCCTCATTGGGATATATCATTTATAAAGGATGAACTAACTTGACATATAAAGATAATTAAACTTTGTTGTATTTGTTTAATGGAAATATTTAATTTATTAAACTAAATATAAAATGACCCATTTGAACTTATTCATAATAAAGTTTGATGTCAAGTTATCTAATTATTATCAACATAATGTATCTATTGTATGAACTCTATTGTAATTATCTCTTGATTAGGACATTATATTATACATCAATCATTATGACAGTTTTATTTAGAATTTCAATGATCTTTAGTTTTGTTAGAAATATGAAGGCGGTTATTATTTCCCGGTTGTCCACACCGTGGGAAAAGTTCTTCTACAGGTATCTGAAAAGCAAATTGAGTTAGGAGTGATCTTAGTGACCTTAGAGCATCACAATTGATTGATCACTGGGTGGAGATCAATGTCATTCTTGTCTAGTCCTTATGAGTGCAGATCGAATGCTACCGATCATGTTGCAATGTGGCCACCAGTCTAGGTGACTCGACACTGCGGGCACTACTATCTACCATCTAAGACCTTAGAGCATGCCTGCAGTGTCAAAGGGACAACTGCTTGAGGTCAATTAAACACGACATTCCTGTCAGTAATTTCCGTGTTAGTTCCGTATTTGTTCAGACACTACCACCACAGATGGATATCCGTGGGTTAAGGTGAGGTGTGCATTTTCAGAGTTGATGTTTTCTAATCCTACCTTTCCTTTGTGGGAGGGCAGCATTGCTGTTATGCTAGTTGTGTGAAGGAAACACCCTACTCCCATCATACCTCGGATGTTGGGTTCTTCTGTATTTAGTCTTACCGCTCTTCAACCGATCTGTCTGGCACGGTAGGATCTTGAGGAACGATTGTTCTAACTGGTATAGCTCGATTGGTTCATTAAAGTAGGCAAGCCCGACCACTAGCGGTTGCGACATAAACCAGTGCATCATCTTTCACTAGTGAGAGGAAATTTCCGTAGTTCTAGTATTAAACTGTAGCATTTGTATATTGAAGACAATAGAAGATGATCGGGCAATATCATGCATTGGTTGAAGTTAGACATTAACACCGTCGAATGATGGCTTAGCGGTCTAGAGGTTAACTGTTTGTGCGCAATACTGAATATTCTGGGTCCGAGTATCGGGTGTGGAATCGTGAGTGTGCACATACTAGAAAGAAACAGCTATCCACTCTTCTCAAGTTTTCAATGATTGTTCAACATTGATCAGTTCATGATTTCAATGAAATTTTCTAAAGTTTAAATAGTAAGGGGGAATTGGTTTAGTCAATCAAATCTAGAGCGAAACATTAACTCTGCTATCATTTTAAATAATGATCGTATTTCATGACACAATAACGGAAATATAACATTATATGCCATAGAGCTTCAGCTCACTATTTAAGTACTGCTTTAATCACTAAATTATCCATATTCGATGTGTTTTTTTCACAGAATGAATATACAGTACCAATAACACGATGCATTTTCATTATGGGATTGTAGAGACTATTGAATTTCATTCAAACCATAAATCAATCAATGTAGGACAATCATTGAAAACTCCAAATAGACAGGATAGCTATTTCTTTCTAGTATGAGTTTACTCAGTAGTGCGAACTCACGAACCCACATGCGATACTCGGACCCGAAATACTCGGTATTGAGCACGAACAGTGAAATTGTAGATCACTGAACCATTATCCAACGGTGTTGTTATCTAACTTCAACCAATCCACAATATTTTCCGACTATCTTCTATTGTCTTCGATGGGTAACTGTTTCACGTTTGACACAGTTAATCTCAAGATTTCCGTTGAATAATATAGTCGAAAATGTATATTGTATAAATGACTTAAACTAAATGAAATAGCTTTCTATTTCCTCTTAATTTATGAAGCTTTTCTAGATTATCACAAAACATTTTAATACAAAACATCTAGTTCGAGACCCTTATGTTATAGCTGTATACACACAAATACTACCCTAATTATATCATTCTTTTTATTACTGGAACAATAAGTTGATACGTAAGTTATTGTAGTGGGTCTATTTATCCCCTTCATATTTGCCAAATCTTTTTACTTGACTGGAATACCGTAATGTTATAACATTATAGTTTGTGCTGATGATGTTGTTCAGAAGAACGATGAAAGCTCCACGACTAAAGCATCCATCAACATTATAACATTGAATTTTCCTTTTCCATAAATTTGACATTGTAGCCTCCTTTTAAAGAGGATACTAAGTTCAAAAGCTGTATCCTATGACTTAGAACGATCTCATAGTCTTAATGAACTACTTAACTTATATTATTATCACTTTAATAAATTCAGTTGTCTTCCATAAATGAAAAGTATTGTAGAAACCCTCAACGTACTATAGCATTAAAGAGTAACAATGTGCACTAGTTTAATATGACTTGTGTAGAAAAGATATGACATCTAACATTCCAAAACATTCCTGACGTTGTAGTTGAGGTCTCCTGTCAACAGTGAATAACAAAGACAACTCTCTGCTTATAAGATTGACAACTATTGTTCATTTACTTACTTACGCCTGTTAATCTCAATGGAGCATAGGCCGCCGAACAGCATTCTCCAACCCACTCTGTCCCCGGCCTTACTTTCTAGTTCTATCCAACTGTTGTTTGTTCTTTTCATATCTGTCTCCATTTCTCGGCGTAAAATTTTCTTGGTTATTCCACTTCTCCTATGACCTTAAGGATTGCAAGTGAGGGCTTGACTTGTAACACAGTTCGGTGCTTTCCTCAATGTATGTCGAATGCCACTTACAGCACTTCTTTCTAATTTCTTCCTCCACTAAGATCTGGTTTGTTCTCACCGACAGTAGGTTGTTGCTGATAGTGTCTGACAACTGTTAATAAACACTTGTATCTTCCGGATGATGGTTTTCGTACTTCTCCAAGTTTTCACCCCATACACATTAGAGCTGTCATGACATTTGTATTGAAAATTCTGACCTTGGTGTTGGTGAAAACTTTGCTTAATAATACTGTACTCTAAACTGTTATTTATCTTTATGTATTTTGGTTGAGTATTATACTTCGAATTACTATCACTACTATTACGTAATCGTTCTTCTTCTTGTTTGTTTGTTTGTTTTTTCTTCTACAGTTTACAGTTTTGTATTGGCAAATGCACGTATTGTTGATTATCCAATTGTTTATTGTAATGAAGGTTTCTCTCGATTAACTGGTTATAGTCGTGTAGAAATTATGCAAAAAAGTGGAAGTTGTGCATTTTTCTATGGTGAACAAACAACAAAAGATATGCGTGAACGTTTATTAAAAGCATTAGATACTCAAACACCGGATCAAATTGAAATGTTATTTTATAAAAAAAATCGTAAGTATTTAATATACTACTGATATATATATATAGCAGGATTGCCACTTGCTTCTATTCTGAGCCATATCTGATAACGTTTCTAGCCATTGTGTTACACCATCTCTAGGATTCTAACCAGAGAGTCGTGAAAGATCGACAGAAGTTAGTCCTGTACAACATTCTTTCATACCGCGACACCATGACATACATTGATCACCTCCGCCTCGGCAAATAATGCACGACGTGGAATCCTCTGGGACGACATTCGTAGAACATGTCCTACACACCGAAGTCAATGTTTCAAAATAGTGACCTAAAACACGATGCTGAACCTGTGCATTACTAATATGGTGTTGTCATTGGATGTCAACAGTCCTTCGGAGACAACAATGATTAAACGCATAGATTCGTCTAACATCCTCAACTAGCAGAGGCCCAGTTTCACAAGCATAAAGCTCTCACCGGCGCTTTGTAGATCTGACTATATATATATAGTGTGTGTGTGTTTTGATAATTCTTTGATTTTTGTGTTAATATTAGTTCAGTTGGAGGTTAAGTACTCTCTATTGTATTGTTTCCTAGGTGTCAACATTTGTGTAATGATTGAATGCTATATATTATGTGTATAATGTTCAATAAAGATTATATCTCAAAGTCTTGACACCACTTTTGATCTTTTTATCCAGATCTACAGCAACGTGTTCACAGAAGATATATAGATAGACAGCTTTAGCTAATTGAAATGAAGTTCCCATTGAAATTTACACCTTTATAGGGAATACTAATACCTAAAATGAACAAGAAGATCTTCATAAACGTTAGATATTACACATTTTATTGAACATCAAATGTGAATGGTATTCCTCACCTACTCTCCACAATACCTGATGACATTGAGTTCAATCCTTGGATAAAGACTGTCTAACAGTTCCATACTACAACGAATCATCTATGTAGTGTTATCCATCTATCAATGATCTACTAACTAAAATCAGTTTGAGATTTAAAACACTGTGATTTTACACATATAAAGTATAGTTTCATTGACAACGAATGGGTTATTTAATGATCTAAGTGCTAATTAAAAATAGTAAGGTGAAGGTATTACGTCATTAAAATGTATAATTGTTCTAATACATAAATATGAAGCAAATAAAGAATATTTGTCATCGCCTCACTGAGCCTTGCGCTATACTTCAGATACTCATTGAGAACCTTTAACGCAAATGTTTGCTCAGAACGTTTCAATATAGTGAAGTATAGCGCAAGGCTCAGTGAGGCGATGACAAATGTTGTATGGCAAAATAAAGAATACATAAAGGTAGCCTGTACAATAGGAAGTAGAAAAACAACTCTTCGTAGTTTTTGCTCTTAGTCTATTCGATTAATCATGTAGAAGATTTCTAAAGATCAATCTTACAAATGCAGTTCATAATTAGAAGTAACAAAGCGATCCAGAACATAATTGTTCTAGTTGTTTTATAGTCTTAACTTGATATCGTGAACACAATTATGCTAGTCTAGAAAAACAGTTTAAACGGTTTATGTAATCTGTTTCATTAAATTAAATAAAATAACAGATTCGGATAGCAGTGGCTCAAGCTATGGTCTTGTTATAACTTGTGGCTTTACGCCCTATTAATATATAACATAATGGTACCGGCAATCAAAGAGCGAGACCAATGACTCATAAAACTGTTCGAGCAGTCTAACGTGCTTATCAGTCCTTCTTCCCGTCTAACCCAGCCTCTTAGAGGCAACAACACCAATCTCAGCCTCCACCATATGAATCATATATTTCAAACATACTGACTTTATATTACCAACTAACCAAACCAAATCACACCATAAAATACGAAACATCATTTGTACAAGATATAGACAAATGTGACTGTGAATGTGGGAGACTGTAATTGACAGATTGAGCACAACTCAAGAATGGTCAATCGTATCATCATATTCTATGATTCAAATGGAAGTTCATAATAAAAGGAATATGAATATGCAGATAGTTTAGTTCCATAAGAGTTACACAATAAGAATATATGTATCGTATTTAGTGCATAAATCGATCCCCACAGTTACCACCATTTACTATCCTCGCCTGAATGTAACAGGGTTTTTCCCTCAAGCTAGAAAAGAATACACAGAGTAAGGTAGAAAAGAATTTTCTCATTACCATAGTCTTCATAAAACTACACACCTTAAATACGGTGTTCACGAAAAGTCTTTTCTAATGCTATAGGGAGTCTTGAAAACTACATTCCTGATTATAAGTTTCTATCTAAATACCTGAGAGTACGTCTGTTAATGATGAGTGACGCAGTTAGGTGCTTTCCTCAATGTATGTCCTTTCACTTCCAGCGCTTCTTCTTGATTTCTTCCTCCGCTGGGGTCTGGTTTGTTCTCTCCCACAGTAGGTTGTTGTTGATAGTGTTTAGCCAACGGATCTGAAGTATTTTGTATAGACAACTGTTAATAAACACTTGTATGTTTTGGATGATGACTTCCGTAGTTGTCCAAGTTTCCAATCCATACAGTAGAACTGTCATGACATTTGTATTGAAAATTCTTACCTTGGTGTTGGTTGACAGTTGTTTTGAGTTCTAGATATTCTTCAACTGTATATATGCTGCTCTTGCTTTGCATCAGATCCACCGTGTTCATCAACGATGTTGCCTATTGTCGGTATGAAATTCACAATAATTATATTGTCATGAATTAAACAAATTTCCCTTATTTCTACATTTTAGGTTTACCATTTTGGTTACTTGTATGTGTTGCACCAGTTCGTAATGAATGTGAAGAAGTAGTACTATTTCTATTGGCCTTCAGAGATATCACAGCGTTGAAAACACCATTTGATGATGAAGATACTGTTAAAGGTAAAATGTCATGATTTCTGTTTGTTGGTTTGCTTGTTTTTAGAAAAATAAACTCTTATTTAAAGGTAAAGCTGGAATCACCAATTATTGACTTTCATGTACTGAAATGTGTAATAGATGTAACTGTATACATGACTCTTGTTTTACTTTAAAAAGCCTTCTTATGGAGTTAGATTTCCCCTCTTTCACATTAACGGAGCTGAAACTTGGAGGACGACTACATTAATCATCAAGAAGGTACAAGTATTTATAAATAGTTGTCTACCAAAGATTCTCAACATCCATAGGCTACATACCATCAGCAACAGCTTACTGTGAGAGAGAACAAACCAGTTTCCAGTTGAAGAGGAAACTAGGCAAATACGATGGAAGTGGATAAGACATACATTATGGAAATAATCAAACTACATCACTAGGCAATCTCTAACTTGGAATCGTGAATGGAAACGGAAGAGAGAAAGGCCAAAGAACACATTACCTCGGGAAATAGAAGTAGATATGAAAAGGATGAATAACAACTGGAAAGAACTGGAAAGATCATCGCAAGAGTTCAACTTACTTACTTACGCCTATCAGCCCTAATGGAGCATAGGCCGCCGACCAGAATTCTCCAACCCACTCTGTCCTGGGCCTTCTTTTCTAGTTCCATCCAATTTGTGTTCATTTTTCTCATGTCTGTCTCCATTTCTCGACATAATGCGTTCCTTGATCTTCCTCTTTTCCTTTAGCTCTGAGGATTGCAAGTGAGGTCTTGCCTTGTGACTGAGTTCAGTACTTTCCTTAATGTGTGTCCTACTCACTCCCAGCGCTTCTTCCTGATCTCTTCCTCCGCTGGGATCTTGCTTCCAGTTAAAGAAACGATTTGTTCAAACTTAAGAAATATGATTGAGTAGTCATTTCACAGTATTTAGACGCCGAGTTAATATGAGACATTAAAAGAGGAAGAATGTATTAGTAAAATCTCAGCCTAGATTGTCAGATGAAACGTTTGATTTACTTCAACTTCATTTGTTAAACTTAATATTTAGGAGAATATGTAGAACATATGTGAAACATAAAGTCATTCATCATAGTCTATGATCACTTCATGAATTTCAAATAGGATGATTACATCTTACAACATAACTCATAGCATAGATTGATTTACTTCCTTTAAGATGTGGAAACATGCTTGTAATATATATTTTGATCTATCAAAAGTCTGTCCTTTTTTTTAGAAAAGTACCCTATCCTTTACCTCAATGTGATTCATTTGGTAAATTCGCAATATACCTAAGCAATCCTATTTCCCTCAAAATAATGAATTACTGTACCTCTACACATTTCATCTAAATTAATAAGCATTTGTAATGCATTGTCTTAAATCACAAGCATTATGATCAAAGATGGATAGTCAGTCAGAAGGAATAATAGGAATTGAAGAGGGAAGTTGAATATGAATACAGTGGTCTTGAGTGCTGTTAGAGGTATGAGAGCGGTTATTTGTTCCCGGTTGCCCACACCGTGGAAAAGTTCTTCTACAGGTATCTGAAAAGCAAATTGAGATAGGGGTAGTCTTAATTGCCTGAGAGAGTGACCGCAGTACCCAAGGGACAACTGCTTGAGGTCAATTAAACACGACATTTCTGTGAGTAATTTCCGTGTTAGTTCCATACTTGTTCAGACATTACCACCACAGACGGATATCCGTGAGATAAGGTGAGGTGTGCATTTTCAGAGTTGATGTTTTCTAATCCTACATTTCCTTTGTGGGAGGGCAGCATTGCTGTTATGCTAGTTGTGTGAAGGAAACACCCTACTCCCATCATACCTCGGATGTTGGGTTCTTCTGTATTTAGTCTTACCGCTCTTCAACTGACCTGTCTGGCACGGTAGGATCTTGAGGAACGTTTGTTCCAACTAATATATCTAGATTATTTCATTAAGATATGCAAAACCGACCACCATATCAAGGTAGCAACAACGGTCGGTAAAAAACTATGGATAGTGACTAACAGCGAAACCCAGTACTCGTGTTTCGTCTTATTTGCGACTCGTCAGCTGGATTTACTGACATGTGCCGATGTTAAATTATTATTCTGATTTTTGTTAATCCTCATCAAATTACGCACTGAGTTCAACTATGGCGATTTCATATTATTTAACACTCATTATTACAGTATGATTATGTTCAGATCTAATTTTCTTTGTGAGGTTTTTATCATGTAATATCATAATGAGAAATATCACCATATCAAACCAGGTAGTAATTAAATTTAATTAGTGATAGACTAATATTATCTACCATTTAATATAATCATTATTTCATGCATTCAAGTAGAAAATCAAACAAACACAATTGTATAGAAACTAACTAGTTACCCAATTGACTGATCACAGGTTGGTGATTATTGTCATGTGTGTCAGGTCTTCCTGAGTGCAGATCGAATCCTATCAATCAAGTTGCAATGTGGCCAACAATCTAGGTGACTCGACATTGAATGCATTATGTTGAGATAAGATGATGGTTGGAGATAGTCAACAGGAAACTTTAGACCTAGGTTTCGTGCCACTTGGCACTCGTCATCCAAGGTTTAACTGTAATCTTAAGGGAACTGATGCTCCTTGACGGATTCCATCCCATGTCACCCAGCTTTACAGCCAGAGAAGTTACCACTGGGCTATCCGTGCTGCAAATGACCTTCTGTAAGACTGAGGTGTATTCGCAATTGATTGATCACTTGGTGGCCTGAGTAGATCAGTGGTAACATCTCTGATTGTGAAGCTGGGTAAAACGGGATCGAATCTGTCAAGGAACATCAGCCCCCTCAAGATCACAGGTACACCTTGCTGATGAGTGCCAAATAGCACGAAACTTAAATCCAGGGTTTCCTGCTGACTACCTTCAACTAGCTACAATTTGGTCACTATTCAAACATAAAGTTTTCGTGAGTATTAACTAATGTTGCATATCGACTAATCACTGGTTAGCAACAAAAATATCATGCTTATTCTAGCAGTGATTGAGTTCTATCGGTCAGCTTTTAGTGTTGTCAACGGTTTAAGTGACGCAAGATAGCGTGTTCATATTAGTTCTGCAGCTATTTGGAAGACCCTTCCGGTCTCTCACATTGTACGAGCGTTCCATGTACCTAAATTAACGGTTGCTCTGATTGTCAGAAGGGGCACCAACCTCGTGACATCTGAAGGAACTGGGCTTTCATCATGGAGCATCATAACTCTTCTAAATGAAGATCTTCTAACTCCCAGGGCACAATTTAAACGATTTGAATTATTTTTTCTGGTTATGGTTTTTTAGCGAGTTATTTTTTTGCATGATGAGGGTCACTAACCCTGTGCTCAACCCTCCTCCTTTATTCGAGCTTGTAACCAGCATTAGTCCCAGAGGGGCTTCAGGCGGAGTTATTGTAATGATATAACTGATGGGGTCCATAAATCGAGAACAAGAAGTGATGGTCATAGATTACTTAAAAAAACTGTATTAGGAAATTTCGATATCTGAGGGAAAGTACGGAATACAATACACAGAAAGGAATCAGTTGGAAGATTCGAACCTCACAGATGACCTAGATCTCTTATCCCATACACACGAACAAATACAAATGAAGACAAATAATGTAGCAGCAGCCTCTGTATCAGTAGGCTTCGACATACATAAAGGAAAAAGCAACATCTTCAAGTACAACATGGTGAACATTAATTCAATCACACTTGATGGAGAAACTCAGGAATAGATGGAATATTTCACACACATGTGTAGCATTACCATCAATGAACGATGAGATGTAAAGGTAAGGAGTGGCAAATTAACAGCAACATTCCTACAATTGAACAACATATGGAACTCAAAACAACAGTCTGTCAACCAATATCGAAATCACAATATTCAATATGAACGTCAACACAATTCTACTGTATGGAGCTGAACTTCGAGAACTACTACATCCATTATCAAATAGATACAAGTATTTATAAACATTTGTCTACGTAAGATACTGAATGTCCATTGTTGACCGGATATCATCAGCAACAGCTTACTGTGTGAGAGAACAAACTAAATTGCAAATGAAGAGGAAATTAAGAAAAGACATTGGAAGTGGATAGGATACATATTACGGAAATCATCAAACTGCATTACTAGGCAATCGGTAACTCGGGATCCTGAAGGGAAACAAAAAAAAAGAGAGAGACCAAAGTGTACACTGTCGACAATTGGAAGCAGATATGAAAAGGATGAATAGCAACTGAAAATAACTAGAAAGAATTGTCCAGGACAGAATTAAATGAAGAATGATAATGAGTGGCCTATATTCCTCCATGATGTTAGGTAACAGGCATAAGTTAGTAAGTATTAAGAAATGTAAACTTCATGAATTTCTTATAAATGGTAACACACACATATACACACACACACACCTCTAAGTGTAAACTTAGGTATATTCTCCTATCGGGTCTTATACTAGAACCTTATAGCCATCCATCCATCCAGTACTCCTTAATTTCTTTAATAAATATCTCATCACAATTCATTCCTATTCAAATGAAACAATCTCATAGCAACATTGAGGAATAAATCGTGTGAAAAATAGAAAAAAACAACAATTTTTTTTTCTCCCGACCTACACTATTTCAGTTTATGGAATGAAAAACAAAAAAAAACATTCAATTAATAAAAGTAACTAGAAATTTCATTGAAATATCATCCCGCCCGGCCCCCCCCCTCCAACCTCCACCCGTCGCCGCCTCTTCTCTTAGTTTTACTGAAACAAAAACAAACCATAATGATCTAGTTTAAACTTGATGAAAATGAACTTTAAAAGGTAAATCAACTGAGAATTGTCAAGGAAAATGGGTGTGTGTGTGTGTGTGTGCGTGTATGTATATATAAACAAAATACAAGTTGTGTTATGACCTTTATGAAAAAAAGAAAATTCCAGGAGAAGAAGAAGAAGAAGAGGAGGAGAAAAAAGGGACGAAATAATTGTAAACAATTAATAACTTGATATACAAATATCAGTATAACTGATAATTAATACATCCGGTTGAATGACAACTCATGTATATTGAGAAAGCTCGTTTGGCTTTTGCCAACTTACGTCACCTATGACGAAGGTGAAATATCCGTCTGTCAATTAAGAAACGAGTATACTATGCATTAGTTCATTCTGTTTTACTTTACGGATACGAAGTGTGGTCGTTAAGAGTTGAAGTTACTCGTAAGCTACTAGTATTTGATCAAATATGTCTTAGAAATATTGCTCGCATCTGCTGGGATCACCAGGTAAGTAATAGTGAGGTTAGGCGCATGGTATTGGGGAATGATGGTAATTCAGTTGATAAGGTTGTAAATCTTCATCGACTGAGATGTTCGGGCCATGTGTCATATATACGTGAACTCCGATTACCATGACGCGCAATGCTAACTGATGTTGGGGATGGTTGTAAGAAAGTTAGAAGCGGCCAAACCAATACGCGGCATCAGTGCTTGAAGTCACTAACTTGTAGTCTGAGCAATGTTAGTAGATGCAGACTACCTGGTTGGTGTCCGCGTGACTATCGTAACCTATGGTTGGAGACTCTTGGTGACATGGCTCAGAATCGATCACAATGGTGTAGTTCTAGACACTCTTTGTCTTCCCTTAAACTATGAGATTAATATTGCTTTATATCTTTCTTTCTACGAACTAATTCTTTCTTCCTTTATTATATCCTTATACACTATCTTTCTTTTATATATTACTATCATTGAATTAAGTACTTGTACGAATTCGGTGTTCATCTTGTTGTGCTAATGGAGTGTGGCAACTTGAACCGATGCATATATGTATGTGGTCCTACTTTGTAGCTGACTGACTGACATATATTACTTACTTACGCCTGTTACTCCCAATGGTTCATGGCCGGAGTATAACAGGAGCTCTCCTGTAGTTAGTCGTTGTTGTCCAACTTGTGTCCAATGTGTTTCACTGATCCCAAGTACCTCTAGGTTGTATCTTCTCATTTCTGCAGCAATCTGGAAGGCTCTTCCGGTGTCCCACATTGTACGAACATTCCATGTACCTAAATAAATGGTCGCTCTGGTTGTCAGAAGGGGCATCGGCCTCGTAACTTCCGAAGGGATTCGGCTTTCATCATGAGGCGTCATAATTCTTCTAAGTGAAGATCTTCTGACTCCCAGGGCAGAGTTTAAAAGGTTTGAATAATTTTTTCTGGTTAGCGTTTTTTTAGCGAGTTAGTTTTCTACGGGATGGGGACGCTAACCCCATGCCCAACCCTCCTCCTTTATCCGGGCTTGGGACCGGCAGTAGCCCCCGGAGGGACTCCAGGCGGAGTTGACTGACATATATACGACAACTTAATAATTAAACTGATTTACTTAAGTTGGCTATTTAATCGCACCTTAAATATGCTTTTTTGTAAAGTCTAAAAATTCAGTACACTGTTATTTGTAGATTAGCTCATGTGAATTGTTCGATAGTAATTCCAACACAAGAATGAAACATCTATTCATCCAGCATTTAACAGGTTCTTGCTTGATATTAGTCTAAATAGAAAATTTTCCAAAATACCCATTAAAAGTGATGTAGGTAGTTGATCTCTAAAATCATATCATGTTCTGAGCGATAGTTAATCTAGATTGAATAAATAATCTTTAATCAGAGAGGGATTTTGTGGATACATTATAGTGATTTAATAGTACTTGACGGCCATTTCGTTCTAGTATAGGACTCTTCAGCAATGCGCATCCACGATCCCGCTCGGCGAGATTCAAACCCATGAACTATCGGTCTCGGCACGAAAGCTTAACCTATAGATCACTAAACCGGAGATATTCAAACAAACAAATGAATAAAAACAAGCTGTTAGCTTAAAAGTAACCGTGAATAAGTGAGACTGATCCGTTATTATAAAGCCTAGTTTATTACTTCCTAGCAACTGTTATCCAAGAGAATCAATCAAGTAGTTTTGTGTCTCAGCTTCAGCAAAGTCATCTCAAATACCCGTCAACTTTTAATCCACTCGTCTGTTTTTCAATGAATTAACAGGATCACTATTCGGTCTAGCAGTCAAGTGATCGATAAATAGTGATTAACAATTCAGTCACATCCCCAATAAAAAGTTCCAGACATCCATCTGAAACTTACATACTGTCATTAGTGAATACTTGAAACCCGCAAAATTTTGGTGATAAGGCTTAGTTGAGTCTAATTTAGTGTGTATATAGTATTATTAATGAATTGAATCTAGTTAAGATACCATTGAGAAACAAGGATGATTAGTGTACAGTGTATAACATTCTAATTTAATACAACTTTTCAGTTCCCCCTAAACTTTAACCAGTCACTTAGCAACAACTTAGAACTGTGTACGTGAGTGGACAACCTTGACGAGCACTACTTGAGGTAATCGTTTCTGATGATATTTCATCATAATTTCTCACTCAGCCAATCGGTTCGCTTAGAAAGCCAACATAAAGTTAATGTATTTATTTGGTTCTCCTTAACCTTTAATTTTACCATAAATGAGATTAATCCATTACGAGTACAAATCTAACAGTTCTACTCAGCAGTACGCATACACGATCCCGTAAACATGGCTCGAACCCAGCATATTCGCCTTTGCGCTAGAACTCTCAAATTCTAGATCCCCGGTCTGGCATCTACCGGTGTTAATGTTTAACTTCAACCAATTGACGAAAATGCTCCACCGTCCACCATTGTCTTCAGTGAATTATTATCTCACAGCAAACACGGTTGAACTCCACTGGAAACACCCTCTCACCAGAACTTCAGGAAATACAATGGTCGACGGTGGCGCAATATTGTGGATTGATTGCAATTATACATTAACACCGTTGGATTCAGACTCAGTGGTCTAAAGGTTAAGCGTTCGTGCGCGAGACCGATAGGTACTGAATTCGTATCCCGCGGGCGAGATCATGGATGCTCACTGCTATGAAGTCTCAAACTAGGACGATTTTGCCATCCAGTGCTTCCAGGTTTTCCATGATGGTCCAACTTTGATGGACTCATGAATTCAATTAGTAAATTAAGAATATGAATACACCGCTTCTGAGCGCATTTGTACATCTGTACAGCTCCAATGAATGATATAATCGATAACACTTTCCTTTGTAGAAACAACTTTTAATCATTCATCATTTTCAAATAAGTATTTTATTCTCAAAATCTTTTTTTCTTTATTTCACTTAGGTTTAAGTAAATTTGCTCGATTAGCACGTTCAGTTACACGAAATCGTTCAGTTCTGCAACAATTATCTGCATCACAAACATCAGCACAAAATTCTGCATTAACTGTATATCGTAGTAATCGACTAACAGTGTGCAGTGGTGGCGGTGGCGGTGGTGGTGGTGGTGGTGCTGATAGTACTAGTGGTGCAATTAATGATGATACAGAAGTATCAAATCAAATGGAACAATATAATTCACCAAGTTTATCAAATTTTCAAAATTTAAACACGAGTTCAAGTTCACGATTTCATGATTCATCAAAATCCGATCCAGAAAAAGCGGTAATGGTAAGTGATTAATAAATAATAATAACAATTATAAGCTTTATTCAATATTCGATCATTGGTACAATATAGAGTTGTCAACACGAAGTATTTCAATAAGTTTCTCATTTCTTATTTCTTGATCTATCCTGATGATAACATATTGAATGATCACAAGTTGGATATTAGCATTTCAGAAGTCGACATCTGAACAATGTACTTTTTTCCGCTGCATATTATCAGCAACCACGATGTCTCTGATAAGGCACTTTTGTAACGTGTACAGTGAATAGGTTGCAAACTTTTCATAAACGTACTTGGGTAGGTTGTGCATTTAATTGACATAACGACTGTTACCACACGTCGTGGAGGAGCATAGGCCGCCTATCATCACTCTCCATCCAACCTTGTCCTGGGCAATCCTTTCCACCTCTATCCAGTTGTTATTCATTCTTTTCATATCTGCTTCTATTTCCTTACCAGTTGTTTCCAGTAGCTATTGATTCTCTTCATGTCTACTTCCGATTTTCGACGCATTGCGTTGTTCGAACATTCACATTTTCGTTTCCCTTCACGATTCCAGATAGTAAGTGCTTACCTCATGATTTAGTTTGATGATCTCTGTAATGTATGTTCTATCTACATCCAACGTCTTTTCCTAATTTCCATTTCAACTGGAAATTGTTTTTTCTGTCACTTAGTAAGCTGTTGCTGATAATATCCGGCCAACAATCGACATTCAGTATCTTACGTAGACAGCTGTTTATAAATACTTGTATCTATTTGACGATGGATGTAATAGTTCCCAAAGTTTCAGTTCCGTACAGTAGAAATGACTGTGTTGACGTTCATATTGAATATTGTGACTTTTATATTGGTTGACAGACTGTTGTTTTGAGTTCTATGTATTGTGCAACCATAGGAATGCTTTTCTTACTTTATCAATCTTCACTCTTATTTCTGCATCAGATCCTCCTTGTTCATCGATGATGCTGCTGACCAGGTACGTGAAAGATTTCAGCTTTTCTAGAGTTTCTCCATCAAGTTTGATTAAGTTGATGTTCTCCATGGCGTATTTCAGGATCTTTCTTCCACTCTTGTATATGCTGAGGCCCAGTGATACAGAGACTGCTATCACGCTAGTTTTCTTCCTATGCATTTGTTCGTGTGTACGGAACAGGAGATCTAGGCCATCTGTGAAGCCCAAATCCTCTAGTTGCATTGAACCTGTCCATTGTATTCCGCGCTTGCCATCAGATGTGAAGGTCATCATAATCCAGTCAATCACTATAAGAGATTAAATGGGGGAGAGTAAGTAACCTTGTCCGACTCTGTTCCTCAATCGGAATGTATATATCAGCTGTCATCCATGCACCACTTTGCACTGTTTTCCGTCGCATGAATTCTGTATGATGTTGATGATTTTCACAGCTACTCACACCATAGTGTTTAAGACGTTTCCATAATGTTCTCCTATCTATACCATCAAATTTTTTCTTATAGCCAAGAAAGTTGATCTATAGTGACGAGTTCCATTCAACTGCTTGTTCATCAGTGATTAATAGTGTCGTATTTTGTTTTGTGCATGATCGATCCCTTCAGAATCCGATCTGTTGATCTCGAAGCTGAACATCTACTGAATGTTTCAACCGGTTCAGCAACACTCTATTGAACGTGTAAATAAAATACTAAGAAAATTGAATTAACAAGTAAAATTAACCTTCACAAAATCTCTCAACTAAAGTATAATCGTATACACATCAGCGAATAACTTTCAGATTGGCATTCCCATAATATGATGGTGGATTTCAGCCATAATAAGAGGGAGACAATCATCACAGATGTCTCTGGGTGATTACTGTACTATACTTTAAAAAAGTAGGAATATGAAATATGAACTGGTGAATTTTAACTAAATAGTTCAATTGTTAAACATTCCCTTAAAAACTTGAAGGTTACAGGTTTGATCGCAGAAAGGATCTTGAATGCACACGATGTGCAGTCAAATGGTTTGAGGCATCTGTTTTCTGCTCCATTGTTTTGATTTTTCAAAGTTTTGATCAGAATTTATGAGTTGAAGTGTTTGGAATTGAGACAATCAATGACGGAGTGTATTGATAACTAGTTGAAGTACGGAAATCTTAATTGTTGGATCCTAACACATTAAGTTTGACATATCATACCCTTAAAGAAATGTATGTACCATAGTTTTCATCTGGTTAGGTGTTTGAGGATATTTAGTAGGAAACCCTCCACCTATGTTTCGTTTTAGTTGATATCCATCATCAAGACGCATCTTGAATCTTGTGAGAACTGTTGCTCTCTGTACGATATGAATCAATGTCGCCCTGCTTTTAAGTCTGAGATGTTACCATATATCTCCTGTAGGATTGCGATATTTACAACTGATTGATAACTGAGTATTGGCCAATGTCATATCAACTAAAATCTTTATTGATGATGTCTCAGAATGTAAAGCCAGATGAATTGGGTTAAAATCTCATAGGCACCAGAAGTAACATCAATATTCAACCCACACTTTCAGAACTTTTGTCAACCGGCAAAAAATAGGGCTTCTTGCTGATCATATCTCAATATTGTGTAAGCGATATTAAGTCACTTATACTAATGACCATAATGCAACTTGGTAGATATAAACCGTGTAGCAGTAAGGACAACTAGACAAATATTACGTTGTGATTACTTAGTTATCAATCAGTTGTCAATATCTCATTCAACTAACTGTTTTAATCTAGTATATATTCTACCAAATCCCACTTCGTTTTCTAAAACAGTCCTCTAGCTAATGTACGAATGTGATGAAAATTTAATTCATACAACAGTGGTATTCAGGGCGAGCGTTTCTTTCTATTTGAGATTCGTCAGCCGAATGTACATGTATCTTAGAGTTGGTGTTCATTCTAGGACTTGAACCCGATACTATTAGCTTCATCAGCTATTGAGTCCTGATAGCTACTTCGTTGTGCAATGTGGTGAAGGTTAAATTCACTTGGTATTGTTTACTTGATTCTACTAACTGATGTTTGGGACTGCGATTGATCAGTCTGTTATTGGCATATATGCATACTGTGCGTATTGCCTTGAACCTTGATTCGATTGTTCTTTTCAGCAACCCATTTTTTCCTCTATACACAGTAAAATAACTTTAAAATACATATAATACCAGAAATATAATTTAGAAATATTGTTTGAAAAACAATAGTTGAATTCATGGATCGATTAAAGATAGACCACTACGGAAAACCTGAAAGTACTGGACGGCCATTCCGTCTTAATATGGGACTCCTCTTTGATACTTATCCACAATCCCACTCGCAAGATTCGAAACCACGACCTTCCGTCTCACGTGCGAGCATGTAATCTCTAGATCGCTGTTGAGGAGTCACATACTAGGACAAAACGGCCGTTCAGTACTTTCAGGTTTTCCATAATAGTTTAGCTTTAATCGACTCATGACTTACTTACGCCTGTTACTCCCAATGGAGCATAGGCCACTGACCAGCATTCCCCAACACACTCTGTCCTAAGCCTTCTTTTCTAGTTCCATCCAATTCTCGTTCATTCTTCTCATGTCTATCTCTATTTCTCGGCGTAATGTGTTCTTTGGTCTTCCTCTTCTCCTTTGACCTTCAGGATTCCATGTGAGGGCTTGTCTTGTGACGCAGTTGGGTGCTTTCCTCAATGTGTGTCCTATCGACTTCCAGCGCTTCCTCCTGATTTCTTCCTCCACTGAGATCTGGTTTGTTCTCTCCCACAGTACGTTGTTGCTAATAGTGTCCGGCCAATGGATCTGAAGTATTTTGCGTAGACAATTGTTAATAAACACCTGTATTTTCTGGATGATGGATTTCGTTGTTCTCCAGGTTTCTGCCCCATACAGTAGAACTGTGTTGACATTTGTATTAAAAATTCTGACCTTGGTGTTGTTTGACAGAGAGTTGTTTTGAGTTCCAGATGTTCCTCAGTTGTAAATATGCTGCTCTTGCTTTGCCGATCCGCGCTTTCACATCTGCATCAGATCCACCCTGTTCATCAATGATGCTGCCCAAATATGTAAAGGTTTTTACATCTTCCAAATCTTCTACGTCAATGGTGATTGGATTGGTGCATTCTGTGTTGTTTCGGAGAATCCTGCTTTTCCCTTTGTGTATATTGAGACCTACTGCTACTGAGGCTGCTGAATTCAGCTATTAAATTACTACAATCTTTACAAAATCCCCTTTTCGATAAAGTTATGATTGTTATACATTTCAGGAAAACATGTTATTTTACAAATGAACATACTTTAATATGTGTCAATAATACTTAACTAAGCATAATATAAGTATATTATGATGCAATGTTAATAGATATAATGTCATTTAAGGAACTTCCGGGAAAAAATATAACTTTGAATGAATACTTACTCTTGTCGTCATGGTAACGTAATTAGGGTTTTTATTTATTTAACTACTATTTCTCTTTACATCACATGCAGATACTCACTACTCTCTTAACACTTTCATGTTTTACACACTAAATATAATAAACAAGAGGAAACATTTATGATTATAGTTTACCAGATTAATTGTGTCCTTCAATAGTTTTTTCATCAAAATGGCGGATTGGAGGCGGGGAGAACTTGAACTTTTCCAGTGAATTGAACATTGAATTGTTGTATTGTAATTAGAAAAAAATAAATGGGAAAATGTTCAGCTATATGGTTTGACTATAAAAATATAGTGATTAGTGGTGGTGGTGTTGGTGGTGGTGATAATGGTCGTGGTGGAGAAGATTTGTAGCTCAGATGAATGATTTTAATGGAATTTTATTCTCGAAGTTGAATGCTTTAGTCATGGAGCTTTCATCGTTCTTCTGAACGACATCATCATTAATACAAACTTCAGGTAGAAGTGTAATGTTTGAAGCTCTCTCTCTATATATATATATGATTCACAGCTTGTCATGACAGGTTCAAGGTCAACAAGAGCCAATCAACATCGAAGTTTACAGGACAAACTGTGAGTCGTATGTGAAGGAATTCGAACACTTCACTTCTACCGGAAGTTTGTATTGATGATATTGTCGTTCGGCACAACCATACCATCTAGCTGAAAGAACAAAACTCTATCAAAATAATGATTGGTACATTCAATACTGTTCTTTATTGAGATAAATTATGAACATAATTTTTGAACAACATTGTCCTTAAGTGTATCAGAATATAGTTATTATGTGTATATTTCATTAATGATGATAAAGACTTCAGTTTGATTTTGTAACTCAAATACAATCTATAAGGGAGTATCAGTTCCCTCATAATTACAGGTACACCTTGCTGACGAGTGCAAAGTAGCACGAAACCTAGGTCTAAAGTTTCCTGTTGACTACCTCCAACCATCATCTTATCTCAACATAATGCACTCAATGTCGAGTCAACTAGATTGTTGGCCACACTGCAATTTGATTGATAGGATTTGATCTGCATTCAGAAAGTGCTGACATACTTGACATTGATCACCACTTAGCGATTATTCATTTGTAAGTGTACCTTAAATTCTATTACACAGCCAAACCTAATTCATATAACTTATTAAATAGTGGGTAGTAGTGGAATCTGTTCCATACATTTGATTATCTTGTTTGTGATATATTAACTATTGAAAAGCAAGAAGTAATGGATAGTTTATTAGCGGCCCCTTATCTGACTCCAGTTAGATCGTACATGTCGTCAATCCTTGTATAGAAACTATCGACTTAACATACGTTGTGGAGTAATGGAATTAAACAAGTCAAATACAAGAATGAATTCCGAATACATATATTTTGTTCACTTATTGATTTGGACAGACAATCACAGGAACGTAGCGAATAGAAAAGAGTAGAGAGAAATGATGCACGTTGGAGAAGGTGTGTGAGCCAACTCGATTTCATCAAGCGTTAATTAACATTTATAGTTACAAACTTGTGATGAATGGGATAAGAATCACACACTTATACGTTTACATAATAACAGTCAAGGCTGATAAGCGAACAATTAACAAAGACAAAACGTGACTCAAGAAGAATAGATAAATTGGCCTGTTCAGAAGCTAGATTAAGCTATATGGACTTAACATAGTAACTAGCACTACAACTTATTCACATTAGGACGTTACTCATCAACAGAGCTCAGTAATAACCGCACAAAGGAGTAAACACGGAATTTTTCAATTTCACTTTGAGCGGTTAATCTTTAAACAACAAATCTAGTTTTTGCCAGATTACATACTTAACTTCTATCAGTCCTATTAGCGATATTACACAATTACCTCATTATCAGTCTATGTAATAATCTGTAACAATTTGGAAAACTCACTTGGTTTCCCATATTGTACGCGTATTCCATGTATCTAAATTAATGGTTGATCTAGTTGTCAGAAGGGGTATCAATGTCGTGACTTTCGAAGGAAGTCGGCTTTCATCATGAGGCATCATGGCTCTTCTAAATAAAGATCTTTTTAAACTCCCAGGGCACAATTTATATGATTTGAATTATTTTTTTCTGGTTACGGTTTTTTAGCAAGTTATTTTACTACGTGATGGGGTCATTCATCCCATGCCCAACCTCCTTCCTTTATCTAGACTTGTGACCGACAGTAACCTTAGAAGGTGGGTTCCCGTTGGATTTATGTAATATTCTACATTAACCTTATATAAGACTATGCAATAATTTTACAAAACTTAATCTCCCCTTTCTCTTTTTTTTTCTTCTTCTTCTTCAATATTGTGTTCCCCTCCCCCTCCTCCTCCTCCTCCTCCTCGACCCTCTCCCAATTATAGTCAACTTCATCATGGTTGGATTTAGTTCCACAATATAAACAAGAAGCACCAAAAACTCCACCACATATTATCTTACATTATGTGGCATTTAAAACAACATGGGATTGGTTAATATTATTTTTAACTGGTTACACAGCGGTAATGGTACCATTTAATGCAGCATTTAAAAGTAAAACAATGGATGATGTTAGTTTATTAGTTGTCGACAGTATTGTTGATGTCATATTTTTTATAGATATTGTATTAAATTTTCATACAACATTTGTTGGACCAAATGGTGAAGTTATATCAGATGCTACTATTATACGAATTAATTATTTAAAAGGATGGTTTATTGTAGATGTATTATCATGTTTACCATATGATGTATTTAATGCATTTCAACCGGAAGCAACACAAGTAAGTTGATTGAAATCAATGTGTGTGTATCTTTATTGATTGATCGATATGTGCTAGATGAGTCATTTGATTTGTGTGTAGGATGTGTTATCAATTAGGAAACTAAACCGAAGCTGGGCCCAATTCCGAACCTTTGACCTAAAGTTCTCATCCACAAGGTAGTGGAGATGAAGTCCTATGATAGCCGGTCACCAACGATTGGTTTATATGCGATGTTTTCCCTTAGGATCCTGAAGCCCATGTGTATCATTGGTTTGGAATCAGGGTATTCCAACTCCACCAAGTGAACTCTCCCTGTCCACATTCACTTTTTGTCCTCTCAATTTTTTAAACAACAGTAATTCTATGAGAAGGTAGTGAGTAGGACTGCCCTGATAGTGGTTGTATGCACGTGGCTATGCGAAAGCGATTGGAGAGATAGTTTTGAATCTCCCTGTCCTTACTACAATTATAAACTCTAATTTATGGACGACCTTTGAACGAATTTTTAAGTGACCTTGAGGACATTAGCCAATCAGAAGAGAGTTAGTATAAAGTAAAAATATATTACAAAAGAGTGATGAATTACAATGGATATTCTTCTTTTACATTATTTGAGAACTTGTTGGGGTTTGATATAGGTTCAGAAGTTTTGAAATCATAGTGCATGCGGTATAAGAACTCGTCCATATGACTCTATAATAATCGTCCTCTGGAGCCGCGGTAGGGTTCTAAAGAATACTTCAGCCTAGACCACATGCCCTTAATGTTGTTTGTATGGACCCCCCGTCGTTGGATCAACAAAATGACGTTTGTACACCACAACATGATGCACAAAACCAAGTATGGAGAGGCATGTATACGCTTTCCAAACATCGGTATAGCCGCAGCTAATGTTGCTGGAGACTTTATGATCCAATTTGCAACGATTATCATGGTTTGTCTTAGCCTTAGCCGTGACCGGGTAAAAAAAGTGCCAGTTCGGGCAGATTTTTTTCTACAACGTATAGTACAACGAAATACAATGTCATCGCGGCAGTCTGCACATCGTGCTGCGATCATTTAATTGCCGCAGTCACAGACACAGGAACTTCCTAACAGTCCCATCTGCTGTAGTCTCTCAACGATCACCTATTCTCTAAAATCTGCTATAAAACGATCGAATGTGAGCACTCCGCACTGAACTTAGCGCCATGACCTTGAAATTCCTTAAACGCTTCTGATTGGCTCGTCCATAAATTAGAGTCCTACCATAAATTGTTTAACACATTTAAGGTTAATATAAAGAAAATACCTTTGTTATGTAATAATTATATCAGTTGTAAGTATTATAAGTATTATAGTAATAATCACTGTATTGAATTGATTCATTCTATTAACTTTCTTCTTGTTACTATAATGCATTAAATACAATATGAAAACTATTACACCGTTTGTAAAATATGTTCTTGTTTCTTAATTATAAAGGATATCGGTTGTTATGAGGAAATTTAATCGTTTAATAATAGTCATTATCTAATGCATAAACTCTCTCTTAACCACCCACCCACCCACCTACTCATTCATACACACATACATGATGTTTGGTCTAACACAGCAACAAGATATGCTTCATAGTTGAAAAGAAACTTAGTCTTAGAAAATAGTAACTAAGGTATTTATAAAATAGACAGAGATGAATGAAGTAATAATGATTATCTATAACATTAAGAAGAATCATATATAATCTGAAGATACATCTTTAGGACTCCACTCCATTAAGCAAGATTATTGTGATCCTACTGATCGATTCTAGATTGAAAAACATCACAGTATAAAATGGTCACCATTTTATTTCTTACATTTTCTGATTTACAGTCAAATCTCCACAAACCCCTTCTGATAATAATCATCTGCTCACTAGTGACTGACTTCAAGAGATACTCCTGAAGTTCTAGTGGGAAGCCGTTACCAGTGGAGTTCAACCAGGTCTGTTGTGAGATATCAGCTCACTGAAGACAATGGACATTAGCACCGTTGGATGCCGGCTCAGTGGTCTAATGGTTAAGTGCTCGCGCGCGAAGCCAGTAGGTCCTGCGTTCGAATCCCGCGGGGTGCGGGGTCCTGGATGCGCACTGCTGAGGAGTCCCATACTGGGACGGAACGGCCGTCCAGTGCTCCCAGGTTTTCCATGTTGGTCTAGCTTCAACTGACTCATGATTTCAATCTGTGAAAATTTCTAAAATCTCCACAAACCCCTTCTGAAAATAACTTTATCTCAGAAAAACCGAAGTGTGTAAGCTTAGAGCTAGGTTGTTTGACTAAATGCATTATCCATTTAGATGTTAGTAACTAAATTAGGTTTCACTACTATGTCAAAGATTCTCTAAATTAACATATTTTACCTTAGCTTTTATTTAAACCTAGATAGGTCTTTGCTACCACATTATCACTAGCATGCAGTAAGCTATCCAAATACACACACATATATATCGCAACCATTTCTATCCGACCAGTAACATGAGTGTGTATTTGTGAAGTATATTAAAAAGTACACCTCATATTTAACTTTAGTTAGTTCTAATAACATAAATCACTATGATTTTCATATGTACCTAAATTAATGGTTGATCTGGTTGTCAGAAGGGACATCAATGTCGTGATTTCCGAAAAAAAGTGGTTCTCACCAATGAGGCGTCATAACTCTTTTTAATAAAGATCATTTTGTAGTGCGGCGTAGAGTCGCGGTTGAATATGATCACCACTACAGGACGACTACGTGCCAGTTAACCGATGAGATCCCCCGTATGCCAAATATCAGAAGGCGATTAAAGGTTGTAGCGAGATATATTTGTTGACGATCTCGTAGTATCGAAAAAAAATACCAAAATCGTGTCAGGTTACAAGTGTGGTTACTGAGCGTAATCGAATTCGTGCAAGGTGACAATCAACGGAAGAATGTTTGTATTTTGGTACAGTTAAACAAACGAGCACAGTAAAAGATTCATTGGTACAATTGGTTATAATAATAATTGTTTCCATTACACTAATCGGGTTCTCTTGATAAAAGTAGGTCAATACAATCTAACTCTCAGTGTACAATTTAAATGGTTTGAATTATTTTTTTTCTGGTTATCGGTTTTTTTAGCGAGTTATTTCTCTACTGAATGGGATCACTAACCCCATACACAACCCTCTCCTTATTCCAAGCTTAGAACCGGCAGTAGCCTCAGAGGGTGACTTCCTGATAGAGTTATGAATTCATTTTCATCATGTTTTTACCTTCATAAAAACGATTTCATTTATCTTTTATTTCTTTATTTCATTGAACTATACAGAGTACAATTAGTTCCTTATTTGGTGCATTAAAAGTTGTACGTTTATTACGTATTGGTCGTGTTACACGTAAATTAGATCAATATTTGGAATATATGGCAGCTAGTTTATTATTAATGATATCTGGTTTTGTTTTATTGGCTCATTGGTTAGCATGTGTATGGTATAGTGTTGGTCAAACTGATTTAAAAAATGGTATTTATTATGGTTGGATACCAAGATTATTAAATGATATTGATCAAGGTAAAACTACTCCAACTAATTGGACTAGTGGTGTAAGTTATTGATTTATTATTAATCATGAATTGTTTATTTAATATATTGAATCAATGGACGATTGTTTCGTCCTACTATGAGACTCTTCCTTAACAGTGCACATTCATGATCTCGCCTCGTGAGATTTGAACCTAAGATTTATCAGTCTCGTGGATGTGCACTGTTAAGAAGTCCCACAATAGGATGAAATGACCGTCCAGTCCTTTCAGGTTTTTCATGATGGTCTAGCTTCAATTGAATCATGATCTCAACTATTAAATAACAAAGTATACCACAATCTTATATTCTCTAAAGAACCATTGGATAACAGTTGGTTTTCTTCTTCTACACAAATGAGACGTTAATTTACCATTTACGAATATCTACACTAGATTCTCACCTCCTCCCAATATCTATTCTACAGGACTTCAATACAACTCAGATCAAGAACAGATGATTAGCATGACTATAATGTAAATGAATCGTTATTTCAGTTTGAATTGAATTAATCTCAATTGACATTAGTTTATAATACACAGTATTCTTCGATGATATAAATGTTTCATCTCCGCTAACTAAAAGGGGGAAGTTCAACTTCAGAAGAGGGGATGTATTCCATAACCAGCCAAAAGCATGAACAACAACAACAACAACAAGCAAAACTCAACCATAGTGGAGAAGATTTGTAGCTCAGGTAGAAGTTTGTGCTGATGATGTCGTTCAGAAGAATGATGAAAGCTCCACGACCAAATTCAATCATTTATATACAGTATAAAAATGTCTTTAAGAAATATTACAAAATAAATATATTAAAAGAAACAATGAACCAATCATATTTAAAGTTCTCTTAAGCGGGAAATGCAACATAAAAGTGAAAATGGATGCTTTTGGCGCCAAAACAAGAAATTTAAATTTTCAAAATAAAATTACAAAAATAAGGTATTTACCAAGTGAATTCTGGAATTCTAACAAATTGACAAACATAGATGCTTGAATGAAAATCTCATTGACTTGAATGGAAGTATAGGGAAATTTACTGAGAAAATCACTGTAAAAGAAAAACAATAAAGGATTAACTTTCAACAACCTTATGAATTCCGAGGGGATGGTTCATACCCCAAGACTTCGACCTAAAGGTTTGATCCACAAGATAATGGAACAACGTAAGAAGATCTAATCCCATATGTAGCCGGTCACTAATAATTGGTTTATACGCCATTTGTTCCTTCAGGATCCTAGAGCTCATGTACATTAATGGTTTGGAATCAGGGTTTCCCAAATCCTCTACATGGATCCTCCATATCCACCAAACCGGTTAAAGTGTTAGACATTCACTTTTTGTTATCTCAATTTCGTAAACACGAGAAGTTCATGTGTAGGACTTCCTTTGCATTAGCTTTATAAGTATAGCTATATGAGAACATTTTGAGAAAGAGAACGGACCCATCCTATTGTCAGTCATATCAGAGCATTTAGTAAATTATCTAATCATAGTTACTATCTTACAAATTCTTTAAAATACATTTAACTCCAGTTTCTTTGCTTGTTACCAAACAACGATGATAATTAACTGATATATATATCTTATCTTTCCCCCCCCTTAACGACAAAACTCTATTTGATCTAATCATGTACACACACACACACACACATACACACCCCTATTGCTAAAATTTGTTTAAACATAAATTATTAATGATATTGTTTTAACCTTAAACAACAAAAAGAACAAAATTGAACTCGTTTTTCGGCATATCTCGTGATTAATAATACTCAATATTCTCTATGTCTTATATGAATAGATGGGAATTATCTAAATTGAATTAGATATATTGGCTTGTATTACTTTGGCTTGTATTGGCTTGTATTGGTTTAATGACCTTAATTCTAATAAATATTAATAAAATATGTCAAGTACAATTTGTACCAAGAATAAACCATAGAATTGAAGGTCTTTTATTCATCAATTAATCATGTCTAAATAAGACAAATGCCTTCTTCTTCTTCTTCTTCTCCTCGGTCTTCTCCTTGGTCTTCTTCTCCTTGTTCTTCTCCTTCTTTGTTTGAATAAGTTTTGTAGTTTACATCAAGTAATCGGTTTGATTAGAGAATTACAAAACAAAACAAAACAAACAAACAACAAGCTATTTTATCTTAATATAAAACGATTTAGAAGTGGATATATATATAGATAGATACGATCATATGTGTAGGATTAAACTTGGAAAATATTGTGATAAATCTTAGGAAAAGCGGCGAGACTCTAATTTATGGACGACCTTTGAACGACTCTTAAGTGACCTTTCAGGAATATTAGGCAATCAGTAGACAGTCAGTATAGAGTAAAAATATGTTATACAGAACCGAGGAAATAAAGTGGATACACTTCTTATACATGGTTCAAAAACTTGCCAAGGTTAGAAAGAGGTTCAGAGGTTCTAAAATCGTAATGACTACAGTAGTGGGAATCATCCATACGACTACAGAATAGTTGACTTTTGTAGCCATGATAAATTCTCAAAAACTCTTTCAGCTTCAAACATATAGTTCAATATTGTTTATCTGCACTCTGGTTGTTAATTGCACAAAATGTTACTTGTGGATAACGACACGATGCACATAACCAAGCCTATGTAGGAGTCTGTACGCTCTTCAAACACCTGAATATATTGTAGTACCTGGATGCAGCCAGTGTTACGGGTGCTTTTATTATCCAGTTCGCAATAATTGTCGTACTTTGCCTTAGTTAGGAATTATATATGGGGCTTTCATCACGAACTGACACCAGCTATAATGCAAGAAATTTATTTAGCCAAATGGATGAAAGGCTTTCGCGTTAAAATCCGAGATCTATTATCTTATACTGGATTGAATCGTTCAAAAATTATATTCTCGCCGTTTGACTTGTTATAGCCGCTCAATTATCACATTTTGTACAAAATTCCCTGTGAACCGATCGTATGTTATCATTAAGCACTAAAGTTGGCGCCGTAACCTTTAAATCACTAAGACGCTTCCGATTGGTTCGTCCATAAATTAGAGTCTTGCCGGAAAAGCATTCAAGTTATTGATTGAGAACATAAACCGATTGATGTTAGATCGCTATTGAAAACCTGGAAGTCTCGAAGTTCTAGTAAGAAGCTATGATCAATGGAACTTATCCGTGTCACGTAAAGACAGGTATCTATCTTAATACGATGGAAGATGATAGCGCAATTTCATGGATTAGTTGAGGTTATACATTAAAATTATTGGATGCCGACTCAGTGGTCTAGAGGTTAAGCGTCCGTACGCGAGAATGAAAGCCCTGTGTTTGAATCCTGTGAATAGGATCGTGGATGAGCACTGCTGACGAGTCCCACAATAGGATGAAACGGGCATCCAGTGCTTCTAGGTTTTCAATAGTGATCTAGCATCAATCGGTTCATGATCTCAATTAATAACTTAATAATCTTCACAACCTTGTACGTAATCAATCAGAATGATTAATTCAATGAAGAGTTTCTGTTTTCGGCGAATACATTCTTAAAGTTGTACAGCTTTGAAAATGATCTTTACGAAATGTTAAATTCCAATAACAGAATGAGTGAACGAATAGAATCGATAACATTTTATGCATGAAGTTTAATAAAAAAAAGTTCAGATTGGATAAATATGGTTACTTTGAAGAAGTTTCCAGTAGTATTTAGGATATTTGTATATGTTAACTCAATCCTGAAGAAAGATAACCTTCGCATTCACTTCTACACGTTTGATAGAATAACACAGAAACTGATTAAGTTCCTTAACTGTGTAACTTTGAAAATGAATTCACCGAAAAGGGAACTCTTCGAAATGATGGAGAAGATTTCTAGCTCAGGTGGATGATTTTGATAGAGTTTTATTCTTTGAGGTGTTCTATTCTTGGAAACCTGGAAGCACTGGATGGATGTTTCGTCCTATTGTGGGACTCCTTAGTAGTGGACATCCACGATCCCGCTTGTGTGTTTCTATTGTTTGAACACGATTAAGCCATCCAGCTCCGAGAGCAAAACTCCATCAAAGAGAACTCTTCACTGAACTAATCTTTCTTATTTAATGTCTTAATGGGTATATACTGTTTTGATGGAGTTTTGTTCTCTGAGCTGGATGGTTTGGTCGTGGAGCTTTCATCGTTCTTCTGAACGACATCATCAGCACAAACTTCAGATAGAAGTGAAGTGTTCGATTTTCTCCTTATGTGTTTCACAGCTTGTTCTGTGCACCTCGATGTTGATTGGTTCTTGTTGACCTTAAATTTACCATTGTTTACTTCTTTGTTTTGGTTGTGTCTCCCATTGGTTTGATTTTTGTTCCTATATTTATGCATGATTTTCCTGATTGGTTGATAAATTGGATTGATTTCAATATGTTTGTTGATTGCTGATTGACCTGAGTGCCAGGCTTCTAAAAATTCTCTGGTGTTTTTGGAGTTTCCTCTGTCTAAGATTTCTACATTTTCCCAATCGAATGAGTGTCCGTAGTTATCCACGTGTATTGAAATAAGTGAAGAGATATCATGGCGTTTGACTGCTAATTGATGTTCATGTAGGCGTAGGTGGAGGGGACGTCCGCTTTGTCCGATGTAGTGTTTGTCGTAGTTGGTACAATTTATTTTGTAGATAATGTTTGATTTGTTTTCCTTTGTTATTTCATCTTTTGGTTTGCATAGGATTGATTGTAATGATTCTGTTGGTTTGTGTGCCACACCTATCCCGATGGTTTTCAGCAGTCTCGTTGCAGTTTCTGATATTCCTTGTATGTACGGTAGGGTGATCCTTTTACTGATTTTTGTGCTGTTTATTTAATTAATCAACATGGATAAACTATCTATCCTTATAAGATATCTTATTATTATTATTATTATTGTGATGATTTAGAATCCACCACTTCCACGTACAATGACTTATGTAACATCATTATACTTTACATTATCATTAATTACAAGTATTGGTTTTGGTAATGTATCAGCGACAACATTTGGTGAAAAATTAGTTGCAGCAGTTTTTATGCTTATTGGAGGTAAGTTTTAAATTTATAAAATGATGAAAAATCTATAGTCTATTTAATAGTTAAATTGATGATTCAATGTAACCTAGATTATCATTGAAAATCTGGAAGCATTAGACGGACGTCTCGTCCTAGTATGGGACTCCTCAGAAGTTTACATCCATGACCCCATGCAGTCTTGCATGCGAACGCTTAGCCTCTAGACCATTAGGTCGATATTCAACAGTGTTAATGTCTAACTTCAATCAATTCACAAAACTGTGCCACCATCCACCATGAGTTACTATCTCATAACAGACAAGGTTGAACTTGTAGTGTCGGTTATTATGATAAGCCCATATGCGTTACTCTAACTTATTCATTCTAATTGAGTCATATTTTGACCTTATTAATTGTTCGCTTATCAGTCTTTACTGTCTTTATATGATCGCATATGTGTGTGCTCTTATTATCTCATTCATCACATATCTGTAACTTATTTTTATCTGACTATAAATATTGATTAACGCTGTGTCAAATGGGAGTTGGCTTACTCGCCATCTCGACTGCGCATCGTTTCGCTTCTCTCTATTCCATTCACTTGTTACTTGACTTATTTAATTTCATAATTGACTAACGCGATTTAAGTCGTATATATCAGTAATATCTATTTCGTGATATCCTAACGGGTGGAGATTTGCATTTCTAAAGCTTTATGTCTTAATATCAGTCACTTATTGGGTTAGTGATATCTCCCAACAAGAACAATAAATGGTGGTAACTGTTGAGATGGATTTATGGACTAATACAATACACATATTTTTATTGTATCATTGTTATGTAACTAAACTATTTGCATATTCATGTTCCTCTTATTATGAGCATCCATTTGACTCATATAATATGATTATATGATTTACCATTCTTGAGTTGTGCCCAGTTTATTGATTACAGCTGTAATTCACTTAAGTAAAACTGAACATAGACAGCAATCAAATTTCCCGACTTGCACTGCAAACAACTCACCTCCATAGCTTTCAAATTTTGAAAAACTGCTTTACAACCGACAACTCTTTGTCTACTTATTGTTGATGTATTAAAACAAGACCTGGAATTCCAAAGATTATCCCTCATCAAAAGTCTGTATTGAATTAAAATGTAAATTTCTCTATTCAAATTTACTATTGTGAGGCTTATTTATATTATGTCGACGAAATGTTAATGTGCAAAAATGCGCTACGGCAATTTTGGGGATTTCCCCTAAATTTACCCAAAGATTGGGGAAGGCTATTTCACTTTGGGGATTTCCCCAAAATTTCCCAAAAATTCCCCAAAATTTCCCCAAAGCTGGCAGCTTGGGAGTCTCCTACATTCACAGTCACTTTTGGCTTGATTTTGTACAAATGTCATTTGATGTGGTTTGGTTAGCTGGTATATAAACCCAGTATATTTGAAATACATGATTCATATCGCAAAGGCTGAGATTGGTGTTCTGGCCTCTAACAACCAAGGCTAGGCAGGACCCAAGGACTGATAAGGACTTTATATTGGCTCGTACGGGTTTTCATAAGGCATTGGTCCAATTGATAAATCACTATTTCACTAATCAACAATATCATTACGTCATATATTGACTGGGTCACAAAACCCACAAATTCTAACAATTCAGTAATCATTTCTTGTTTATAGCGAGACTCCAATTTGTGGACGACCTTTGAACGGACCTTCAATGACCTTGAGAAATATTAGCCATTCAGCAAACAGTCAGTATAGAGTAAAATTATACTATACAAAACGAAGGAAATAAAGTGGATACACTTCTTATAAGTGTAATTCGTCCACCAATTATACTCTCGCCGTTTGATTTGTTATAGCCGGTCAATTATCACGTTTTGTACAAAATTCCCTGTGAACCGATCGTACCTTAACATTAAGCATTGAAGTTGGCGCCGTAACCTTGAAATCTCTAAGACGCTTCTGATTGGTTCGTCCATAAATTAGAGTCTGGCCCTTGTTTATTCACTCGTCATCAAATTCTATTTAACAATTATGTCAATGTTGTGATATTTTACATTGATCAACTTACAGAGAAACTTTGAATTCTTATTTACTTCATTCTACCTGACTTTTCTTTTTCTTTTTTTTTTTGTTTCTTTGTTAATAAACAAGCATTTGGTTATGCTACCATATTTGGTAATGTGACAACAATATTTCAAGGAATGTATGCAACACGTTCTAGATATCATGATATGATGGCATCTGTGAAAGATTTCATTAAAACACATAGTGTACCAAAAGATTTAGCTGAACGTGTTATTGATTATGTGACATCAACATGGGCTATTACTAAAGGAATTGATACAGCTAAAGTAAGAATATTATTTACATTTTGTCTTGTCATTAATCTCTGAGTTCTTTATTTACAACTAGTTAGATTAAAAATATAAGAACTAGGAACTATTAGTTAAGTAGAGGTGGATAGTGGCTATTAGTGGAATCCAGGACGGGGATATCGTCAGTCAATTGAGATACGCGCAAAACCGAAGTTTCAAAACAACGATTTGTTTACAATAGCGGTTCTTTATTGAATAATACACTAAATTTAGTTAAAAAACCTCAACTTTTGAGGTGTCTGGGGCGTTTAAACGCGTCCTTCAAGTATGAACGTAAAAACGCTTCCTGTAGCAGTAACATAAAGAATAATTATAACATACGATAGTACAAAAGACAGCCGATAGCTGTGTCTATATTTGATAACAATTTACGAACAACCGAAACCCGAACCAAGAGCAAAACAATAAGGAAACTGTTGAGTTTAGACGAATGCACGAAACTGTGGATAACCGCTGCAATGATTAAGGTACAGTAATTAAAATGACAAATACAATGATAAGCACAATAAACGTAATAAATATATGTGAACATTTTAGAATATTACACCACAACTTGCGTTACAACATTGGGTTTAAAAATTGTTGGGAACACAGCTGCTTACTGAATGTAAATAAGTAGTACAAAACAATATACAAAAGAAAGGAAAGGGAGTTAGTGGAACAATATAAGACAAACTTAACTGTACGTGTTAGTCAAACTTCCTCTATGAAGATAACTACATAGAACTTAGTCAAGTTTTCACATCTTTGTGTGTGATAGTTTCTCAGTAATCACATGTGCATGCACAGTACTAAAGGAGAGGAATGATGTTATGTCAACTAGATATTGGCTAAGTTTCAATGTTAATATTCACTATGTCAATTTACCTATCATCTATTCGTCTAAATTGTTATACATTATCCATCAAACTCAGTGTAGCAGCAGCCTCAGTAGCAGTAGGTCTCAACATACACAAAGGGAAAAGCAAGATTATCCGATACAACACAACATGAAACGATCGAATCACACTTGACGAAGAAGATTTGGAAGATGTAAAAACCTTCACATATTTAGGCAGCATCATTGATGAACACGGTGAATATGATACAGAAGTGAAGGCGCGGATCGGCAAAGCAAGAGCAGCATATTTACAACTGAGGAACATCTGCAACTCAAAACAACTCTCTGTCAAACAACACCAAGGTCAGAATTTTCAATACAAATGTCAACACAGTTCCACTGTATGGGGCAGAAACCTGGAGAACTACGAAATCCATCATCCAGAAAATACAGGTGTTTATTAACAGATTCGTTGGCCGGACACTATTAGCAATAACGTACTGTGGGAGAGAACAAACCAGATCCCAGCGGAGGAAGAAATCGGGAAGAAGCGCTGGAAGTGGATAGGACACACATTGAGGAAAGCACCCAACTGCGTCACAAGGCAAGTCCTCACTTACAATCCTCAAGGTAAAAAGAAAAAAGGACGATCAAAGAACACATTACGTCGAGAAATGGAGATTGATACGAGAAGAATGAACAACAATTGGATAGAACTGGAAAGGAAGGCCCAGGACAGAGTGTGTTGGAGAATGCTAGTGGGCAGTCTATGCTCCATTGGGAGTAACAGCTGTAAGTAAGTAAGTAAGTAATTCATCAAACTACTGATTATGTACTACACTAAAGAAATGTATGTTGTTTTTGCCTTTTGTTTTTTCTTCTAATAGGTATTAAACTATTGTCCAAAAGATATGAAAGCTGATTTATGTATACATTTAAATCGTATGGTATTTAATGAACATCCAGCATTTCGTTTAGCTAGTGATGGGTGTTTAAGAGCATTAGCTGTAAATTTTAATACAATACATACAGCACCAGGAGATTTAATATTTCATCAAGGTGAAAGTATTGATCAATTATGTTTTGTTGTTTCTGGTTCATTAGAAGTTATTCAAGATGATGAAATAGTTGCATTTTTAGGTAAGTTGTGTAAATTAGGATAATAATAATAATGATAATAGATTTCAATAGTTGAAATCATAAGTCAATTGAAGCCAGACCACCGTTGGAAAACCCGAAAACACTGGACGGCCGTTTCCTCCTAATGTGAGACTCCACCTTAGCAGTGTGCACTCACGATCCCGCCTCACGTGATTCGAACCCAACCACTATCGATCTCGCGCACGAGCGCTTAACCTCTGAACCATTGGATCGGCATCCATTGGTGTCAATGTCTAACTTTAACTACTCCACGAAATTGAGCGACACATCTATTATCCTCAACAGTGCGCATCCACGATGCATACATGAGACTGACAGGTACTGGGTTCGGATCACATGAGGCGGGATTGTAAATGCGCACTGCTGAGGAGTCCCTTACTAGAACGAAACGTTCATTTAGTATTTTCAGGTTTTCCATGATGCTCTAGCTTCAAATGACTCATGATCTCAACTATTGAAATTACTATAATATTTACAAATACTTGTAAGCTTGAAATGAAACGAGAGACGTTTCTTAATAATACCGATAGTATATTTTCCTATCATTCGATTCGTGTTTAAAACATGACAGTATACAGAATATCATGCTAGCCTATGAGAAAAGGAATCTGGGTTCACTTAATATTGTAACAGGTGACTGCAGGTTATGATAAGCAGCGTTTATACCGATCGATTACAGTGACACGTAAAACACGTAAGGACGACCTAGAGTCCTGGTTGGTCCCGCTTCCCTGTCTAGCCCAACCAGTTGAGTTTAGAACGCAAGTCACAGCCTCTGAGTTATAAATCATTATATTTCAGACATATTCTATGTATATACCAACCAAACAGACCACATCGTACCATAAAAATAGAAAACAACATCTGTACAATATTTAACGAGTGAAATAAATAATGGCCAATAGGGAATGCCCATTTAGAGTCCAAGGACATCATTAGACTTAACATGATAATGATTGGTATATTCCTTAGCATACCTAACACTTAAACCAATAAGTTTGAAGAAAAACCAAACAAAAGATTGAGGCACATTCATCTTTCGGTTTCTTAAACAGTTAGGCATTAGGAATCGAGGCCTACATTTTCTTCTATTCAAATATAACTCGTTCCACCTTTAACTTACTCAGATAATCCTTCATTCCTTCCCACTGACAAAAATGGTGTCGAAATCTTTTGACGTTATACCATATATGTTTAGCAAAGTAAGTAAATCAAGCAGGTCATACATGTAAACCAGCATGAATTCTGTATTACTCAGACAGACTTAATCTTCTTATTACGTTCCCTACAAATGTAATAGCCGTGAGTTATTTGATGTATTTTTAGAATCGGAAATATTTTAGCAAATAACGTTGAGCTACTTGTAAGTAGTTAAACTTTGAAAAGAGAAAAACTGTGCAATTCATTTAAATATCCAATATTATTCTTGTAAATCGAATAAACGATTGGTGATATAACCTTATTATCATTTCAGTTTTTCTCCAACTATACTTCCGGTAACGTGTACTTATGATCTTCACTTTTTGGTGAGACTATAATTTAGGGACGAACCAATCAGATATAAGATAACAGATATATTGGATTTTGGCGCGAACTTCATTCATCCATCTGGCCAAATAAAGTTTTGGCATTTTAGCTAATGTTAGTTCGTGATGAAAAACAGTAAATCTAGTTCAAACTGCCTTATAACCCTCATTTACCTTTAGTAAGTAGGTAGACACTCTCTCAAAGTCAGTTTGGCGTCACTCAACGGTCGTCCATAAAATATAGTCTCATCTAAATTTTCACTATTAACTTACTTGATTATCATCTTCTAGATATTGTTTAGTATGAGAACATTTGTTCAGCTACCACTGATGTTATCTCTCTCATTCTCAGCGTATCTGAAATTCAACAGTGATAATTTCCCATGAACTATGTTTCAAATTGTCTTTAACTTCAATCATTCGTGAATAATCGCTGATAATTAGGATGTAATGTTTATTAAAGAAATAAGTTGGAAAGCATCATTCACAACAAACTAATAAAGAATTCCGAGTGATCTAAAGATCCTAGATTTCATTAGTTAGAGGGTCTTAGATGATTATTGATGAAGAATCATAATATAAGGAGATACCAGCTATCTAGCACTCCTTGGCTTTTTAAGTATTCATTAGTTAAAGTCAATTCCTTAGGTTTGAACAATCTTTATCAACATCTCATACTAAGAATCCTTCAAGTGTAAAGTTCTGGATATTCTTGTATTTCTATTAGAATTAATTTAAACTATTTTATAAATAATACTTATGTTATTAACTTGTCAATTGAATGCTACATGTTATATCTGGTCGTCGCTAATTGTTATGTCAGAAACGCCTATCACTTATAGTCGAAACGAAGAACCGCAGCAATTCCTACGACGCAAAAGTAAGAACATAAAAACTGGTATAAGTGAACACGACGACGATGATGACCTTAAATGAACAAGATATATCAACGTACTTTTTTCTGATCAGACGTATTTTTTTAGCGAGTTAGTTACCTACAGGATCGGGTCACTAATCTCATACCCGACCCTCCTACTTTATCTGAGCTTGTGACCGACAGTAGCCCCAGGGGAACTCCAGACGGAGTTACTGTATAAATAATTCATTGTTTCAATATAGTGAATGTTATTATTTATTCATAATATGATTAGTATAGTTATATGAATAATGATTATCTTCTCATTGTTATTCTTTGTTCAACTAATCATTTGAATAATAAGGACGTGGTGATGTATTCGGTGAACCATTTTGGAAAGATCCAAATAGTATGAGTCATTCAGCAGCAACAGTTCGTGCTTTAACTTATTGTGATTTACATTGTATTAAAAAAGATTGTCTATTACAAGTATTAAAATTTTATTCTGCATTTGCAAATAGTTTCGCTCGAAATTTAGTATTAACATACGATTTAAAAACACGTGTAAGTCATGAATAACTATCATTGTATTATGTTGTTTTTTTTTGTTTATTTATAAGCATGGGTACAACGAAGCACCAAATAAATACTATCTGGGTGCTCAAACCGGAGTAGGTGGCTTTCTTACGGTGGGGGAGGTACATCCTGAGCCTTCGATGTAAAGGTCTGATCTATAAGGCAGTGGAACAACGTTAGGAGATACAGTCATATGGTAGCCGGTGACGAAAGATTTGTTCCTTTAGGATATTGGAGCTCATGTACACCATTGGTTTGAAATCAGGGTATTCCAACTCCCCTAGGTGAACGCTCTGTGTCCACTAACCCGGTTAAATCGCCGGACATTCAATTTTTGTCCTCTCGATTTTGTAAACAACAGTAATACCACGAGAAGGTAGTAAATAGGACTTCCCTGTCAGTGGCTGTATACTCGTGGCTATATGAGAGCATTTAGAGAGAAAGAGAGAGAGCTGACTCTTCTCACATTCGATTGTACCAGGACATATACTGAACCCTTTGAATAATCTTAAATAATCTAACATTTCTATTTCAAGAATTTTTTATGGATAATGAAAGCAATTTAGGTTTACATTTTGTTACACACTATTATCCTGTTTAATAGTTTAAAACATTTGTCGGTAAACCTGAGGTTTACACTGGTTAGCCATTTGCCATTATGATGTATGGTCATTATTTTGAAAAGGAATGACTTACTCTTCACTATATGTAGTACTAGAGATATAAGCTCAAATTAGTTATTCATTTGTAATCCATATACAATTGTTTAGTTCTTGATACAAATAGAATACTGTCAGTTATGTTTGCAATATGATCACTAAGTTAAGTTGTTCAACATCGAGTTATTTGGCAAAGGATCCTGAATGACTTAGATTTCGTGTTACCTGCCAGTTATCAGTAAGAACTATCAACTTCAACGCTTACATATAATTCGAACCTGAGTCAACCAGTTCCACAATTTGAGACATTACTATTAAACTATTTAGGTAGCGACTCAAATACATGATAACTCGGATATTTATACTACTTTATCATTCATTAACTAATATCGTCGTGTTTTTCTAGTTCCTTAAGAAACTCTCCACCTAGATTTCGTGCTACTTGGCACTCGTCAGCAAGGTTTGTCTGTATTATTCCTGAGGGCACCGATACTCCCTGACGGATTCGATCCCATGTCACATAGCTTCGCATTCAGAAACGTTACCACTGAGCTATCCGGACCGATTTCTAGTTTCTTGGTATTTATTATTTCATCAAGTTGTCCAATTTATTTCATGCTCTTGCTCTCTATTTTTATTTGTTTCTTTTAGCTTATATTTCGTAAATTAGCAGATGTTCGACGAGAATATGAATTAGCTGAACATCGTAAAACTGATAATGCATTATCTAGTTTACGTGCTGATCATCCAGTTCGTCGAATGATACATAAATTTCGTCGTATAGGTACACATAATCAATCAACTAATGATTCACCAATAGGTAGTAATAGTGGTCCAGGTTTACAAGATAATGATATAATACGTATTACACGTAAATCTATTACATTAGGTGATTATGATGATTATAGTAAAGATTTTGAATTTAATGAAGATCATGAAGATCGACTACGAATTCAAGGCAAATTAGATAGTCCAAGTACATCTACTATGAATAGTACTAACAATAATAATAATAATAATAATAATAGTAATCCTGTCAGTGTATTAGATGAAATCGCATCACGATGGGGTAAACGTATAGAACTAAAAAACAATAATAATAATAATAATAAAATATCGATTTCAGATTCAATTCAACAAACAATCCCTTCTCATAAAGAGTCCCCTAGTAACACAATTGCTAATAATAATAGTAATATCAATGATAATCAATATTCACGTTCAGTTCTACAATCGAAATGGGGTAATCTATTAAAAACATCCATAATACCTGAAGAGCAACAACAACAACAACAACAACAACAATCTAAATCAATAATTTCGAATCCAAATAAAATCAATAATAATGATAATCATCATATTCAATCGATTATTAATAATCAATCAAAATTAATGAATGATCATTTTGAAAATTTACAATTAATCAATAAATCAATATTAGATTATTTAATGAATATACAAAATGAATTTAAACAAGAAATGAATCATTTAATAAAACGTATCAATGATATTGATAATCGAATTGGTCAAATAGTTTATAATATAGAATATAAACAATATGATAATAATGATAATGAATTAAAACAATGTTGGGAAGATTATCATCCTCATCACGAACACCACCATCCATATCATCCTCATCATCATCAACAAGAAGAAGAAGAAGAACAACAACAACAACAACAACAACAATGTCGAGAACATCATCATCACCACCACCAACAACAACAACTTTATCCTCATCAACAAGAAGAACGACAACAACAACAAGTACATCATCAAAAACATGGTAAATATAATAATAATAATAATAATATAAGTAAACTGATTAGAACCGTATTTACATCATCCCCATTAACATCATCTGATTTATCTACCTCATTTAAATCAAATCGTACTTCCAGTTTAACTATATCAAATAAAATACATCCATTAGCTAATTCAATTGATTCTAAATTAAATCAACCAACACCAATGGCAACAACAACGACGACGACGACAACAACAACAGTGAAAACAAAAAGAAGAATTCGAGGAATAAGAACAAAAAGTACCACATCAATAAATCCTCAACAAATCAATAATCAAACTATAAAATTAAATAATTTATCATTCAATAAATATAATATACCAAGACAATGTATATCACAATATTATAAACAATATTCAATGGATAATGATAGTCAATTAGAATCGATTTCAACAGAAAGTGATACATCATTAATGAATGTACAACAACAACATCAATCATCATCATCATCATCGACAACAACAACATCATCATCATCATCCAGGATTATTTTAGCTAAACCAATACAAACTACTTATTTTTCTACTCATTTAATGAATACTATCACAGCAACAACAACAACAACAACAACAATGACAACGACATGTTTACTGAATCAAACGAATCAATCTTTAATAAATTCTAATTATTCTTTATCACCATTCCTGCCTAATAGAAATGATGATTTATATTGTCAATCAATATTAGATCATTTTAATGAAACACAATGGATTAATCGTAATCCATTTATTTATTCGATTGGAAATAGGACACAATCAATGATTGTAACGGATAGTTTAAGTAATCAATTACCAAGGAATGTATTGTATAGTACTACTACAACAACTACTATTGGATCATCAATGATGATAACTGATACAAATACCTATGTGCCTAATTCTTCTTATATCATGTCTATGACTACTAATAACACTACTAATACTACTACTAATAATAATAATCGATTATCCATTAATAATCGATGGAATCCACAATCAGATATATTGAATACACGTACATTTATTCCAGAATTATCATCTATAATGACTACAGCTATAACAACAACTACAACCATCACCACCACCATCACCACCACCACCACCACAACAACAACATCAATACTTTATCCACTTCCAACAACATCACAATATATTCATTCATCATCATTTAATCAAAGATCTCATAATATTCATACTAATCCATTGAATAAATCTAGGGATTTCAATGTAACTAAACAATAGAAATCAAGATATGTCTACTTTATTTTATATCCATTATGTTTTCTTCTTTATTTTCTTTTTTCTTTTTTGTTTTTTTCCTTTCTCTCCCCTCCTTTTTTTTAAAAAAAATTCTTTTTCAATTTTTATTTTAATCCATAAATTAATTCATTAAAACATAAACTATTTTATTCCCTTAGTAACTAATTAAAAACAAAAAACAACAACATGGAACTGATACAAATTGGACATGAAGATATTTTTTTTTCAAAATCATTGAATTTAGGTGTACAAAGTTCATGTAGACATATACGAACACACAGACACACACACACAAACAAACAACATACATACATACGCACGCACAACAACACCACCACCACCACCAACAATAATAATAATCTGATACCATGGTGAAATGAAACATTGAAGATTTTTTTTTCGTTGTTTTTTTTTTAGGTTTATCCTTAAATAACTAAGTAACTAATTGTTTGTTACTAAGAGAAAAGGTAAAAAAAACACACACACACACATTTGAGTTGTATATATTATCTAATGAAAGTTTATTTTACATTTTAAAGAAGAAAAAAGAAACAGAATCACAACTGAGAATAATTTTCTTTCTTTTTTATTTATTTGTTTAATTTATCAATTAAATGGTTATCCATTTGGAAACATCTTAGTCAATTAGTTAGTTACAACGTAGGAACAGGCACAGATATATGGTATCGATTCAAGTTGTCATACCTCATTAGCACAGCAAGATGAACAGCGGATTCATAGGAGTGGTTAGGTCAAAGGTGGTAATATATAGGAGAAAGATTACAATAAGGATATAGTACAGGAAGAAAGAATTAGTTAAGAAAGAAAGATATGAAGCGATTTTAATCTCTTAGTTTAAGGGAAAACAGAGAGTGTATACACCGACGTCACTGTGATCGATTCTGAGCCATATCATCAAGAGTCTCCAACCATTGATTACGAGTCACGCGGACCCCAACCAAGTAGTCTACATCTACCAACATGGCTCAGACTAGAAGTTAGTGACTTCAAGCACTGATGCCACGTTTTGGTTTGGCCGCTTCTAACATTCTTCCAACCATCCCCAACAACGGTTAGCATTGCACGTCGTGGTAATCGGTGTTCAGGCATACGTAACACGTGGCCCAACCATCTCAGTCGATGAAGATTCATAGCCTCATCAACTGATTTACCATCATTCCCTAATACCCTGTGCATCTAACCTCACTATTACTTATCCGGCTATCCCAGTAGATGCGAGCAATATTTCTAAGATATATGTGATCAAATAATAGTAACTTACAAGTATCCTCTATTCTTAATGCTCATGTTATGCAACCGTAAACTAGAACAGAATGAACTGCTGTGCATTATTCTCGTCCTTTAATTGATAGACGGATGTTTTGCCTTCACCATATGTGACGTAAATTGGCAAATGCCAAGTCTATTCAGATAACATCGCATGAACACACTTCAAACAAAATTTAACTATGAGAATTTCTCTACTAATGACTAGTAGCCTGTTTTGTCAACGTTGAAGTGTACTGCTTATTATTGACACTTGTCCTGTTATTATCTACGTATTTACTATAAATCTCTTCTCATTTTATTTGTTTGTTGACTTTATAGTTGCATTGAAATGTAAAGACTAATATTTTGATTGGATTAATACCAGTAAATTAAGTCAAGAATCAATTAATTTATGAAACAATGAACCACGTCTATTATGAAATGATGATTAAAAAATAGTCGCTACCGAATATTGACTAAAGTAAAGAGTTGGTAAGATTGGATGGTGGTTGGAGGTAGTCAACAGGAAACCCTGGACCCGGGTTTCGTGCTACTTGGCACTCGTCAGCAAGGTCTACCTGTAATCTTGAGGGAACTGGTGCTCCCTAGCGGATTCGATCTCGTGTCACCCAGCTTCACACTAATAAGGACTAGACAAGCATGAGATTGATCACCACCCAGTGATCAATCAATTGTGATTACATCTCAGTCCTACAGGAGGTTAGTCACGGCTCGGATAGCTCAGTGATAACGTCTCTGACTGTGAAGCTGGGTGACACGAGATCGAATCCGCCAGGGAGCACCAGTTCCCTCAAGATTACAGGTAGACCTTGCTGACGAGTGCCAAGTAGCACGAAACCCGGGTCCAGGGTTTCCTGTTGACTACCTCCAACCACCATCTAATCTCAATACATAGTGCCCGCAGTGTCGAGTCACCTAGACTGGTGGCCAGATTGCAACATGATCGATAGCATTCGATTTGCACTAATAAGGACTAGACAAGCATGAGATTGATCACCACCCAGTGATCAATCAATTGTGAGTTGGTAAGATTGATAGTTGCTCGATCACTAATTGGTGATCAATGTCATATGTGTTAGGTCCTTCGTAATGTAGATCGAATCCTATAGATCAAGTTGCAATGTGTCCACTAGTCTAGGTAACTCGACATTGCATACACTATAGTGAGATAAAATGGTGGTTGGAAGTAGTCAACAGGTAAGATAGATTTCAGTTTAATTATTAGCGATTTAACTTTGAATGAAAAATCTGAACGACTGAGTTACTGTTTTGCAATTGAGTCAAACATAATGTTTTAAGTCATATATTATAGATTCTTACTTAATTACTTACGCCTGTTACTCCCAATCGAACATAGGCTGCCGATCAGATCTGACTTTGTTATCTTGATGACGTATCCTTCCTTACAATCCTTTTTTACAGTCTGTCTGTTGCATATGTTCTTCCTCCCAAATCTTCCTGAATAGAACGTAGAGCATATTTTCAGTTGCCTCTATGTATGACTTCAGCTGGTTTTATTGCCAGGTGCTACTGCTTACCCACTCTTGATTTGTCTGATGACCATCCTGATTTTTTTATCATTGATGGAGTGAGATCTATAGTATGGTCTGTGTGTATTGCTTCGATTTCCGGTGGATTCAATGAAGCATTCATATTCAGTAGTTCCTCAAATTGTTCTACCCATCTTTTCCTGTGTTCTTGAATCTCATTAATCGGCTTCCCTTCTTTGTTCTTGACCGGTCTCTCTGGTTTACTCTACCAGTTTCTTCATTACATCATATAGTTGTCTGATATTTCACCATGTTGCAGCTTTTTCCACTGTCGTTGCTAGCTCTTTCACGTATTTCTGCTTGTCAACCCTAATGCTCTTCGTCACTTGAATGTTTGCTTCTATGTACTCAGCTTGTGTCTTAAGTTTCTCTGTTCTTGTTCGGTTGTTGTTAACTGCTATCTTCTTGTACTTTCTTTCTTGAATCTTATCCAGGGTTCCCAAAGAGATTCGTTACTTCTGTTGATGCTTTTTGAGTTCAAGAACCTCCTGACATGTTGAAGTTAATGCTTCTCCGATCCCTTTCCAGTTGTCCTTCGTAGTGGTTTCATCTTCTTTCAATAGATCCTGTAAGGCTTGGAACCTGTTGTTGAGAGCTATCTTTAATTCGTTGAGTTTGTCAATATCTCGAAGGAAGGCTTTATTGAGCCTTCATAATGTCGTTTCCCAGTTGTTCAGTGCTTCTTTAGTTTCAACTTCATCTTAGCAACCACCAGGTGGTGATTCGAAGCGATGTTAGCTCTCTCTCTCTGAATTTTTTACTGATGTAAATATGATCTATCTGGTTCGCCATACTGTGGTCCGATGAGACCCATGTAGATTTATGTATGCGTTCGTGTGGAGATATTATGCGACCTATAATCATTTTGTTGAATGCACATAGATTTGCAAATCTGTCAACATTCTCGTCCCTTTCTCCCAGTCAGTCCATCTCTTCCCATGATGTCTTCATACCCGGTGTTGTGAATTCCGACTTTGGCGTTTAGGTCTCCCATCAGGATGGTCAAGTCCTTTCCTGAACACTTCGCTCTGATCGACTGAAACGTCTCATAAAATTGATCTTTACCGTCGTCGTTGCATTCACTGGTGGGTGCATAACATTGAATGATATTCATTGTGATTCCCTCCTTTTTTTAAATGATGCTTTGATGATCATCGGTCCATGAGATTCCTATCCAATAACTGCTTTACGTGGCTCTTTGGACAGCATCAGAGCAACTCCCTGAGTGCGCAGGGCACTTTCTTCTCAGTGACCTGATTACAGCAGCATTTCTCCCTAATCTATCTTTTGTCCAGATTGAGTTCAATGGATTTGACTTATTCCGAGCACCACCAAGTTGTCTCTCCTCATTTCCGTAGCTATTTGGTTGTTCCTCCCAGTCTACAACATGGTCCGGAAATTCCATGAAGTTATATTAACTGTTGCTCTAGTTGTCAAAAGCGGTATCACTCTAATGACTTCCGGAGAATCTCGGCTTTCAACAAGAGGCGTGATAAATTTTCCTTCTACTCTGAGGGCAGGGTTTAAGTGGTTTAATTTGTTTATTCTGATTAGCGTTGTCTTTAGAAAGATTGTTTTCTATGAGATGGGTTTGCCGACTCGATGCCCAACCCTTTCCTTATATGTAGGCTTGAGACGGGAAGTAGCCCAAGGAGAGCTATAGGCGGAGTACGTGTTGAGTTGAATTAATACATATCAGTGGATAGTCTATGATAAAAAATGTAAGATATAGGGATAATGTGCATCGTCATCAGTTATTATCAGTCTTTATCAATACAGTAAGAAAGAATCTGGACAGAGTGAAACTTTAAATAGGGTAACTAATAATGATATTAACTACAATTGAAGACTAAACACAGAGAGGAATGAGATTTACAAATGAAAAAGGAAGAAACCAGGAAAATAAAGAATAAGTATAGATGCAATCAGCTTCCAGTCGTTTTTTTTCTAATTTTTTCCCAACTATGTTGTCCTACAGTTCCGATCATGTACTTTGAATTGTCTGAAACAGTTTAGTTCAGCAGTTAGTGTATTTCTATGGACTATTGATTTACCTGAATTTAGAAATCAATTAACTTCTCGTCAACCTACTACAGTATCCTTACTTACTTACTTACTTACGCCTGTTACTCCTCGTGAAGGAGCATAGGCCGCTCACCAGGGTTCTCCATCCAACCCTGTCCTGGGCAATCCTTTCTAGCTCCGTCCAGTACTACAGTATCCAGTAGTAACTAAATTCTCAGTTATTTGTATGAAATGTTTTCAATTTTTTAACACTTATTCCATGATCGAAATAGAAATCAAAATTTTAGATCACTATCTAATCAGTGGATTAGATACTTTTCCATATTTGATTTTGATTCTTATTATTAAATAGTCGGAAGAATCTAATTCGACAACTGATTCTGTTATAGGACCAATCAATAAAAACTATTCAGTCAGTAAAGTATAACGCCCTAATCGTAGCAGAGCATATATTTTGTCGATCAATGCAAATATGTTTTGATAATCTTATTAAAATTTACTTGGTCATATAATTCAGTTGTTTTCATTTCAATACATGAGAATGATGGTTAGCAGTGGAATCCAGGATGCATGTTCCGTTTCATTTGGAACTCTTCAGTTGGATATACATGCATCTCTGAGTTGATGTTCACTCCGACACTTGAACCCAGTAATGTTCGCTTCAAACGCCATCGAGTTATCCACTTAACTACTGACTCCAAATAACCACTAGCTTGTGAAATGAGATCAAATTTAATTCATTGTGTATTGTTTGTTTGAATCTCCCTATTAGTGTTTAGGACTGCAATTGATTAGTCTCTTATTGGCATATGTGCATCCTGTGAGGATTGCCTCGATATTGCCTTGTCAGCGACGATGGATACAATGGAAATTTCTAGCTTTTTTTTTCAAGTTAGATCTATCGACTACAGCAGGAATTGGAACTACTAAAAGAAAAACCAGGATAATTGGATGGCATTATAATTGATGGTCAATGTGAAATTACATTAATATCTGTTGCTTATAATCCATTCTACTTTTGTAGTCGTGAACACAGAAAACTGAGTAATCAGAATATCAGTAGTACGACTGATAAAGTGGACGCTCTCTCTCTCTACCAATGCATACCTTGAACATAGATTACCAGTGATGCAGTATTATACGTCATCAATAATATCAAGACATGTATAAAACCATGAACATGAATGAATTCGGATGGGAAAACGTCGAAATTCTAAAAATGTTAGAGAACTTCCACATGTACAGCATTCAGATCAATTGGCCGTCAACAGACATCAACATCAATCCAATGTATCAATCCACGTGAAAGACATAGACTAACTACATGATCAGAAGTCAACCAAAAAAAACACATTCAATAGAAATGCAAGAATAAATGAGAACTAAATTACCCATAAAGATAATCACTCATAAATCACACCATTTAAAGCTTGTGGAATAACTGAAAAATTCACAACCACATAATACAGGAGCAGATAATATTGTCCAGAAGGACAACTGATAAATCTTCACCATTAAACCAAATAGATTAAAGAACATACCAATACAAGCAACCAGCTAAATTGCAGATTTCTGATATCAGTCATGATAAATCTGTTTGTTAATAAACTTCTATATTTATTCTAAGTATATTGAATTCATATATTCATATAATTATCAACATTAGTGAATACTGAACACATAAGTAGTGGCAGTTTTAAATCAGATCCAATCACTGCAATCAGAATTATTATTAATGATAATAATAATAACCAAAAACATAATCATCAAGGTCTTTTGAAAAAAATCAATAATTATTCACTGTTACAGAGAGAAAGAGAGTGAAAAGTAGATATTGGCGTTGAAAATCGAGATAGACAAAAATATACTACTGAAATGTAAATAAGTAGATAAACATAAAACTATTGTTTTTACAAAATTATATAATATAGAATGATCTCACACAAGAGATATGTATAGTATGCATGTAATCTCATGCCTGCCTTTCTCCATGTATATTCACATGAGGATAATTAACAAGTGCAGTAACATACACATAACGAACTATTCAAAAAAAGAGAGAAACTAAAACGTTGATCATCAGGTCAAGACAATAATATTTATGTACGTGAACAGTTGAGTGTTATGTAAATCAAATGAACACAGAAAGGAAAATTGAACGACAACAACAAAATCACTAATGAAAATGAAATATTTAAGGAAAATAAGAAATGATTTTGTTTATATAATTGGAATTGTTGCGAATACTTTTTTGTGGGTTTGTATAAAAAAAAACAGAGACGGGGGGGGAAAGCATAGAGATAGATATATAAATCGATTAATGTAATCATTCCAAAAAGCGTATACTCATCTTTTGTTCAATATCCACATTATCAAATGCCTATTTCAGAGCATTAATAAAATAAGAATAAAAAAGAAGTGTATAACTTTTCAGAAATTAAAATTATATTACTGAAATCTTCAAGGAGAATTACCAATGATTATGGTTCAGTATGTTAAAAACTATGTCAAATAATTCATTACAAGATACTCAAACTCCTTGATTGTATTCTTTTGTACAATCGTACAAATAGTGTAATATATTTCCTTATGTTATACAGGTTTTAACTGGCTTAATATGGATGGTTAATTTCATATCGTTCGGCTTATAGTCCATGACAGTAGTAATAACTCAAGAAATTCGAATGGAACACATCATTACAAAAGTTTGTATGCTATACTCCTGTTTTTACGCCCTCAAATGCCCTGGTAAGGCCGACATTGAGGATAGTCAGCTCTCTCTCTCTCGAAATGCTCTTACATGGCCACGTGCATACAACCACTGACTGGGAAGTACTAATCACTGTCTTCTTGCGGAGGGTGCGTTTTCCTAAGAAATTGAGAGGACGAAAGCGAATGTCCGGCGCTTTAACTAGGTTGATGGACATGGAAAGTTCATCTAGGAGAGTTGAAAAACCATGCTTTCAAAACAATGATGCACATGGGCTCCAGGATCCTGAAGGAACAAATGGCGTATGAACCAATTGTTGGTGACCGGTTGCCATGGGACAGAGTATCCTGACGTTACTCCACTGCCTTATGGATCAGACATTTAGGTCGAAGGCTCTGGGTGTGGCCCCCTAAGAAAACCACCTGTTTCGGTTTGAGCAGCCAGGCAGTATCCCAGTCCTCACACAAATCGAATGATTTATGTGGCGCATATGTATTTGATGCCTCCTTGTATCAATGTTTATGTGTTTAAATAAATAATAAACTCCTGTTTTTTTTAAGTTGAAAAAACGACAGTCGATAATAATGGTATAGATGTATTAAATACAACATATGATTTGGATCGAGTTTTGTTCTCTGAGCTGGATGGTTTGTTCATGGAGGTTGCATCGATATTCTGAACGACACCATCAGCACAAACTTAAGATAGAAGTGAAGTGTTCGAATTTCTCCACATGTGGTTCTTGTTGACCTTAAAACTGTCATGACAAGTTGTGAACCATATATGGAGAAATTCGAACACTTCATTTCTACATGAAGTTTGTGCTGATGATATCGTTCAGAAGAACGATGAAAGCTCTACGACTAAACCATCCAGCTCAGAGAACAAAATTCCATCAAAATCATTCAACTGATCTACAAATCTTCTCCACCATCTCACAATATAAGATTAAAGAAGAAGCGAATGTAATCAAAAATATTCACTGATGGAAACGAATAACAGCTAATGATTGTCGAAAAGCTTTTGAAGTTAAAAATACAGATCAACTTAATGGTTTAAATGTTAAACACTTACAACGAAACCTAAAGGTCTTGGATTCAACTTCTAGTCAAAGTTGTGGATAAGCACTTCTAAGGAGTTCTATACTAAGATGAAACAGTTGTAAGTGCTTCCTCAGTTTTCGATAATTGCTTAAGGTCAGTTCATAATGTTAAACTATGAAAAACTTGTTTAAATGTTCACAAGTTCATTTTGGTGATTAAAAATCTCGTCTTTCAACTAATCGATCACATTTCCATGTATCGCATCATCTAATTCGATTTTGATAGTTAGATAATATCACTAGAACCTGGGACACACAATATGATTTAAAGCAAATACTGAATGAAAACAGCACCTAGTAAAATGATATTACTTATCTCACACATAAACATACAAAGGTAGGTTTAAAGAACAATAATGGATAATGTAAGAATTGTTTGATATAATCAAATATTTTGGATAAAAAAACTATTAAACAGCTGATAATTAAGCTGAAATTGGTAATGAGTAGGTGGAACATAAAATTCAATGCTTGAAGAATGCCATATATTTATACCATAGAATCGATACCTTACATACATACTATATTTATATTACACTAATTTGAGTTTGAGTCATATTTTAAGTATGAAGACAGTACGGCAGTATGAAGACAGTACCTGATTACCCAAACTGGTGCCCCCAAATACCCTGGTATGGTCGGGAGTGGGGTGGGTTCGCCCTCCCTCTCGAAATGTTTTCACACGGCCACGCGTATATAGCCTCTGCCAGGGAGGTCCTATTCATTGCCTTCTCGTGGCGGGGGTGTTGTTTACGAAAATGAGAGGACGAAAAGCGAATGTCCAGCGCTTTAACCGGATCACAAACCAATGGTGCACATGGGCTCCAGTATCCTGCGGGAACAAATGGCGTATGAACCAATCGTTGGTCACCGACTACCATTGGAACTGCATCTCCTCACGATGCTCCACTGCATTGTGGGTCAGACCTTTAGGTCAAAGGCTCGTGTTGTGTGGCCTCCTAAGAAAACCACTTGCTTCGGTTTGGGCACCCGGGCAGTATCAGAGCCCACACACACAAATATGGTGTGGCGCATATATATTTGGTGCCCCCTTGTACCGATATTTATGTGTTGAAATAAAATAAATACCCAAACTGGTGTAGGTGGAGTGGGGCTCGGATCTCAATCAGTCGATCACAACGGTGCACCTGGTATGTATTAAGATCAGTTTAAGTTGCCATACCCTATTAGCACAAAGAGATGGGGATTGTCAACCCAAATACTAGAACAGAAGATGTAGTAGGAACTCGAATCTGGGACTTGGAGGTTAAAAATCGAACGTCTTAACCGCTACACCACCTCTTTACATATTCATTACATCAGATGAAATCCTAACTACCACCCACAAATCAGTGAGTAATATATATGTCTAGATTAATGAAATCAGTGTCAGTCAGTCAGTAACAGTGAGGAATTCGAATTATGATTTACAGTTGATGGTTAAGGTTAGGCATTAGATTTAGGGCTTTCATCACAAACTGACATCAGCTATAACGTCAAGACTCTATTTAGCCAAATAGATGAATGAACTTTGCGCCAAAATCCGAGATTTGTTATCTTATACCTGATAGGTTCGTTCATAAATTATAGTCGCCAAATAATGATAAAAATTCGAATGATATATTCATTGATAAAACTACATCCACAGGAGCATATATATAAGAAATAAAACATACTTGTACAAATTCCGCATACGATATATAGCAATCACCATCAAGATCCGCTTCAGCCATTGTTCGTTCACCGATATTATTGATCTGAAATTGATTGATTTCTCATGAAGTTAACATATATGGTTATACATCTTAAATTATATAAATAACCGATACTATCTTAACTAATTATAGAAGTTACATCATTGTTATTTTTGTCAACAGATTCAGCATTATATTCACTTGATGATGTTTACTTGTATCTTCCCAGTGTTATATTTAGGACGGCACTTGATCAGTTTCTTGTTGGCAATGTGCGGACTGCCTCAATATTGCCTGAAGTCACAAGCTTTATAAGCAAAGATGGATAGTGGCTAGCAGTGGAATCCAGGACGCGTGTTTCGTCCTATTTGGGGCTCGTCAGCTGGATATACCTGCATCTGAGAGTTGATGTTCACTCTGGGACTCGAACCCAGATGGATAGTGGCTAGCACTATCAATCTTTGCTTATAGAGCTTGTGACTTCAGGCTATATCGAGGCAATCCGTACAGGATGCACATATGCCAACATGAGACTGATCAATTGCAGTCCTAAACGACAATGGGAAGATACAAGTAAAACAACACCAAATAAATTTAAAAACTTCACCCCATTGCACAGGCAGGTGGTTATCAGGACTCAGCAGCTAAGTGAATAACGCGATGATATTTGAAGCAAATAGTAATGAATTCGAGTCTCAGAGTGAACATCAACTCTGAGATACAGGTACATCCAACTGACAAGTCCCAAATTGGACAAAACGTATATCCTGGATACCACTGATAGCCACTATCGATCTTTGCTTATCAATCCAACATTATTTTACAAGTGTAAATAACAAAACTTTCTCTATATGAAGTTTTTACCTGAACAGATCACATTATCATATTCTATGATAATACAATATACCCCTTTTATTTTAAATGTGATATTTATTTTTGATAGAACATTCTTTATATGAAATTTAATATGAATTTTATGGTTAAGGTAATACACAGCATGTGTTTTATATTAGTTATAATGTAAAAATCTGGGGTTTTTGTTTCTGTATGTGTGTGTGTGTGTGTATTTTCTGTGAATACTCATGAAATACAAGTAAAATCTACACATAAACATGAGCGTGTTTTTTTTCGGGGGGGGGGTTCAAGTGTTTGTTATACATTTTTTTTCCTTTTGAGCAGGTGAAGTAGATTTTTATTTATCTGTCATTAGTTTTATTTATTTGAACACATAAACATTGGTTGGGGTCCGCGTGACTTTCGTAACCGATGGTTGGAGACTCTTGGTGACATGGCTCAGAATCGATCACAATGGCGTAGGTGTATACACTCCCTGTCTTCCCTTAAACTAAGAGATTAAAATCACTTCATATCTTTCTTTCTACTAACTAATTCTTACTTCCTGTACTGTATCCTTATATGCAATCTTTCTCCTATATATTACCACCTTTGACCTAACCACTCCTATGAATCCAGTGTTCATCTTGCTGTGCTAATGCGGTATGGCAACCTGGACCGATGCATATATGTACCTGGTCCTACGTTGTAGCTGACTGACTGACTGACTGGTACAAAGAGAGCAACGAATACATATGCACCATACAAGTCAATTGATTTGTGTATGGGATGTGATATTGCCCGGTTGCTTAAACCGAAAAAAGTGATTTTCTTAGGGGTCATATCCAGAGCCTTCGAACTAAAGGTCTGATCCACAAGACATTGGAGCAATATTAGGAGATGCAGTCTCATGGTAGCCAGTACTCTAGTGTGTTTAATAACAACAAATTACTAATGTTTTTGCAGAGGTTTGTATTTTCCCATTGTTAATATTCCGAACTAATATTCGACTAGTCTCAAATGGTATATATGTACCTAAGTAGGATCTCAAGATGTTGCATGTATTTATACGTTTTATCGCAATTTTCGTATTTCAGCTACCATAGGAATCCAGATCATGTGTTTCGCTTTGTTTGAATGTTATTATATGGACGTATCTGAACTTCAGTGTTGATTTTCGCACTAATACTCACACTGTTGTGATTGCTAGATCCTCAGAAATCGCTTGACAAACGTTTTATTTTTGTCATTTTATTATGGAAATGTGAATTTTTCATTTTCGCGACAAAGATGCTCATTTTTACTTTCAGTTTGTATTTCCCACGCGGGAGGGCCTTAAATACGATAGATCTATTTTCTCTTTCAGTACGCTATTTTGTGACGTTTTTCAAGGACATTACGCATGAGTTGTATGGTTGTTTGTCCGCGCTTCCCGCTGCTTGTAGAATATTTATTTTCCCCGACTGAACCTGGTCTTCTCCATCTAGTTAGCAGGGGTGAGGCGTAATAGAATAGCTTAGATTGTCCTGTTATTGTGTTGCTGATTTTCGTTCCGTTCGTCAGTTCTAGGTGATATCGTAATCTCTTCAAACGTAGCATGAACCAAGTACTCCTTGCTTCAAATGGCAACGTGTTGTCTACTCATTAAGCTACGAAATTCAGAAAGCCATTCGTTCACTCAACAGGACCATAATCTAACAGAGAGTGGTAACATTAAGTCCTGAATATAAAGAACAATAAAATGTAAACCCCTACAAGTAATAATAATAGTAAGTATCACACTCTTTGACTAATTTTTAAATACAGTGATCTTGAGTGCTGTTAGAGGTATGAGGGCAGTTATCACTTCCCGGTTACCCACACCATGGAAGGGATTTTTTGGACGTACCTAAAAAGGAAATTGGGCTAAAGGTAGCGTGACCACAGTGCCCAAAGGACAATTGCTTGAAGTCGGTCACATACGACCTTTTTATGGGTAATTTTTGTGTTAGCTCCGTACTTGTTGAGACCTTACCAGCGGAGACGGATATCCATGGGATAAGGCGAGGTGTGCATTTTTAGGGTTAACATTTTCTAACCCCACCCCTCCTTGTGGGAAGGCAGCGTCACTATCATGCTGGTTATCTGAAGGAAACACCTTACTCTCGTCACACCTCTGTACAGTCAGCAGTACGACTTCGCCTTCGGACTTTGGGTTTGTTGCTTTTAGTCTTACCACTCTCCAACCGACCTGTCTGACATGGTAGGACCTTGAGGAACGGTTGTTCCAACCAGTATAGCTCGATTGGTTCATCACGATAGGCAAGCCCGACCAGGACCACAACGGTAACAACGGTAGCAACAACAAAAATAAACTTAACATAAAATTACACAAACCTGTTCAACAGTAATATTAGCACCGACCATCATTTGTAACATTCCCAATAATTCATTTCTTGATATTTTACCATCCATATCTAAATCATACATACCGAATAGAAAACGTAATTTTGCATCACGATTATTAAATTGAGTAGATTGTTGTGGTCGAACTTTACGAAATCTTGCTAGTTTACGTACAAATTGACGAAAATTCAATTCACCTTGACTGTACATGTAGAGATTTTTTATTTTAACAAAGTAAACAAACAAACAAAAAGTTTAATTTTTTACAACAACAACAACAACAAAAACAAGCACAAAATAGAGAAAAATTAATAACAAAACATAAATATGTTCAATATTCAATTTGTCATTATACAAGTTCATTATTGTTCATTGGTCATACTGTGCATATTTAATCATGAATGATAATGGTATCCATGTATATCAATATACGTTATGGTTTGACCGGAATGAAACACATATACAATTGTTCAATGTATCAATCGTATACAGAAGCCTCATTTGCATAGAAACTTTAATTATTAAAGTTGAAAAAAATAAAAAATCAGAACTACTGATCGAAACATAAACCCCGGTAAAATAATATCGAGAAATGAAATAATCAAGTTTTCTTTATTTATTTATTTATTTAAATAGTTATGACTTTGATTATGTGTCATGATACGGTCGAAGGTGGAGAGAAAGACAGTTCTCTCTCTACCTCTCTCTCTCTCTCTCGAAATGCTCTTATATGGCTACGTGTATACAATCACTAATAGGGAAGTCCTACTCAATGCCTTTTCATGACATTACTGGTCTTTAGAAAATTGAGAGGAAGAAAAGCGAATGTGTTGGTGTTTTAACCGGGTTGGTGGACACTGAGAGTCCATGTAGGGGAGTTGGAAAACTTTGATTCCAAACGAATGGTAAACATGGTGGGTCACTGGTTATCATAGGACTGCATCTCCTTATGTTGCTCCTCTGCCTTATGGATCAAAACTTTAGGTCGAAGGCTTGGGTTATGGCCTCCTAAGAAAACTACCTGCTTCGGTTTGGGCACCAGAGCAGTATTATAGCCCACATACAAATCAATTGACTTGTGTGGTGCATATGTATTCGATGCTCCCTTTGCACCAATATTTTTGTTCATATAAATAAATAAATAAATAAATAGTGATTCTAATCATGTCAATTTATTGTGGGAAGTGAAATCAAGTTGATCAGTTATATCATTAGGACCATAAATCGACTTTGATAACGATAATCATGTTGACAGTCGTAGGAACTAACCCAGACTATTCATTAAAGTAGTTGATACAAGTCATCGAAAGAACCAAATTCACTTAACTACAGTATAAACACCGAGTTATTTTAGGTACTTAGATATGAACCATACTCTAGGTAAGGAGGTCAATGATACTACCACATTGCCAAAACCGAAATGAGTGGACAGGAGTTCGAATCTGGGGACTGAGTGACTGAAAGTCGAACGCCTCATTTATTAAGCCACCGCTTCTTAATGAGAGAATACGATGAACCAGAAAACTACTATACACAAGGAGGAGCTGAGAATCTGATTAGACTTAATAAAGAACTCTTCAACAGGATGCATAAATGATCTCCCTAAGAAACTCTATATATCATGGTGTTAGGATGAAGCAAAACACCAGATCATGCTTTCATTCATCATAATATTTATTCAGCACAACATGGGTCAGTCAATCAGTCAGTAACAACGTGGAACTTCGTACGTACGTACATCAGTTCGAGTTGCCACACCACATTTGCACAGAGATGCAGTGGTCGATTCAAATCCCGTAGTGGTAGAGGTAGTAAGAGTATAAACAGTAATCGGAAACATTAGGGCTTGAAGATGTTATTCAAGGAGTATAATACAGTGAAATAAATTTGGAAAGAGAAAAAAGAGACAAGGAGGAATAAGGAGATCAAAATTTGGGAGAACACAAAGAGTGGATGCACCTGTGCCATTGCAAACGATTTTGAGCCATGTCATTCAGGGTCTCTAACCATCGGTTGCTATCATCTCGCGGTCCCCAACCAGGTAGTCTACACCTACCGACATGGCTCAGTCCACTTGTCACTGACTTCATGGACTTGTGCCATGCTTTGGTCTGACCGCCCCTAGCTTTCTTACAACCTACTCCTACACCGTAAAACATCGCACGTCGGGGCAATCGGTGGTCGGGCATAAGTAACACATGTCCCAGCCATCTCAAATGATGAAGTTTCACTACTTCATCAATTGATTTACCATCCTTACCTAGTACCCGTTTCCTAACAGCTGTGTTACTTACTCGATGGTCCCATGATATACGAGCAATGTTTCGAAGACACCTATGATCAAATACTAGTAACCTACGAATATCCTCTACTCTTACCGGCCATGTTTGACTGCCATAAAGTAGGACGGGACGAACTGCTGCGCAGTAAACAGGTCGTTTTGTTCATAGACGGATATTTCGCCTACGCCATAAATGACGCAAGTTGGCAAAAGCTAGTCGAGCCTTCTGTATCCGTGCTGAGATTTCGTCACACACCAAACCACAAGGGCTGATGAGACTTCCAAGATAAGTGAAGCGGTCGACACACTCAACTACTTCACTCCCTATCACTAGTTCGAGTGTCGATGTAACCCAATCCTGAAGCAACATTCTGCATTTCGAGGGAGAGAATCGCATCCCGAACATGCTTGCATTGTTGCTTAGAGTGGTCAGAAGACTCTGCATTTTGTCAGCGTCTTCACCAAATAAAACTATGTCATCTGCATATTCTAAGTCAACAAGTGAACCTCCCGGTAGAAGTTCAACCCCTGTAAATTTAGATGAGGAGAGTGTTATCTCTAAAAGTACGTCGAACACAAAGTTGAACAAAAATGGGGAGAGTGGACAGCCCTGACGAACACCACTTGATGTAATCAATTCTGATGACAGTTCGCCATAAGCTCTCACTCTACCAGCTGTGTTCGAGTAAAGAGCCTGTATAAGGTTGGTGTACTTCTTTGGTACTCCTTTCAGTGACAAACACTGCCATAGAACCTCACGATCAACAGAGTCGAGTGCCGCCTTAAGGTCGAGAAATACTAGGATTATGGGGCGTCTGAATGTGTGTCTGTGTTCTAGGACCTGACGTAGTGTGAATTTCGGGTCTATACAACCATATCCAGGTCGAAAACCAGCCTGATTTTCTCTAGTCTGTTCTTCACGAGCTTTGGTTAAACATCGAAGTATTATTGAAGCTAATGTTTTAGACTATGTTAGTTAAACTGATTTCTCTGACTGTCACAAGAGGACTTTCGTCCTTTCTTATAGACTGGCACAATCAGTGATTGAGACTAGTCAGATCAGAGTACGTCCAGTTCCCAAATTTTACTTAAGACCTCAGTTAATCTCACTGCTACCACTGGGCCGCCATTCTTAAAAATCTCAGGAGTAAACCTGTCGAGGCCTGCTGCTCTCCCTCGCTTCAGATTTCCTATAGCATTTTCAACTTCGTAAAGAGACGGAGGACCTACATTAACTTGCCATTCAGGTTGACTGGAGATCATGGGAAAACTAAGTGTGGCTGAAGGCCAGTTGAACTGATCCCTGAAGTGTTCTGCCCATCGATCCAATCTCCTGGATTGAGAATGTATAATATGTCCATCTTTCTCTGAGAGTGTTTCGCTAACAGTCAGTTTCCTAATACTGGTTTCCTTAACATGTCTGAACAATTGTCTGCTATTACCTATTGCCGCTGCCTTTTCCATCTCTCTTGCTTTCGCTACCCACCACTGTTCACGATCATTGCGTAGACTTCTTGTCAGCTTGCGCTTAAGCTGACTCCGCTCTTCATTATGTTCAGAGCCAGGTGGAACGAGTTTCCGAGCATCTATCAGTGCGATAGATGCTGCTGAGATCCAGTGTTGCTCCCTAACCTTGTGGTTTACTGTACTAGCAAATATCACTGCTGTATAAACAGCTTTTCGGGTATGATCCCATGCTGCCTCGGGGTGGGCATCACATACATGGCTGCCTAACTGTTCCTCTAGTTGTCCCCGAAATATACTCTTAGCTTGACTATCATTAAGTAGGGCCTTAAGAGGTTTCCTTGCAGCGTCTTTCCTATGTTCAGTAAGACGCAGACAAATACGCGCTCGCACTAGAGCATGATCTGAATCTAAGCATATGCTCCAGAATGAGCGACAGTTTTCTATCCAACGCCTCCATCGGTGGCTGATAGCGATGTGATCTATTTGGGTCCAACTTTGGGACGAATTATGGGGTCGCCATGTCAAAAGATGTTTCTCCTTATGCTTAAAGTTAGTGTTTGCAAGGAACAGGCGGTTATCTGAGCATAGCTGCAACAGACGGTCGCCATTATCTGTTCTTTGAGCGACGACACCATAAGATCCACCTAGGTGTCTTTCCCTATCGCTTAGTTTACCTACTTGAGCATTAAAGTCACCGGCCACTTTTGCTACATCAGAGCGCCTAGCTTTTCGGAGAAGGTCGGAAAACTTTCTGTAAAATCTGTCTTTTACATCATCTGAGCTTCAGTCAGTGGGAGAGTAAGCAGAGACAACGAAGAGGCATGGGAGGTTCACTTTTTATTAATTCAGTGAAAAATCCATTCTGTATCCCGACTATATAGGTTACGTATGGTATTTCTTGACGATTGTTCATATGCCAGTGAAGTATGTACATAAAAAAATGTATTTAGTTAATAAATCGTAGTCATGTATTGAGAGAGTGAATAAAATATTTATCTGGCAGTAATTCTGCCTTCTTTTTAAGTTTTGCAAGTCTCAGCTTACTCACTTGTTTCAGATTTTCATTTGCACTTAAACCACTGAGTTGGAGAAACATAATGGTCTCCAACTTCCTCCAATCAGCTCATGATATAAAGGTTTTACTCTCCGTATGATTGAACTTAACTGTACAAGGCCGACCATTATAATTTCGAGTAAGGAGATTTCCCCCATTAGTATTCAACATCATACCCGAGGAGTTAACTCTTATGGTCGTACTATTCCATTCAGTATTTACGTTTCATCAGCTGGATGCATCCACTTATCTCCACGTTGTGGTTTAAATTTAGAATAAAACTCAGTAGTTATTTGTTAAAACACATGCTTAGTGGTCTAGGAAATCCATAAGTTAATATAAATTAATCAAATCCCCTTCTGGTTTATCAGCAATAGGGAAACTAAAACCTTAACACATAATGACTTATCGTTTCACACTTATTTTTAAAAATAACTTATGTTCTACTAAGTCTATTTGCTACTGTTATCAATTTCATTCTTTTGGTTACTTTATGTTGACAAACAGTGCAAGTATAAATTCGAAGACTTGAGTAACACATATTTAAACCACGTTAAAGTCAATCAATATGTTCAGGCCTCTTGATTGACTAACCATTTTTACCATCTTATGAATAACCTCATCATTAGTCACAATGTCATTACATCAACATGTGCGGATGATGTATTGAGAAAAATCCTACGGATTAAGTGTTTGCAACCCGGTTCAAGTCTTTCAATGGGTAAAAGTGGGTATATTAAATACACCATAGTTGGTACAAACATGTCAAAAACTAAAAATTACCAACCCATCAAAAATTCAAATGGTTAGTTGATGCATTCAACAAATTCACCCCATACACAATGAGAGACCTGGAAATGACACAGATTCATAGTGATAGAAATACAACTATTAATTCTTATAAATATGCTTATAGATAATAAGCATTAAAAGATGTGTTAGTTTACCTATCTTTAAAAAATTCATTCACGATTCGATCGCCAAGTGGATTAATGGCTAATTCTGGAATTAATAGAAAATCATGACGCCTGAAATATCATAAAAAACAGGGTAAGTGAATGAAATAAATAAAGAGAAGTGCGTTCAGAGCAACTTTTTTTCATGTACATTAAAATATTTAATGCCCAACTTAAATGTAAGTAACTAACCAACCAACCAACCGTAGCCGTAACCATTACGTGGTACTCACAACTGCATAACATGATAGCCTAATCAAGGCACATTGGCTGAGACTTGTAAGATCCTACCAAGTCAGGTATGTCGACTGTAGAGAAGCAAAATCAATGTCCAAAAACTAAGTTGCACAGCCAACTGTACTAGACTGTGACGGCAGTACGGGATTTCCAGCAAACAAACAGACTTTCAAGCGGCGCCTTTTTACCACAACAGACAAAAGGTCACTAACTTCTAGCCTGAACCATGTTGGTAGATGCAGACTACTTGGTTGAGGTCCGTGTGACTATAGTAACCAATGGCTGGAGACTCCGAGTGACATCATGGGACTAACATAAATAATACTCGAAAAAAAGTCGTATATAACAGGACTTAGGCAGTTATCTGTCGAAATTTGCGACTGCGCTCCCAAGCGGCCAAAAACATGACTACCCCAGTATCCTTTTCAGATCCATCAAGAAGTATCCCTTTACGTTGTAGGAACCATAAGCTGAGAGCTCCCTTTATACCTTTAACAGCACTTAAGATCACCTCTTCATCACATGTTAACTTAAAAACCAATAAACATGTATTCATATCAACCGGGGTTGCTTTGAGTTAAGAAGAATGGCAATACGGTCAATGGATGGGAACTTATAAGGTTGCTTTTTGGTCCCTAAAACCAAGCATTTTTTAAACCTTGAACAATCTGTTAGTCGTCTATAGATTTTACATACATTTTGTCTTATTTGTTCATGATTAAATGTTCTATTAAAAACCAACAATTCTTACAACCCGCTTTTTCAGTGGCTAAAAACTAGCTTTACATTCCATCATTTTACGAGTCATTTGAAGCTGTCTATGGGCTTAAGTTTCACCCATTTGCCATTAAGCAACCGCCTAGAAGCCGTATGTTTTTACCTGAGTTGTTGCGACATCAATGTGACAAATTCTCGGTAGTCGCCATACACTTCCTAATAATACACTGTTAACCCCAAACGACAAGTATTAATAGTATAGCATGGACTTCTGAATTAACCAAACACACTTATTTCAAACAAACAACTCTGTGTAATTAACGGCAAGCCTTCATAACAGTTTAGTGCCAATTTAGATGAAATGTAAACGCATAGCTTCTCCTCAGGTCTAATAAAAGGGTTTACTTTCCCCGAAACTGTTCCTTTCGTGAAGAAATCCAAACTGAATTTTTTTGAGACTCTATCTTACGTCTGCACTTTCATGAAGGCGCTTACCTTTTGACTAAACAATTATATACTAGCAAACTCACTTATATTCGCCTAAATATTTAGGTGTAAAGTTGGTTATGTTGAAATCTGAACGAAATCCTCGTTAAGCAGGGACATTATCTTAAGAAACAGACTTTTCCCAAGCTAAGTGAAATATAAGTTAACTGGGAGCATTTTAGTCACATTTTATTACTAAAAACAACTTCAAACTAATGGTAAGTCAAACTAACCTCAAGTACCCGGCGTTCGTCTTGTCCAAAGCCAAATATCTATTGTACAATCGATAAATTTGTTTTGGAGAAACTTATGGAAAGGGTTGAGAGATGTATATCAAACCTACATCCAGTTTCTTGTGCAATTTCCTCAACCTCGGACTGATCAAGTGTATTCGAAGTATTCGCCCCCATTGACCTTCCGCCAAGGTCGCTCAAAGGACTTCATTCAAAAGAACCAGTCTTCTGTGATGAGTATAGTAAGTCTCTAGACCTGTGTTAATCTTTGCAGCTTGTTTTCCGGAGAATTCCAATTTTCTTCTGGAAAGTATCCACTGACGTTACCAATAACAGTTATTCACGTACGATGTTCCAGTCGTTAAATTATATTACCAGTGAGATGTCACTGGGCCCTATCCAAGTCATCCGGCAGTTACGTCACTGAATATCAAACAGTTCACAGATTCTCATCAAGATTTAGGAAAATCAGCGCGCATCAGTTAATTGCACTCAGTGGACTAGCCCATGTTATGGTGGTCGTACTCTGTTCCTCGTACCTAATCTTACTAGCATATTTTCGTGATAAAGTTGTTTCTGTTGTGCAGTCACCAAGGTTACCATGGCATCCGCGTGTAACGAAACGCCAACCCCCGTTAGGTGACGACCGTGAGGTGTAACTTCGATGTTAGCTGGTTTATCGCGCCATTATTGTTTAGCTCGTGTTGTGACTTACTTTGATTACGAGAACACGATTGATTTAGTGAAAACAACTATTACTATTATGATCAATTGTACCTGTGCTTGTTTTAATGTACTTTTATTTAACTGTTCTAATGACAGCCATATTACTACTCCATTACTCTCCATTACTTTTTCCGCGGAATGTAACCTCGTACGTTCGTACTCTTGCCCGCTCATTCCACTTGTACTTCTTTTGGCACGATCTCGGTATTCGTTCGATACCACGAGACCGCCAACGAAATAAATCTGGCTACGTTCAATCTTTGCCTTCTGATTTATTTGGTACGCGTCTCCTTGTAGTGGTGTTCATAGCCAATCTCGACTCCACTCTACACTCGATTACAAACCCAACCTTTCGACACAGATCATTTACGAAAGATGGGTGTAAGACTTCGTGGAACTCTTGAGTAGACCAGCAACATTGCATCCATCAAACATCGAAGCAGAACACATACAATCTCTTATAGATGTCACTTTTGTTGTGTGTGCTACTGAGGTCGATAGACGTTAGTAGTATGTATCATCAATAGAGTGTGACAAACCTTACTGCAGAAGGTTAAGAATATCGAAGAAAAGAGAATGAGAACAGAAAATGATTTTTGTCAAAGTAAAGGAACAGTCCAGCTTGAGACAATCGATTGGCATTTTGCAAATGATGTATTTATTGTATGGTTCTCTGAATTTACTAAGACGTTCTGTAATTTTATGTTCAAATATATTCGGTTATCCTCTCATATGCTCTCTTTCACTACAACTCCACAAACGATTTAATAGATCAGAATGGTCATCATACAAATCAGCAGTGGGGAGGCAGTAGGACATGGTGCAAAACCAACTGGAGCAACGAAGTCAGACATGGAAGTATCTGCAAACATACATCACATTCTATTCAGGAAGATTTTTTCACTGATGAAAAGTCAGTTGAATGGAACTCATCACTATACATCAACTTCCTTGATTATAAGAAAGCATTTAAATGTATGTATAATAAGACATTATGTAAACTTTTTCGACACTGTGGAGTACCTGAGAAGATCAACATTATCCGGAACTCATATGAGAGAATGCACTGTAAAGCCATATATGGAAGACAGCTGACAGGTGTATTCAAATTGAGGACAGAAGTCAAGGAAAGCTGCCTATTCTACCCCTGCCTTTTTATTCTGGTGGACAACTGGACAATGAAGACCTCCACGCCTGAGGAGAAGTACGGAATACAATGGACAGCTTTCATGCAACTAGACGGTTTGGGCTTCACAACTGACCTGGCTATTCTATCCCATACACACGAACAAAGGCAGATGAAAACCAAAAATTTAGTAGAAGCCTCTGTATCATTAACACTCAACATACACAAGGGAAAAAGCAACATCATTAAATACAACACAAAATACTAATTTAATCACACTTAATGGAGAAACTCTGGAAGGAGTGGAATCTCTCATGTACCTGTCTTGGCAGCATCATTGATGAACAAGGAGAATCAGATGCAGACGTAAATATGAGGATCGGTAAAACAAGTAAAGCATTTTACAGTCGAACAACATATGGAACTAAAAACAACCGTCAGTTTATCAATATCAAAGCCACAATCATCAATAAGAACGTCGAAGCAGTTCTACTGTACGGAGCTGAAACTTTATGAACTACCACAATCATCATCAAAATAGTACAAGTTTTTTTAAACAATTGTCTACTCAGGAAATCCAATTTCCGTTGGTCGGATACCATCAGCATCAGTATACTGTGGGGGAGAACGGACCAGCTTTCAGTAGAAAAAGAAATTAGAATAAGGCGTTGGAAGTGGATAGGACATACGTTGCGGAAATACTCAAACTGCATCACTAGGCAAGCGCTTACTTGGAATCCCGTAGGAAAACGTAAAAACAGAAGACCAAAGTGTGCACTATGTCGAGAATCGGAAGCAGATATGAAAAGGTCGAACAGCAACTTGAAACAACTGGAAGGGATTTTCTAGGACAGGGTTGGATGGAGAATAGTGGTGGACGGCATATGCTCCTCCACGAGGGGTAACACGCGTAAGTAATAAAATGTAAGTGTGACCAGACATTGTGACCTGTCGTTAAGGGTTTGATATTTATGGCTAATATTCATCAACAACGAACACTAGACCAATTTAAAAATTGAGTTTATCAATCCAATTTACATAAAACTTTAAAATACTATTAACAATAACGAAAAGCGATGACACTGTCCTCACTGTCTTTCTTTCTAAGCACTAAGAATATATATGGATTACATTCACTCATCGAGAAATTAATATGAGTAGTTGCGATTCATCAGTTTCATCGGCAGATGAACGTTTTTATTTATAGAGCTATTTAAGAGCTTATTATTGTCAACCATCGACATCATTAAACGAGTTTGATGAGTCATTGACATCTGCAGTCAGTTAGTAAAGGCTGTCTTGGGAAATAAATTAGGGACGTCTGTAAATAATTCATTTCGAGCAACCCTCGAATAGCCAGAAAAAATGAACAATTCCGAGCAACGGGGTCTCCAAAATCCTACAAAGTTATCAAGCCAGGCATTTCACAATACTGTGTTCTGGTATCATGTTCTTATGTACAAGTTTTAGTAAGTTCTAAGGGTTGAAGACACATAAAGCTCAACTCTATTACCTGCAGTGTCAGGGCAGCCATTAAAGGCATTTTGTTAGTCAAGGTTTACGAAAATCCATTATACTTGATGGATTATCATATATTAGCACTCTGATTTTAGGGATTTTCGACTGTAAGGCTCTTTTACTACTATGTATACAGTGAACAAGAGACGGAAAAATTTCGATTACTGTATTATTAGTGTGGCTTTTATTGACAAAGGTGTCACTTAAAAGTGAGCCAGTTGTTGTATCCGAAGATTATGTTATGACTAACTTTCGGGAACTATTTGTAGACTGTTATTATATATGTATTCTTATTGCATAACTGGTAAGTAACTGGATCATACACATTTATAAGCTTTCAATTGACTATTGGCTATTATTATACGATTTACTACCTTTAATTTATTCCCAAGCTGTCAGTTACAATCTCTTACACTCATAGTCACTTTTTATGGTATGATTCGGCCTGATTTACTTGTCTATAAACTACGTATGTCTGAAATATATTGTTCGTACAGTAGAGAGTGTTCGTATTACAGACTCAACTGACAGAGCTAGGCGAGAAGGACCAATAAGGATTCAGAATTGACGCAACACTGTTAGTACTGGTTGAAGTGTCATTGGCTTAGCACAAAAACATGGTCATATAAGTCGGTATTATGATTCGCGGTTTTATCACATGATAACTGACAGGGGCAAAATACATAACACCAGTTTTTATTAAATTGGCTTCCCTTAGTTTTCGAATTGATTAATTTTGGTTGCTATGTTTAAGTTGCCTCACTATTCCTTTGTTATGGAATTTTATAGCCGGATAAGTTATCAGACACGGTAGGGTAGAAATCAAAGTCGTTTAGACCACATCCATTCCATACATTCACGGTGATTACAGTGCCATACCGTACATATTATTCTGTGCTATATGCTGTGTTTCTTATCATTGTGATTCTGAAGAAACGAAACATGTCTTGTCAATTAGTGTCTCACAAGTATTTCAGGTGATTTTTCATATGCTATCCAAAAACCTTTTCAGAACTAAATTACAACAATATTTAGTGAAAGCAAATCTTACCCTAACTGGTCTGTTCTCTAAAAATTATGCTAAAGGGACATATTAGTTTATAGATCGCCAGCGTAGATGATCTATGCCGAATGATTGGGGGCCTATTAGAGTTAGACGGGAATGGTGTGACGATCTAGCTAACGTCGAAGTTACACCTCACGGTCAGCACCTTATGTGGATTGCCCCATCCACGTATCAAGGTATTGTAGATGCTTTGAAGACTGTACAGCACGAAGGACGTTATTACAGAAATATATAGTTAAAGTAGATACAAGTGAAGGTAAGACCACCGCCACATGGACCAGTTGATTGCGAACGATTAACTAATGCGCGTTGGTGGCCTTTAAGCTTGACAGAGATCAATGATCGGTTTAATATTCGGCGACCCAGCTACCGGATGATTCGACTAAGGCTTGGTGACATTTCACTGACCTTACAAGTTTTTTGAACATTCAGTTATAGACGGAGTTTGAATTAGTTATAAACTTCATCACTGTAGCATTGAGAAAACCTTTTTGGATTTCTGCCTAAATGTAAATCTAAAATTTCCATATTCACTAATTGATAAAGTAAAATTACCTAGATCAGCTCAAGACAGACTCTATTAGTCGATGATGGCCTAAGAAAAAAGGTACCGAAATCTCCCTAAACTTTGGAGGTGATTTGGTTTCCGAATTACGGTAATCTAAATTGTTGACTGAATAATAAAATTTTTCTGAAAATTATCCATTCAATCTAAATGTTGAGGGCTATGGGTTTAACGTGTGAGAACAATGTTACAACTTATTAAAATACTACTCATAATGTATAGATAGCTAATAAAAGTTTACTAAAATCATTGATAACTCTTACTTCATTTTCAATAGTCAATTGAACATAGGACCTTCGGTCTCACGTGCGAACGCCCAAACTTAATGGTGATCTAACTTTAATCAATTCATGATCTCAATTAAAAACTCAACAATCTCTACAATCCTACATTGATCATTCAGAAAAGTTAAGGTAGAATCATTAAGAAAGGTTTCTACAAATGATTAATCACTGACTGTTAAGCTGTGTTATACTTTTCTGGTCCTATAATACTGAAGAGTTGGTGTTGACCAAGTTAACTGAAGAGTGACAATTGATACGGAAATCGAGTCCAGAGTCTCTGATCTGCTAATTTCGTTTATCTGTCATCAAAACATCATGGATAACATATAGACTTGTGTGGTGTGCGCTATTGATGTTGACAGATATAAGAAGTATGTGTCATCAACCGAAAGTGAAATGCCTGGCAAAAGAAGGTTAAGAAGATTGAATGCAAATACATTCGATTGTCCCCACTTATGTCATCATTCAATATTTTATCCCTGTTTCTTTTTTTATATAAACCCAAACAAAATAATGATGATACAAAAATAGATCTTCAAGAATTACTATGCACACATTTATTAAAGTATAACAACAGAGAACATGACAAGAAACAAAACAAGAACATCAACGAATGACAAAACGATTTGTTCTGATAAGGATACCAAAAAAAAAAATAATTAATATCAAATAAACACAACAAAAACTGTAGTTCAAATGCCTATACACATAAGTGTTTACCAGAGCTAAACAGAAGAATATAGAGACTTGAATACAAATATACAAATGAAGTAAGAAATAAGAATGAAATGCATTTAAAATGCTTCTAATGAATAAAACAATATTGTTTTTATTTTATAAAAAAAAAAGAAGATAAAGGGTATTTTTTTAAAAAAAAAGGGATTCATGATCAGTTTGGGCTTAGTTACTAACTTTTTTTGATATAAAAAATCCATACAAATACACGCACACACACACACGCACACAAACAAACACATTTAAGTAAATGATTCTCATTTACTGTTAGTTAGTAACATGTATAAACAAAGGGGTTCTACACTTTCTTATTTCCTATGATGTTGATCATGTTTAATTCGTTTCTTTTTCTTTTTTCTTCATTCATTATGTAAGAAATGCGATAATGTTACAAAACAAAACAACAAAAATGTCAAATGTAGACAAAAATATTTGAGCAATAAGAGGTTGTTATTTTTTTTTTCTTTTATATATAAAAAAAAAGAAGAAGATTATTCAATACAGGTAAACATAAACCCTCTTCAAGTATGAACTCAATAGAAAAGCAATATGGATAATGATCATAATAATTAAAGGTAATAAGAAAGCACTCAATTATATGCATATGCATATGCATATGTATATGGATACAGGAGAAATGTAAAACAGTGTTAGAATAGCTTTATTGTTAAATATTATTAAATGCAAACAAATTATTGTTTGTTTGTTTGTTTCTTATCCATTAATATCTCTGATTTGGATAAGATGAGCAAATGTGAACATGGAATAAATGAATGAATGAATGGGAGAAAGAAAGAAGAAAGCATTATCTCTATATGGAATAGAAAATGACTTCAATGAAATAAGATATATCATAGGTACCTTAGTTATGTAATCTATCTAACTATTATATTTGGTTACTAACTTGTAATCATTCACTTATATTATTTTTTTTTTTCATTTTTGTAGATATAGAAAACAATTGAATAAAATCAAACAGATGAAATTAGATATTACTACATACATTCTATATTAAAAAAAAAAAAGAAATTTATCAAAATAAGCGAGAGAAGAAGAGACAGAGAGGGAGGGGAAGAGCTAAAAAATATTAATTTTTATTTATTTATTTATTTATTAAAAGCATTGACAATTAAGAAAGACTGTTAATCTGAAAAACAAAAAAATACCCATCTCCACCTTCATCCCCCACCCTCACCCCCATCCTCACCCTCACCTCTTCAACAAATTGAGTTGTTTTTTTTCGCCATAGTTACAATAGTTTCCTATATATATTAGGTTGTATACAATATTTATACGAACAAGCAAATGCATTCAACGGTAATAACTGCTTTTCTCGGTATACAAAAACAATGATGAAATTTACGTTAAATACTACTTATGGTGTTTTAAATAAATAAGAATAGCAAAAAGAAAATAAAAGGTAGACAAGAGTGGTCAATGAAAGTGAAGATAGAAATGAAGTAATAGAAAGAGAGTAAATAGATAAACACATATGCATGCATATGTGTATGCACGGACACGCACACACACACACACACTCACATACACATACACATACACAAATAGTATTACAAAATATAAAATGAATATAGTGGAATTTTCTGGTTGACAAGGATAGTTTTGGCATGTTTACTTTTCTGCTTCAAATGCCTTCATTTTATGTTTTGTGTCGTATGTTTAATTATTTTTTTGACAGCCTATCTCTTGCTCCCACTCTCTCTCTCTCTCTCTCTCAATTGCGTGCTCACACGCGCGATTTGTCATAAATGTCTTGATAATTCTCGGTTGAGAAGACTGAGAATTCGATAAATGCGTCGACTTTTTGTCTGAAAATAAAGTATACAGTGGTATATAACTGAAATAATTGTTAAGAAAATAATGAAACAATAGTGATATGTAAAAGATTTTCCCGACATAACTATGTTGAATTGATAAGAAAATGGGTAATGAACTATATACATCATACAATAACAATGAAACAATATGCAGATGATTGTGATAGAGTTTTGTTCTCTGAACTAGATGGTTTGATCGTGGAGTTTTCATCGTTCTTCTGAACGACATCATTAGCTGAAATTTCAAGTGGAAGTGGTGTTCAATTTTCTCCATATATGGCTCATAGTTTGTCCTGTAAACCTTGATGTTGATTGGTTCTTGTTGACTTTAAACCTGTCATGACAAGTTGTGAGCCATGTATGGAGAAATTTGAACATTTCACTTCTACCTGAAGTTTGTGCTGATGATGATACTGTCCAGAAGAACGATGAAAGCTCTACAACTAAACCATCCGTTTCAGAGAACAAAACTCCATCGAAATCATCTGCTTAAGCTATAAATCTTCTCTATCATCTCGAATTGTGTAGAGGAAATTATACAAAATGCTTATTCCTATTTATTCATATCATCAGCTAAAACATAGTTTTTATGAGTAATCCTTTATTTTCCTACCAAGTCATATAAACTGTTACTTAGTTCATTCCATAATTGCCTTACTGTTATTGTTGAAACTATAAAGGTTAATAACTTCACTGTCATTCGTCTCAGATGATCATTTCATAACACATCAGGATTTCGTGTACGAAAAGAGATTGTCGGGACTATAAGAGATCATTTATGAAATTATTTATGATTTAATAAAGAATTCAGGTGTTTGTGATTCTTCACTGGAATGTGAATGATTCCCTGTAAGATAATAAGAACTGACTATAAAGCTTCAATAATCTATAACCTACCCAAATAATCTATATTCATTAGGCTTTTGAGGGACAGACTATAGCAACAAATATAACTACTACCATAATGTCACCTTGACTTCCTATAATGCTAATTGCATTTCTTTTACTATGTTGATGTAATGTATGCCATGTTCCTTATTACTTATCACTGACCAATGGACTATAAAAGTGAGCATCATGTATATACTAAAGATTAGAATAGGTTACCCAGAAAATGATATATTTTACAAGTGGACTAATTCAATTTTGTTGGATGAGTTTTGCTGAGATAATGATAATCTTGAATGACATTTATCAAGCACTGACTTCAGTCAATGGAGAGCCTCTTTCATTCAAGTATGAAACTTCTTCATAATATATACCTATCAACATGTAAGAGATTAAACTTCGAAACTTTGATGAACCCATAAACATTCAAATCATTTGGTCAGTAACCATTTATACAATTTCATTCACAGTCAGTTTGTGAAATAACAGGAAAATCAATGAGTTATCATCAATGATAACTCATTGGCCCCTGACATAATTGATTTTAATTATAGAACAAAGGTCTAATCGTAACGAGTACGACCTGGTATAATAATTCTGTTCCAAATATTAATGACATGGAAACAATTATTATAAACATATGATATTAAATATAGTTACATTGGAAACGTACTTTTATCACATACTCCTGTTCATCACATGAACCATTATCGATTTCTATTGTAAATAACCAATAATTCATATTAGTCATAACAATAAATAAACATGTTGTATATGATTATCTAAATGTACATACTTTACAATTCATTTGTACATTGAAATAATGAGTGTATATTATGAATTAGCTTAAGTCTATAATGTGAGGTTAACAGTTAAAGCTTAAATTCCTCAATAGTTACTCTCATAGATGTTGTCTTAAACGTGTAGTGATTATGAATATTAACATGATAAACTGGTTGAAAATAGATTCAAAACACGTATTAATGTATAGGTTAGATAGAATTTATAATTGATTGATCACTCGGTAATGATCAATTTCATGGATGTAATGTTCATTTTAGTGCAAATAGAATTCTATCGATTAGATTATAACGTAATCACTAGCCTGACCGTTGCTGCTACTTTAATGTGATAATCGGTCTTGACTATTGTGATGAACCAATCGAGCTATAGTGGTTGGAACAATCGTTTCTCAAAGTCCTAACATGCCAAACAGGTTGATTGAAGAGCGGTAAGACTAAAAGCAACAAACCCAAAGTCCGAAGGCGAAGTCGTACTGCTGACTGTACAAAAGTGTGACGAGAGTAAGGTGTTTCCTTCAGACAACCAGCATGACAACGATGCTGCCTTCCCACAAGGAGGAGTGAGGTTAGAAAAAGTCGACCGTAACAACGCACACCTTGCCTTATCACACGGACTCCCGTCTTCGGTGGTAAGGTCACAACAAGTACGGAGCTAACAAGAGACTTACTCACAAAACGGTCGTGTGTGACCGACCTCACTAAGTTGTTCCTTGGGCATATCGGTCACGCTCACAAGTCACTAAGAACACCCCCTAACCTCATTTCCTTTTCAGGTACCTGGGAAGTGATAACCACCCTCATACCTCTGACAACACTCATGATCACTGTATTCATAATTGATCTCTTCGAAGTTTAAGTGACTCGACGAAGCATGTACTATTTTGATGTGTAAAGTGGTAGTTGGAGATAGTCGATAGAAAACCATGAACCTAGGTTTCATGCTATTTGGCAATTGTCAACAATGTTAATAAGGGAACTGATGCTTCCTGATGGATTCGATCGTATTTTACCCAGCTTGACGGTCAGAGACGTTATTGTTGAGCTATCCAGGCTGAGAACCAAACCCAGTAGAGAGTGTTAGTTATCTCAATATTACAGATACACATTGCAGATGAGTGCTTAGTGAAACAGAAAGCTATTAACTGAATGTCACATTCAGTATGATTTACAGAATATTAGGTGATACCATCGATCAATTCCTCGAAGTCTTTCATGGTGACTACCAACAAATATTTAAATTTCAGTATTTTATAATTGACTGAATGGTGTGAATCATAGATATGTAACAAGTTCAACCATGACACTGGTTAGCATGAGTTCGAAACCCAAATGAAACATTATTTGTCTTAAAATACCGGACACACCTTATTGATGAGTACCAAGAAGTGTGGAACCTAGGTCCACAGCTTTTGTTCGGTCGCACCAACCATGACAATCGTCTATCATAATAGGCCATAAACTCTACAGTATTGACGTACTAAATGTTGCTTTCAAACTTAAATCCTGTATTAGTTTCAAATATTTTTTTACTAATTCTTAGATACTTTACTCTTAAGTTTAGCGCTGCTTACCTTTAACTTGTCGTTTCATTGCATATTTTGAACTTATTATCTTAGAGCTCATTTGTTCAGTCGAGTGTTTAAACAGGTTTTGTGGATTTCGTTCAATGGTACGTGAATTGGTCGAATTATTAATCAAACGTTTTTGTTTCAATTTCTCCAACCGATCCCAACTAGACAAGTCAATTAATTCATCATTAGACGTCGACGGTGATAAAATATCGGACTTTTGATTATCCACATCACTTATACTACTATTATTATTGTTAGTAGTGCCAATGGCAATAGAATCTGTAGTTACAGATGGAGATATATGTTGCGATGGAGTGGATGCCTCATTTCGAGCCAAGTAAAGTTGTAATTCGTTGAAATGATCTTCTTCAGATGTGATCGATGGTAGTGGAGAATAAAGACTACCAAAACCAGACGAATTGGGGCTGATATCAGAAATGCTGAGTTTTGATGTGGATTGTGAAACCGATTGACTTGTCTGATGATCCCATTCAAATAAACTATCAGCACTAACAGTAGTTTTGTGCAAATTCTTCTCTGCGAATTCCAGTTCTGCAATACGTTGACGTTGTTGGTAACGACGCGCATCACGTATAGGACTGGCACAACTGACAACTTCGAATTCAGTGCTACTTAGTTCTTTACTGGAAAAAATAGGATAGGAAATGACTAGTAAATTATCCCACCGGTCCGCAAAGTGAAGTGCTAAATTTAACATCAAAACAACTGTACAAAGAATTTTGATAAACGAATGAATACTTGTAAATGTAAACAAGTTATGGAAAACCTAATGTTTATATTGATGAATAACTGAATAATAACCAATGTAATATCTGTTTAGTCTTTTAGTTATGATTTAATACTGTTGATCAAGTTGCAGTCAGACGGCTAGTCTAACTGATCCAGCACTAAATGTATTATATTGGTTTGTTAGTTCGATGAAGGTATTCAACAACAAACTGTGCTTGATCTGAGTTTTGGACTACCAGTGTAGGTGCACTTGCAATCTTGAGGGGAGTAATGTACAGTGTTATATTCGTACCTTTGTCATTCAACTTCACAGTTCAAAGCGTTACTGCAGAGTTATTCCAGCTCCCTAAATTTAGCTAGAAAATCTAAAATTTTACAAATGTATTGATCCAATTGAGCAATTTTTATAAAATAATTGGAAACCGACATGAACTGATGAGACATAAAACGAAAACAAGAAGGTCCTTATCTCCAAAAGCTGATATCTCACGAAACCATGAAATAACAGAAAGCAAATCTTGATCTATGATCTATACATTTACATTAGGATAAATGAGACTTTATGGTGATTGCGTTTCTATAATATAAAGATTATAATCAGAATAAAGATTAAGCGTTCGCGCGAGTAACCAAAGATCTTCGGTCCAAGTCCCGTGTATGGGATGAAAACTGTTGACAAGTCCCATACTAGAACAAAACATCCATCCACTGCCTTTAGGTTTTCAATGATGGTCTAGCTAAGATCAATACAGAAGTTCAATTGTTAAAATATTAGGATTAATAACTTGTTCATTTGTGTTGAAAAACAATAGGTCTCAACATACACAAAGGGGAAAGCAAGATTTTCCGATACAACACAACATGCAACAATCAAATCACACTTGACGGAGAAGATTTGGAAGATGTAAAAACCTTTACATATTTGGGCAGCATCATTGATGAACACTGTGGATCTGATGCGGACGTGAAGGCACGGATTGGCAAAGCAAGAAAAGCATATTTATAAATGGAGAACATATGGAACTAAAAACAACTGTCTGTCAACCAATACCAAAGTCAGAATTTTCAATACAAACGTCAAGACAGTTCTACTGTGTATGCGATGGAAACCTGGAAAACTACGTGAGCCATCATCTAGAAGATACAAGTGTTTATTAACAGTTGTCTACACAAAATACCTCGGATACATTGACCAGACAATATTAGCAACAACCTACTATGGAAGAGAATAAACCAGATTCCAGTGGAGGAAGAAATCAGGAAGAAGTACTGAAAGTGGATAGGACACACATTGAGGAAAGTACCGAACTAATTCACAAGGCAATCCCTCACATGGAATCCTCAAGGTTAAATAAAGGAGACGAGGAAGACGGAAGAACACATTTTACTGAGAAATGTCAGCAGATATGTGAATAATGAACAACAGTTGTATAGAACTAGAAAGTAAGGCCTGGGACAGAGTGTGTTGGAGAATGCTGGTTGGCGGCCTATGCTCCATTAGGAGTAACAGGCGTAGGTAATTAAGTAAGTAAGTTGAAAAGCAAATAAGCTCCCTAAAACGATTATATTCTAATAGGCTTTATCACTAGTTGATGTAAAATATTATCAATTTATAAAAACTGTTATTTTATTGACTGTAAAGTGGTTTTAAACTGATAAGGTCATTTGAATATTGCTATTCTATTATTCTTATGATATGAACACTCCAAAAACACAAATACATTTACTTAACAACCGATAATAAAACAGTTTTTATTAAAATAGAATTACATAATTATCAAACTATCCAGGAATGATTGAGATTATGAATCGATTTATGTTAGACCACCATTCGAAACATGAAGGCACTGAAACGTCGTTTCGTCCTATTTAGAAATTCCCCAGCAGCGCCCATACACGATCCTGCTCTCAGGATTCGAACCTAGGGTCTTCGGTCTCGCGCGCCAACGCTTAACCTCTAAACCACTGAGCCGGCCGGCATTCAACTGCGTTAATGTCTAATTTCAACCAATCCACAAAATTGTACGACCATCTTCCATTGTATTGAAATAAATAACTGTCTCTACGCGACACGGTTTAGCTTCACTGGTCACAGTTTCTTACAAGAACTCTGAGAATTCCTTCAAATATCTAGTCACTAGTGAGCACATGATAATTATCAGTATAGGGTCGTGGAGATTATTATGTTTTTGATTGAGATCATGAATCCATTGATGCTAGACAACCATTGCGAACTGTGGAAAAGTTTCACCATAGGACGAAACGGTCATCCAATGCTTCCAGGTTTTCAATGGTTGTCTAACATCAAAACTTAATAATCTCCACAACCTCATACTGATATATATATATATATATATATATATATATATATATATATATATATGTATATGGATAATAAAGATTCATTAATAACTTACTCATTTTCATCAATTAATGTAACTGTAATATGTACATCTTTTTTCCATGTACTTGGACATTTAGAATTAAGAAAAGGAAATACTAAATGATAAATATCACAGAAATTATTAAAATCTATATCCATTACTAAATAACCATCATTCATTAGTTTATATGTAACATTATTATCATTTTGTACAGCTTGTATAAAACATAATTGTTCTTGTTTTGATAATATATTTGGAATTTGCATTGGATCATTATAACTACAATAAACAAATTGGAGAAAGAGAAGAAGAATATAATAAGATGAATAACAAAGATTGAAATAAATAATTGAACAAAGTTATCTTTGTTACCAAATTCACTTGGTTTTGTTTTATTTGTATCTTCCTATTGTTATTTAGGACTGCAATTGATCAGTCTCATGTTGGCATATGTGCATCCTGTGAGGGGTGGCCTAGATATAGTCTTAAGTCATAAGCTTCTTAAGCAAAGATGGATAGTGGCTAGCAGTGGAATCCTATTTCGGACTCATCAACTGGATGTACCTACATCTCGGAGTATAAGCAGTACTCGGAAACATTACGGTTTGAAGATGTTATTGATAACTGTATCTCTATGCTAATGTGGTGTGGCAACTCGAACTAATGTACGTACGTACAAAGTTCTACGTTGTTACTGATTGACTGACTGACTGACTGATACATTGTTATTATTTAAGGGATTATCACTGAACTGTTGAGGCCATTAATTATCTTCACTAAAAATAATTTTGTTTAAAATATTGATTGATCACTTATTTGTCAGTAATGTCATTTTCTTCAAACTTTCAATATTGATAGAACTCAATCGATCACAAATTAAAGTGTCTCAACTTCTTACACATTATCTTTGTGCTAGATAGTTTAACATGATCAAACTGTTTGTTAGACATCAATCAACAAAATAATTCATAATAAATCCACTTAGTATAGTTTGCTTATATTTTCTCATTGATGTTTAGGACTACAATTGTTCAGTCTCTTATTGGAATATACGCATCCTATGCGAACTACCTCGATATTGCCTACAGTCATAAACTTTGTAAGTAAAGATGGCTAACAATGAAATCTATGACTCACGTTTCGTTCTATTAGAGACTCGTTAGTTGAATTGATAACATGATATTGTTTGAATCAAATAGTACTGTGTTTGTATCTTGGAATGAAAATCAACTCTCAAATACAGATACATTCAGCTGATCTGTATCAAATAGAATTAAAAATGGATCATAGATTCCACTGCTAATCACCATTCATGTTTGTTTAATAATCTCTTCAAATGATTAAAATTTCGCGTTAAAATCATTGAAACACTTTTAATTCATGTTTAATATTGAAACCCGACTGCTGTTGCTACTTTGACGTGGTGGTCAGGCTTGCCTATCGTGATGAACCAATCGAGCTATAGTGGTTGGAACAATCGTTCCTCAAGGTTCTATCATGTCAGACACATCGGTTGAAGAGCGGTCCGAAGGCGACGTCGTACTGCTGACTGTACAGAAGTGTGACGAGAGTAAGGTGTTTCCTTCAGACAACTAGCATGACAACGATGCTGCCTTCCCACAAGGAGGGGTGAGGTTAGAAAAAGTCGACCGTAACAACGCACACCTTTCCTTATCCCACGGACTCCCGTCTCCGGTGATAAGGTCACAACAAGTACGGAGCTAACACGAGACTTACTCACAAAACGGTCGTGTGTGACCGACCTCACTAAGTTGTTCCTTGGGCATATCGGTCACGCTCACAAGTCACTAAGAACACTCCCTAACCTCATTTCCTTTTCAGGTACCTGAAGAAGAACCTTTCCACGGTGTGGGAAACCGGGAAACGATAACCACCCTCATTCCTTTCACAGCATTCAAGACTTAATACTGAAATCAATGTAGAATATTTATGATCAAAAATATAAAAAACAAAAAGAGTTGTGCCTGTAATTTTTCAATCAATCAATTAATCAATATATATATATATAGAAATATAAAAGAATTTACCCAATAGCCGGTGTACATATTCCACCAAATATTGTAAATGGTTTAAATCTTAATTTAAATTTATGATTTTTCATTAAATCAATATCTTCTTCATTATAATGATTATCATTATCACCATGGTAATTAATTATTGTTGTTGATATATTATTTTTTAATGTATAATAATGAAATTGTATTCGTGTATCAATGACACGTCCACGAATAACAAATAATTTTTGTATACCAGTTTTAGTGATGATTGTCTAAATAAGGAAAAAAAAATTTAGATTATGTTCCTTTTTTTTAGTTTTGTGTTTTGGTTTAGAACACATAAATTTAAAAAAAAATTTTTTTTTTTGAAAGAAAAGCAACGACGGCAGCAACAACAACAACAACGACGATGACGACAACAGCAACCATGACAACCACAACAACAAGAAGAAGGATATTTGAAAGAGAGAGAGAGAGAGAGAAAGCGGTACATTTTTTAAAACGATAGATGGCAACAATTTGAAAAAAAAGATCAATGTGATATTTAATAAATTTTAAATTTAAATGAGTGATTTATTGATTTTTATGGTAAAAATTAAAAAAAAAATAATTTATGAGTTTAATTAAATAGTATATATATATATGGAATATATCAAGTCTCGTGAGGCGGGATCGTGGATATCAACTGTTGAGGAGTGCTACAGTAGGACGAAACGGCCATTCAGTGCTTCCAAATTTTTCATAATGGTTCACAATCAATTGACTCATGATTTTAACTATTAAAATTACTATAATATTCATAAAAACTCCTTCTCATATTAATCAACATATGCTCAGTAGTGACTGGCTTTAAGAGACACTCCTAGAGTTCTAGTGATAAGTAATGACCGGTGGAGTTCAATCGGGTCTATTGTAAGAAAGTAACTCAATGAAAACATTGGTGGATGTGTCTATCAATTTCGTGGATTGGTTGAAGTTAAACATTAACACTATTGAATGCCAGCTTAGTGGTCTAGTGGTTAAGTGTTCGAGCGCGAGACCTGAGCTTGAATCTTGCAAGTCGGGGTCGTGAGTGCCAACTGTTGAGGAGTTCCACAATAGGACGAAGTGCTTATTGAAATTAATGTATCAACTATGTTTTTTTCGTTTTTAAAAGTAATATTAATAAATGTTAATGATAGATCTCTCAAAGAAAATAATGAATTGTGTGGACTGTTGGGATCTATTTATGGACTGATATTATACGCAATATTTTTTTATTGTATAATTGTTATTATAACTAAATTATCTGCATATTCATGTTCCTCTTATTATAAGCTTCCATTTGATGTATAGACTATTATGATACGATTTACCGTTCTTGAGTTATACCCTGTTTATCAATTGCTATCTCCCTTATTCACAGACACATTTGGCTAGATCTTGTGCAAATGTTGTTTCCTACTTCATGGTACGATGTGGTCTATTTGGTTTGTATATAAACTCAGTATGTTTGAAATACATGATTTTATATCGTGGAGGCTGAGATTGGTGTTCTGGTCTCAACAGGCAGGGTTAGGCAGGAAAAAGGATCAATAAAGACTTTAGAATGTTCACACGCCTTATTGCTCCAGCTGAATAGATTGTAGTCTGTTAACTTGGTTAACAGGAGAAATTCAACAAGCATTACTTGTGATTATTCACCGTAGTTACTTACAATTGAACTTGAATAACGTGATGACCTAATCAGGGTATATTGGTTGAAATTTTCATTTGTTTAGGTTTGAAATGGATTTATTATTTTGGTAGAACACTATTACTGTTTGCTATTGATTCCTTTGATTATCATACCAATGTAGATTTTGTGTGCTTTTTTTTCTAGCTTACTTTACTCACTCTGATCCGAACACTCCCTTAACAAGTAAAGTACTTTCAGGCTAGACATGAACTACTACATATTAGATGAATCTACCATAGACTGAAATTAAAAGGTACTACCATATAAAGTAGTTTGACCGGAGGACAGTAAAGCTAAATAAAGTAAAATTAAGGTCTGTGGTATAAGTCACAGTGCCGGTTGTACTGCGGTGTGAAGGAAGTAATGTATTAGTCTCAGATAGGCAACACCCATAGTTGTAGTACGGGGGCTAGAAGCGGTTGACTCACCTAACCTTACATCGTGGATTTTCAGCCATTTATAATGTGGCCTTACAAGTTCAGAGATAACCTAATGAAAACAATTTATAGAAAGACCGTGTGTAATCTGCTTCCTCATAAATATGTGTAAACAACTTGATTCAAGTCAAAAGTATTGATTATTGAATACTGACTTAGTAATTCTGAAGTATACTTACTCATGTTATTTTCGTTCGGCATAGTATAGGTAGGAATTAAGAGTTTAAATATAAAGTTTAATAAGATATTCAATAGTTTAGGCGCGGTTGTTTTAACCAATATCAGTTTTAGTTGACTTAATACTTAAAACAATAAATCTACCATTTGAATACCTGACAGTCATTTGTAATGATTTCTTAGTTTCACAGAAGGTTTCTATATTTTAGCCTCAAACAGAAGGCAAAATGTGGGAAATATGAAAATAACCATTAGTTTCAAGGTTATTCTGGGTACAGAGAATAGAACTATTTTCAGCTTTATTAATGACCTTGATATCTTCATAACATCTGGAAACGTGTCAACATTAGTGACAGCTTTGGTGGTTACCTAATCATAATATGACACATAACCAGTCGTTTTTGTAGAAATGTGTGAAGCGTTTTTGTTGAACATCCAATAGACCAGATATTTGAGCGTATTATCAACTCCTAATCTCTGTAAGGGCTAACGCTTTCTTGTTGTTAGTGTTAAAGACTGTAAATGATCAGTCTCTATCGGTTTATGGACATTCCACGCTAAGTTCTTTGATCTTTCTATTTAGTCACAAGTTTTTATAAAATTCGGATAGTGGTTAGCACGAATTTTGTTCTATTTGGAACCTATCAGTTTGACGTACATGCTTATCAAATAAAATCTATTCCGTTTGTTCAAGCTAGTAACTGTTAAGATCATTTAGCTCAATAGTTAACGAATTTTAGTTTAAAGTGAAAATTACTTCATCAGCATAGAGATTCAGGAATATATAGTTTTTAAATTACAAGTAAAATGAATAGAATACCGTAGATTCAACGCCAGATACTATTTAAATTTATTGGCTAAAGTTAGACATTAACACTGTTGGATGAAGGAGAAGATTTGTAGCTCAGGTGGATGATTTTGATGAAGTTTTGTTCTCTAAACTGTATGAGCTAGAAAGCTTCACAACCAGACTATTCAGCTCAGAGAACAAAACTCCATCAAAAACTGCCGGATGTCAGCTGGATCAGTGGTTTAGAGGTTAAGCGTACATGCACAAGGTTGATATGTCCTGGATTCGAATCTTACGAAGCGTGATCGTGGATACGTACTGCTGAAAAGTTCCATATTAGGATCAAACAGCTTTCCAGTGCTTCCAAGATTTCCATGGTGGTCTAGCTTCAGTTGACTCAGGAATTCAACTGTTAAATCATTAAAAAAACCATTGTTAATATAAAGATTAATCATAAACTGTGTTATTGAATTGGTTTGCTTACACAACTTACTTTAGCTACTTTACCATATTTTGAAATATCTTGATTGGTATTATCTTGATTAAGTAAAAATTTTAATTCCAACTTTCTAAAGTGAAAAGAAAAGAAAAAAAAAGAAAAACGCCCATAGAGAATGAAGAAAAGAAAATCCTGATTAATTGAGCCCCCCCAAAAAATAATTTACGTAAAGATTTGAACCGACCAACAGGGTTTACATTGTTTTTAGTGAATTCTATATGTATAGAATGTTTTATTGAAGGCATGGATCTGCAAAGCAAGAAAAGCATATTTATAAATGGAGAACATCTGGAACTCAAAACAACTGTCTGTCAACCAATACCAAAGTCAGAATTTTCAATACAAACGTCAAGACAGTTCTACTGTGTATGGGATGGAAACTTGGAAAACTACGTAAGCCATCATCTAGAAGATACAAGTGTTTATCAACAGTTGTCTACACAAAATACTTCGGATACATTGACCAAACACTATCAGCAACAACCTACTATGGAAGAGAACAAACCAGATTCCAGTGGAGGAAGAAATCAGGAAGAAGTACTGGAAGTGGATAGGACACACGTTGAGGAGAGCACCGAACTGCTTCACAAGGCAATCCCTCACATGGAATCCTCAAGGCTAAACAAAAGAGGAGAGGAAGACGGAAGAACACATTTTGCCGAGAAATGTTAGGAGACATGAGAATAATGAACAACAGTTGTATAGAACTAGAAAGTAAGGCCTGGGATAGAGTGTGTTGGAGAATGCTGGTTGGCGGTCTATGCTGCACTGGGAGTAACAGGCTTAAATAAGTAAGTTACTATAAATAAAGTTGAATCAAAGGTTCGCAGATTTAGGTTTTATAGGCAATTTAAATAGAAAGAATCAAATATCTAAAACGTTTAATATTTTTCTTTACCACTCCATAATGGTGAAATGAAAATTCACTCTATAATTTAAAACATTTGAATAACTATCCAATGGTATTTTACAGCTTTTCATTTTGCTGGGTATAAGATGAACGTCACTAATTTTTTTAAAAAGTCTTTCTGAATAACCGTCAAGTCAATTTTTCTATTGTGATAGGCTCACTGAAGATAATGATGAACGGTGGCACAATTTCGTGGATTGATTGAGTTTAGACATTAACGCAGTTGGATCCCGGCTTGCTCAGTGGTCTAGATGTTAAGCGTTCGTGCACAAAACCGAAGGCCTTGAGTTCGAATCCCACTAGCAGGATCGTGGATGTACACTACTGAGGAGTCTCATAGTAGGATGAAACGGCAGTCCAGCACTTCCAAGTTTTCAATGGCGGTCAAGCTTTAATTAACTCATGGACTCAACTATTAAATTACTAATAATAACTACAAAAATCCCCTTCTGATAACAATTTTATATTGTAGTTATAGTATAGAACGTTTCAATGGTACTTCGCTTTGTGAAAGAAATATCGAAAAATAGTAGGAATGGATTGACATAATTAGAACGCGTTTATTGTTTACATCAAAATCATCGATCATAAGAAAGGTAATTGAAGTTGTTCAACATTCGAATGTGCTTATGTTTTAAGTAACTAGTCAAATATACAAGACTGTTAATAGTTGATTGATAATGACATTAATAAATTGGTTACACACAGAATGATCTAATGATTATACAATGATGAGTTCAACTTATATATAGTTTGTTCAAAATTTAATTATATAATCAGTGTTTAATCAATCTATTAAAGACTCAATATATTATGATATTCAGTAGTTGGATATAATAAATAGGTAGGCCCAAACCTATAATTCCTATTACCTTACACTCGTTAACAACTTCAGTTATATAATATACCCTTGTGGGTCAGGGTAATTTTACATTGGTTTTCAGGAGAACCAGATACCATCCGGACTTTCACGTGACAACCTAAACAGTACAGCTCAACCCCGTTTAACAGGAGAGGCAGACACCACTCAGGCTTAAATTTTATAAACCGAGCAGTACAACTCAATCCCGCTTCACATGAGAACCAGACACCGTATAGGCTACAATCTGGATAGTACAGCTCAATCCTGTGGCGCAACCACACAGGTACCAAGCACACTGGTGGACCACGTTAACAACTTAGATCTGAAGTTTTACTTGGAACTGATCTTTCATGTGAGACTTTAAATCAGAGTCATATAGTGTAATATGGTTAATGTTGTAATAATCAAGTTATTCAGTTTATTACTATTCTTTCTAAAACAAAACAAAAAAAAGTATCCATTGTTCTCTAGATTTCAAAACCACTTGAAACTAATCTCTTACACCTTTATACTTATATTATATCGATCAGTTTAATCCGTATTCAATATGTGTTAAAGTTTAATATTGACTATGTTACTAACATCATGGTGAACAGTAACACGTTTTAGGGTCATTTATACGCTTGACCTTGAATAACTTACAGTTTTAATCAGTTAACATATTTCTTTTTTAATCAATGATAACCATTTTTACATTCTTATCTCTCAATTAATATGATAATGATCATTGATAAGTGATAATGATAATGCTTATAATGTTTGTGAATTAAGGCTATACAGAGTATGTATGTATGCTAGTAAGAGACTGATCAATTGTAGTCCTTAACATCAACGGGAATATTCAAGTAAACAATGCCAAGTGGATTTAAACCTCACCCTATTGCACAAGCAAGTGACTATCAGGACTCAGTCTTTGCGCCTGTTGCTTCTCGTGAAGGAGCATAGGCCGCTCATCACCATTCTCAATCCAACCCTGTCCAGGGCAATCCTTTCCTATTCTTTTCACTTGTTATTCATCCTTTTCATATCTGATTCTATTTCCCAACGTAATGTGTTATTTGGCCTTCCACTTTTCCGCTTTCCTTCAGGATTCCAAGTTAGTGCTTGCCTCATGATGCAGTTTGATGTCTTGTGTAATGTATATCCTATTCATTTCCAACGTCTTTTAGTAAGTTCCTCTTCATCTGGAAGATCAGGTCTCAGTAGCTAAGTGAATAACGTGATGTCGTTTGAAGCGAATGGTAGTGGGTAAAATCATCTTCCTGACGTATACATCATTTTGACCATCTCGAGTATCATACAGATTTACATTTATCAAAGTACTATTAAAAACTGAACTAGGTATTTAAAAGTTGGTTCAATTTACTTCAGTATTTCTCATTATTGAGTACAAATGATGTTATATAATCTAGGTTAAATCAAAAAAACTTCATGTACAATCTTATCAAACAAACCAACGGATAATATATTTACTAAATATAGATATATTTGATTCAATAACCTGAATATTTAAACAGTTGAGATCATGAGTCAATTGAAACTAGAGCATCATGGGAAATATGGAAGCATTGGATGGATGTATCGTCCTAATATGGGACTCATCAGTAACACACATTCACGATCCCGCCACACGAGATACGAACTCAGGACATATCAGTATTGCGCGCGAGCTCATTAACTCTATCTGAATATTCGCTACATCATCATACACATGTATTGATCCTTAATCACACTCTTATATATAAATATGTCAATATCTGTATTAATGTTGAATTTTAAATAATTTAGGTTGTAAGCAGCTGATGAGAACCTAACGAAATAAAATGAATTCATATTATTCTGCACCAATTTTTGTTCTTGCTCTCTTTAAAACACTAGACCTTTGAACCGGTCGGCATCCAACGGTGTTAATGTCTGAATTCAACTAATCCACGAAATTGAACGACGCATATACCATTGTCTTCAATGAGTTACTATCACACAACAAACCCAGTTGAACTTCACTGGTCATTTCTTCTCACTAGGAGTCCATGAAATACGTCTTGAAGGGAGTCACTATTGAGAATATGTTGATCAATATCAGAAGGGTTTTTGTAGATATCATAGTAATTTCAATGGTTGAGATCATAAGTCAATTGAATCTAGACCAACATGGAAAATCTGGAAGCACTGGAGTTCTAGTGAGAAGCAGTGAACAGTGAAGTTCAACCGCGTCAGTTGTGAGGCAGTAACTCACTGATGATAATGGTGGATGTAACGCTCAATTTCGTGGATTAGTTGAAGTTAGACATTAACACCGTTGGATACTGACCACTTCAGTGGTCTAGTGGTTAATCGCTCGTGCGCGATACTGATATGTCCTGAGTTCGTATCTCGTGTGGCGAGATCGTGGATGCGCACTACGGAGGAGTCCTACAATGGGACGAAACGGCCATCTAGTGCTTCCAGGTTTTCCATGATGGTCTAGCTTCAATTGACTCATGATCTCAACTTTTTCGATTGCTACAATCTCCACAAAACTCCTTCTGATACTAACCTGAATATCATTAATTATAAGTAGCCACTTAAATATTGATAACTTCTCACATAGTAGCTTGCTTCATATTCATCTGATAGAATCTAGCTAATTAATGTATACATTCTATCAGTGGAATTATAGTCATATTTTAAATTGCACCTTCCTTAATCAAACAAGTCAACCTCCAGCTGAGGTGGAAATCATGAAAAGACGTTGGAAATGAATAGGATATACATTACACAAAACATCAAACTGTATCATGAGGCAAGCACTAACTCGGAATCCTGAAGGGAAGCGGAAAAGTGAAAGGTCAAATAACACATTACGTTGGGAAATAGAATGAGATATGAAAAGGATGAATAACAAGTGGAAAGGACAGGAAAGGATTGCCCATGACAGGGTTGGATTGAGAATGGTAATGAGCGGCCTACTCTCCTTTTTGAGGAGTAACAGGCGTAAGTAAGCAAGTAAGTATCCATTCAATACAACATAGATTGTCGTTTACTCCAAATAAGGGTTAATACATAGTGATCATTTTCTCATCAAACCCTTACTACTAACTTCCTATCGGTTTTATATATCATCAGATTACTCCTACACTTAAACCATACAATAGAGAAATGAAATGAATTAAGTATAGAAGCTTTACCTAAAGGTTTATTTATGTAAATAATCATTCAATCAGAGGTTAACACATAATCTGTTAATTTTCTAGAAAGTTTCGTAGGAAATTCTATTCGAATGATATGATTACAGCTTTCTTCTGACTTTTGAATAACTTATTGAAGAATTCCTCTGAAATTTAACACATATTGAACTACGAATTAATGTTCTCATACTGTGGTGCATACTACTTATATCGATGTAAGTAGTATATGACGCGAGTTAAAAACGCAATGTCTCGCAGCAGAAAATGAGGAAAGGTCAAGAAAGGAAGAGTGACAATGTGAGACAATGGATTGATGTTTGCAACAGAAACAGTCCAGGTTGATATGATGAAATGATATTTTGCAAATTAACTATATGATTTTTCTATTTTACTAAGTAACTCTGTAATCTTGTGCTAATTTCAAGTCGCTTGTCCTCACCTGTGTTCTCCTTCACTACAATACTTTCATAGTCAGAAAAACTTCAACAGTTCTCCACATGATGTAAGACAATAGGTATCATTATGTTATCACTGATCTACATGTATGGATTCACAGAACTTAGCAATAAGTCACATCGTATTGGGAAAATTAAATCAAATTCTCAACCATAAAGAAACTTTCAATAAAGATCTGACGTATAAGATGATGGAGAAGATTTGTTGCTCAGCTGATCAACATCAAAGTCTATAAAACAAGCTCTGAACCTTATATAGAGAAGTTCGAACACTTCACTTCTACCTGAAGTTTGTACTGATGATATCGTTCAGAAGAACAATCAAAATCTCACAACTAAACCATCCAGCTCACAGAACAATACTTTATCAAGATCTGAATAGATCACTATAACTCAAACACACAAAGATGAGGATAAAGTAATCAAGACAGAGTGAATGAGTAAGTGAGTGAGTGAGTGAGTGAGTGAATGAATGAATGAAAGAGGATAAGATTAATAGTATTTCATAGTGGAATATTAAAGTTTTATACAATTTGTAATAAACTGAAATTAAACTTAATCTACCATTTATTAACCCCTCCCTCAACCCTCCCCCCTCCATAAAAAATCAATATTTTCAATGATCTATTTATTCACAATAGAATAATCAATACGCATAATCTAGATATTTTGGTTAACATTTTATTGATCATTAAAATGTAATTTGGATCAATAAAATCATTACTAATAATAGTAATAACAATAATAATACTTATTATTATTGATTGTTATTGATTATTATTATTATTGATTATTATTATTATTGATTATTATAACAATATTGATAATAAGTATATGAATCATATTATATGTAAACAATTTTGAATTATTTACGCTTACTGATTATGTATATGTGGATAAAGCCAATTACCCATAGCTAAACTATGCACATACAATAAACACTTAAATATATATACAACTTTTAATGACTTAATGATGATATATTATGAAAATAGATATACAATATACCGTTGTGGGTCAGGGTAATTGTATATTTGGTCTGCAGGAGAACCAAATACTATTCAGGCCTAGAATTTATAACCTGAGCAGTATAGCTCAATCTCATTTCATAGGAGAACCAGACATCATATTAGGTAGGCTTTAACGTTAACATCTGAATAATACAGCTGAATCCTGTGACACAACCACACAGATATCAAACATCCTGGTGAACCATTCGCATATACATTCATATACACATTCATGTTACATGTATAGTTATTCGGATCAATGATCGAGTGAATCAATTATATACAGAATGAACAGACTAAAGTTGAGTTATTCCGTTTGCCGAATCATCGAAAATATCTATAATCACTCACGTGCAATTGAGTTTGTTCACATTTAATTCGGTTACACCGTTTTGTTAACTTATTTAACAGATAGAGTCATTCGTACAATAACAACTTATCTATACCATTGTGTCTTTATTACCGTTGCGAATGTATGAACATGTATGCTTGAGCATTTACTTACTGCCTAAGCATTTATTCACGCTGCTAGCCTTACTACTAACCGCTAAATTGATTCGATGATTCATTCATTTCACTATGTATATATATATGCCCATGTTATTCATCTTCGCTGCTCTATCTCGTCTAACTGTACTCGCTTACTCGTACTCATATTCGCTGACTCACTCACTCGCTCGCTTGCCTGCTTGCCTTTCGGCACAACTCTTTCATGCTTGTTTAACGCACTTGTAAATATGGATATCTGTGTATGGTCCCATAATAAACGTAATTAACACTTCATATTCGCCTTCTGATTAATATACTGTTGGGGTGTTATCTAATGACGGTTATCAAGATGAACTATATATACGAAGTTTAAGGATTATATGGAATACCAAGCACTACATATCAATGATGAACCTCCAATATCATATAAGATTATCAGTTCTACAATAGCAATATTATGAAAATGTTACATACCCTTTTGATAACTTTGAATTGATTTGTTTACCTTCTTGTATTTTGTTTACATTATTACTATTATTATTATTGATTTTATCATTCATTTGAAGTGTAGAACATTCAGAAGGAGTATTATCATAGGAACAATTTATTCTACAATTATGTTGTAACATTGAATTCTCTATAGAACTAGGCAACTCTTCATATCTTTTTAATAATGAATTCATTCGATGTATATCATTGAAATGATGATATGAATTAGATTGATTTGAATCTATTCTATTATGATTGTTATTTAATGTGGATGATAGAAATGAAGAAGATTTTGAATAGTGTGATACAGTTGAAGAATCATTTTCCCCATGATAAATATCGAATAATAATTCTTTAATATCATGAAATGTTTGTCGTTTACCTAAATTAGAAGTGGAATTGACTGGAGTCTAAAAATATAAATGAAGAAATAATATTTGGTCATATGTGATTGATTAAAGTAGTATGTAAATAAGAAATAGGGAGAGATATGTTTCTTGATGATGATGATGATGATTGAAAAACGATGTTACTGTAGGTGAATAAACCTCCCTAATATACACCAGCTTTGGATTTAAGCCATTAGACAATGTAGTTAGCATACATAGGTCATTGTAGAGAACAATGAAACTTGGTCGATAGCATTCGATCTACACTAAGAAGGCCTTGACATACATGACATTAGACACCGCCCTAGTGATTAATCAATTGTGAATACATTTCAGTTATATACAGGAGGTTGGTCGTACCCTTGATAGCCCATTGGTAACGTCTCTGACTGTGAAGCTAGGTAACATGGGATCGAATCCGTCAGGGAGCAGCAGTTCCCTCAATATTACAGGTACACCTTGCTGACGAGTGCCAAGTAGCACGAAACCCGGGTCAAGGGTTTCCTGTTGACTACCTCTAAACACCATCTAACAGTATGATATTCTCCAACATATTTAGTTTATTATGTCGAAGGAATAGCTCATCTTATTATAATCACCACGGCACTATTGAATTCTATTAGATAAGTTTCTTATAACTATCCTTCGTATACTAACAAACTACAAGAAAACATTTCAACGCACATAACCTAATGAAGGCATTCTATCGGCCTAATTAACAGGCATTACATAATGCATACAATACAATAACTTGATATAAGATGGTGGTTGAATGTAGTCAATAGCAAACGCTAGACCCGGGTTTCGTGCTACTTGACACTTGTCAGCAAGATGTACCTGTACCTATTAAACTGTTTGCTTGTTTTTTTCATCTAAAATGTTTAGGTCTATTCATACAAAGGAGTTGAAGATCGATTTTCTTGGCTAATGATAATTTATTATATGACCTGTCCTCATGTTTACTATCTTCTGGAATAAAGGATTCAAGCGGAAACTCCAACAAAGTTTATAAGGTCACGACCAATCACCCGTTTATCGAATACTTATTTTCCCATCAAATCAGTAACTAGTGGAACTCTTTATATATAGTTTAGGCTCTATCTGTCAATACATTTAACAACAAAAACAAACGTCGAATCAACTGAATGACCATCATATCCAGGAATACCACAGATTATCCAGCTTCCTATTCTTCTCAAACTAAAACTGAAATTAACATTATTTATTGAATGTTTCCAATCAAAATCATGCTTTGATTGAATTCTGTCCACAATAAATTAGTTGAAAGATGCAAGTACTCAATAGTATAAAAAGAAAGTATTTTAATATAAATTGTAACTAACTAATTATAGTAATTTAATAGTTGAATTCATTAGTCAAATAAAGCTAGACCACCATGATAAGCCTGGAAGCACTGGATGGCCGTTTTGTCTTACTGTAGGTCTCCTCATCAGTGCGAACCTACGATCCCGCTTTGCGATATTCGAACCCAGGACCTGTCGGTCTCGCGCGCGAACGCTTAACCTCTAGACAACCGAGTCGACCGGCATTTAACAGTGTTAGTGTGTAACATTAACCAATCCACGGGAATGAACCACCGTCTACAATTGTTATCAATGAGTCACTATGTCGCAACAGACCCGGTTGAATTCCACTGGTCACGGCTTCTCACTAGAACTCCAGGAGTGTCTCTTAAAGTCAGTCACTAGTGAGCAGATGATTATTATCAGAAAGGGTTTTGTGGAAATTTTAGTAATTTCAATAATTCAAATCATGAGTCAATTGAAGCTAGATCACCTGGAAGCACTGGATGGCCATTTCGTCCTATTTTATGATTCCTCAACAGTGCGCATCCACGATCCCACCTCCCGTGAGATTCGAACCCGAGACCTATCAGTGATTAACTTTTTGTCATTTGAAATGATATTCATTAAGATAAAAGATGAAAAATACATATCAGTTTATATCATTAGTCAATATTTTAATCTAATAATCAACTTACTTGTAATTCAGATGAAAAATACTGATCATTACCAATTTTTTTCATTATTGACATTGTTACATCATTAATATTTGTATTGATTGTTGAATTTATACAATTATTTCCATGTAAATGTTGATTCTGTTGATAATTAGATAGATGAGAATTGAAATAATGAATATCATTGTATTGTTGTTGTTGTTGTTGATGATGTATAGTATGATTTGATTGGTATTGTGGTGGTGGTGGTTGTTGTTGTTGGGGGTGGTGGTGCTGTTGTCGAGATTGTTTATTTATCTCTTGAAATTGTTCTCCCCCTTCTAACAAATTATTATTATTCTGATGATAATGATGATGATGATGATGATGATGATTATGTAATTCACTTGGAGACAAATCATAATCTAAAAAGTTAGAAATGCATGGTGTTTGTAATTCGAATTCTGTTTGTAAATGATTTTGTGCCATAAATGAATTTGTTTTATTCATAATTTCTAAATAATTTGTGCGTATAATTTGATAAATAGATCGATCAATAAAAATAAACAAGAAAGTGAGTACTTGCAAAATGAATAGTTTCTCTTCTTTTTTTGTTTGTTTTTGTTTTCCCGCCCTCACACCCGATAAATGCAAATGTATATTTATATGTTGTTACGTATCTTCTATATGAATAAAATCTGTTTCAATGTAGTACTACTAGTAGTAGTAGTGGTAGTAGTAGTGGTAATAATAATAATGATAATGATGATAATATTCTAATAGAAAGACACTAAGAAAATGCAGTTGGCTTTTATACATGAAAAAAAATTAATTGAATCACAATTGGGAATTACTTCTTGAACTAAAGAGATTCATCTAAAGTACAAATAGAAGAAAAAAACAACAACAACAAAGTAAGTGATTAAACTACTTTATTTCAGACTAATAACAACAGAAATGTTATTTATTTTATGAGAAAATCCATCTTTTCTTTCAGATTTCATTACAGATTGATATGAGATATGTGATTAATCTACTTACTTACTTACTTACTTACTTACTTACTTACTTACTTACTTACTTACTTACTTACTTACTTACTTACTTACTTACTTACTTACTTACTTACTTACTTACTTACTTACTTACTTACTTACTTACTTACTTACTTACTTACTTACTTACTTACTTACTTACTTACTTACTTACTTACTTACTTACTTACTTACTTACTTACTTACTTACTTACTTACTTACTTACTTACTTACTTACTTACTTACTTACTTACTTACTTACTTACTTACTTACTTACTTACTTACTTACTTACTTACTTACTTACTTACTTACTTACTTACTTACTTACTTACTTACTTACTTACTTACTTACTTACTTACTTACTTACTTACTTACTTACTTACTTACTTACTTACTTACTTACTTACTTACTTACTTACTTACTTACTTACTTACTTACTTACTTACTTACTTACTTACTTACTTACTTACTTACTTACTTACTTACTTACTTACTTACTTACTTACTTACTTACTTACTTACTTACTTACTTACTTACTTACTTACTTACTTACTTACTTACTTACTTACTTACTTACTTACTTACTTACTTACTTACTTACTTACTTACTTACTTACTTACTTACTTACTTACTTACTTACTTACTTACTTACTTACTTACTTACTTACTTACTTACTTACTTACTTACTTACTTACTTACTTACTTACTTACTTACTTACTTACTTACTTACTTACTTACTTACTTACTTACTTACTTACTTACTTACTTACTTACTTACTTACTTACTTTCTTACGCTTGTTATTCTCAGTGGAGCATAAGACGCTGACCAACATTCTCCAACCCATTCTGTCCTAGGCCTTACTTTCTAGTTCTATTCAATCGTCATTTATTCTTCTTATGTTTGTCTCCATTTCTTGAAGTAATATGTTCTTTGGTCTTCCTCATCTCCTTTATTTAGCTTTGAGAATTCCATGTGAGGGCTTGCCTTGTGACCCAGTTGGGTGCTTTTTTCAATCTGTGTCCTATCCACTTCCAGTACTTCTTCTTGATTTCTTCCTCCACTGGAATCTGGTTTGTTTTCTCCCATAGTAGGTTGTTGCTGATAGTGTCTGGTCAATGGATTGGAAGTATTTTGCGTAGACAACTAACTCGCTAAAAACGCCAATGTGATTACTAGTGCTTACGAAACAGTACTTAATAGATTATTGTTTTAGTATGGTTTATTACTACTCAGTGATATCCACACCATGATTTGACACGGAATTGAACAATAAAGTGTATATTCAAACAGTCAGTGTACTGATGTAGATAAAAAATATTTATGTGTCAGATCCATCCTAGTGTAAATTGAATGCTATCGACCAAGTTGCAATATGGCCACTAGTCTAAGTGATTCGATATTGCGTGTACTATGTTGAGATAAGATGGTGTTTGGAGGTAATCAACAGGAAACCCTGTTGATTATTAGAATTATACCATAAGGATATATAGATAATACTAGTCCATTAATAGATCTCAGACGTTACTCGTAATTTAATCTTCACTAGGATATAATAATATCAAATTATCAATGTCTCAAAAATACAATCCCAACATTTAAATACAGAGTCATATACACAAATGTAGATTACACATTCTATGTGTAAGATTTTAACTAACCAAATCTTTTAACGAATGATGTTCAACATGGAATTTTTTTCTATAGTAAGACAATACAAATAAACTCCACCTGGAGTCCCTCCGGAGGCTACTGCCAGTCCCAAACCCGGATAAAGAAGGAGGTTAAGGCATGCGATTAGTGACCCCATCCCGTAGAAAACTAACTCGCTAAAAAAACTCTAACCAGAAAAAATTATTCAAACCTTTTAAACTCTGCCCTGGAAGTCAGAAGGTCTTCATTTAGAAGAGTTATGACGCCTCATGATGAATGCCGAGTTCCTTCGGAAGTCATGAGGCCGATGCCCCTTCTGACAAACAGATCACCCATTTATTTACGTACATGGAAAGCCCAGGACAGAGTGGGTTGGAGAATGCTGGTCGGCGGCCTATGCTTCATTAGAAATAAGTACAATATAAATAAGTTGTAATCAGATTTATAAGTGATCATTATGATCTTTATTTCAGTCAATAATAATTATCGACTATTAATGCATTATGTAACATAATGAAATATTATTATTTCATAATCATGTTTTTAAAAATTAGTTTCCATGTAAACGTTCTTATTTATCAATAGTAGACAATAATTAACTAATCTATGTAATTTAATAGTTGAACTCATGAGATAATTAAAACTAGACTATCATGAAAAATCTGGAAGCACTAGATAGTCATTTCATCTTAGTATGAGACTGTTCAACAGTGCATATACATGATCTCTCTCTCGAGATCGTGACCTAGGACCTATCGGTATCATACACTAATACTTAACCTCTAGGTCACTATATTATCCACAAAAATTCCTTTCTGATAATAATCTATATAAATTATTTTTTACTCAGATCATGAATTAATCTAAATTTGACAAATATTGAACACCTAGAGCAACTAACCGGCTCAGCTAATCAACAGTGAACATTCAACATGTTGCATTCTGGATTTCAATGAAATTCGACTATCTACATAAATCGTGTACAGACCAAATCGCAACTCTACGGATAATTGTGGAACAATCAATTGAATGGAATTCATCACTCTACATCAACTTCATTGACTACGAAAAAGCATTTGATAGCGTGGACAGAACAACACTATGGAAACTTCTTCGACACTACGGCATGCCTCAGAAGATAGTCAATATCATACAGAGTTCATATGATGGATTACACTGCAAAATCGTGCATGGAGGACAGTTGACAAAGTCGTTCGAAGTGAAGACCGGTGTTAGGCAAGGTTGCTTACTCTCACCCTTTCTCTTTCTCCTGGTGATCGACTGGATCATGAAGACGTCAACGTCCGAAGGAAAGAGCGGGTTACAATGGACATCTAGGATGCAGTTGGATAATCTAGACTTCGCAGACGATCTGGCCCTTCTATCCCAAACGCAACAACAAATGCAGGAGAAGACGAACAGTGTGGCAGCAGCCTCAGCAGCAGTAGGTCTCAATATACACAAAGGGAAAAGCAGGATTCTCCGATACAACACAGAATGCACCAATCCAATCAAAATTGACGGAGAAGATTTGGAAGATGTAAAAACCTTTACATATTTAGGCAACATCATTGATGAACAGGGTGGATCTGATGCAGATATGAAGGCGCGGATCGGCAAAGCAAGAGCAGCATATTTACAACTGAAGAACATCTGGAACTCAAAGCAACTCTCTGTCAAACAACACCAAGGTCAGGATTTTCAATACAAATGTCAACACAGTTCTACTGTATGGGGTAGAAACCTGGAGAACTACAAAAGCCATCATCCAGAAAATACAGGTGTTTATTAACAATTGTCTACGCAAAATACTTCAGATCCATTGGCCGGACACTATTAGCAACAACGTACTGTGGGAGAGAACAAACCAGATCCCAGTGGAGGAAGAAATCAGGAAGAAGCGCTGGAAGTCGATAGGACACACATTGAGGAAAGCACCCAACTGTGTCACAAGACAAGCCCTCACATAGAATCCTGAAGGTCAAAGGAAAAGAGGAAGACCAAAGAACACATTACGCCGAGAAATGAAGATAGACATGAGAAAAATGAACAAGAATTGGATGGAACTAGAAAAGAAGGCCCAGGATAGAGTGGGTTGGAGAATGATGGTCAACGGCCTATGCTCCATAGGGAGTAACAGGCGTAAGTAAGTAAGTAAGTACATAAATCTCATACTTACAAATCATTATTTGCAGATTTAACTTCTAGAGTTCAAGACAGGTTTGTTTAAGTGAAACCACAATGTCCGTACGATATTAGCGTTTTTTTAAGCGAGTTAGTTTTCTACGGGATGGAGTTGCTAACCCTATACCCAACCTTCCTTCTTTATCTGGACTTGGGATCGGTAGTAGCCCTAGAGGGGCACCAGGTGGATTCTTTTTCTAGTTAGCACGATATTATCATACTTTTATTCAAAAGTAGAAATTAAATAGGAAACGATAAACTTATTTGTATTGATCAATTCAATTTGTCTATTATCAAATCAGAACAAATAGTATTATCTTCATCACTATTATTCTCTATCTCTCAACTATTCATTGTAAACTAACTCATTGTTATCAAGTTAATGATTGTCAATAAATATACTTAATCATTATTGATTTAATAAGAGATATATACCTGAAAAATCTCATGAAGAGCCAATACGTTGTTGTCAAAGTACTAAGAGAGAACTATCAAATAAGTTGAATGGTTTTAAAAAGATTACCTATCACTTTGATTGGTATCATTTTGAGAACGACTCAGTTACATATAACCACGAATAATATGATTAACGCATTTCGAAATTCAACGTGAATACGGTAACATTCAACCATTAAGATGAAATTTCATAGTTCACGACTACAATGTAGATAGATACTAATTGAATCTATGTGCAACTAACTCATTTACAATATGATTGACTTTATATTTCCTATTTGAGGAAGTTCGATACAGTTGGTTACTGATGAGTACACATGATTATTACTCATGCAAATTTATGAAAACTGGAAGTGTTCAGATTGTTTGATTTCCACTTAGTGGTCTAAATATATCGATGTTCCATGAATCAAGGCCAAAGGAAAAGAGGAAAATTAAAGAACACATTACGCTGAGAAATGGAGACAAATATGAGAGAAATGAACAGAAATTGGATAGAACTGGAAAGGAAGGCCCAGGATAGAGTGGGTTGTAGAATGCTGGTCGGCGGTCTATGCTCTATTAAGAGTAACAGGCATAAGTAATTAAGTCCACGAATCCTAGTCTCTGAATCGCAGCCTAACATTGACCTATGAACACGTATTACTTAATAGCTTCAAGCTGGATTAAAAGAGTCAAGTGGTACTTCATGGTTTCTAAAAAATTCTCTAATTGATTTCAAGCAATCACTAAAACTATCTTTAAGATACATTTAGGTTCTATTTTCACTATATCCATTCGTTTCATTTCGTTGTTGGATAATATAATAGACATTTCAAACTCACTTACTACTCATGCACTCATATAATATCTAATTCTATGCTTCAAATCAATTTCCCACCTTTCGTTTTTCAATTCAACCGGACTCGAGATTGGTCCATTCGACAGTCATCACTTATTAATCACACTGAGTAATCAAAATAATGCGATGAAACAGTTCAATGTGAAGAAATCTTGCACAGAGTAGATTAATTTGTGGGTTTTACTCGTTACAAATTGATTTTGTTTAAAGCACTTTAGCTCTTCTAGAGTTACCATCGGTCTCAAGCCACGGTAAAGGAGGAGGGTTAAGTATGGAATTGGCTTAAATCACATATGTAGATACAAACGTCCCTATTAGAGCTTATATGATTAACATAATCAATGAATCGATACTTTCAGAGTAAAATGACTTACAATCTATTACGATTTCTCGAGTATATTGACCTATCGGTCTTGATATTAAATACGACATTGAAATGCATAAATTAACACTAACAACCTCTAATGATATAGAATTGAACAAAATGGTTTAGTAATATTGGTGGGTCAATAAGCACTATCAGTATAAACTGGACTCTAATCAATATATTTAGTTCAACATATAAGACTAGCATTCATTTAATAACTTAGTCATTTATACATTCAGTCAACATCATATTTACTAACATATACTGTAGTTATAGTGTATATATCCTGAAACAATGATCTTGAATAAGATCCTATTTATAAATACCATCCAGTACTTAATCAATAAGTTCGTTATTGGATTCATTTGCCAAAACCTCCTCTTTTACCAGGAATTGGGACCAGCAGTAACTCTAGAAGAGCTACAGGCTTCAACTAATGTCAAAGTCACAATCTTCAATAAGAAAGTCAAGATAGTTCTACTGTACAGAGCTGAAACTTGGAGAACTACTACAACCATCATCAAAATGGTACAAGTATTTATAAATAGTTGTCTGCGCACGATACTCAACATCGATTGCACGGGCATCATCAGAAACAGTCTACTGTGGGAGGGGATAAACCGGCTTCCAGCTGACGATGAGATTAGGAATAGACAATCGAAGTGGATAGGATATACATTTGGGCAATCATTTAATGGCATCACTAGGCAATCGCTAAATTGGAATCCTGAGGGGAATCGGAAAAAAGGAATGCCGAAGAACATAGTACGCTGGTTAATAGAAGCAGGTATGAAAAGGGTGAATAGCAACTGGGAAGAATTGGAAAGGATCTCCCAGGAAAGTGTTGGTGGGCGGCCTATGCTCCTCCATGAGAGGTAACAGGCGTAAGTACGTAAGTAAGTGAGTAAGTCTTTCTTGATAATTGTTGTTCTCGTCGTAAAAAAAGAGGGGAAGTTAGGTATTAGACGTTGATTTAAATTGCTCACTTTCATACTAGATTAGATATCCTTACCATAAGGGATTTATGTAGGGTTTTTTCTATTTCATAGTTAACAGTATGAACTTATCTTAGTTAATCAACTAGAGAAAATAAGAAAGTATTACAAACTTAAAATATCACCACAGAACCTCAATAGTAATTAACTATGTGCTCATTAGTGACTATCTTCAAGAAGTAATTCTAGGGATTTAGTGAGAAGCAATGACCACTAGAGTTCAACATTGTCGAGTGTAAGGCAGTTACACATCAATTATATTGGAAGATAGTTATGGGGTACTACGAACTGAATGAAGTTAAACATATATATTCTTAGTTGAGATTATTGAAGATCGTGAAAATCAGATATAAATTGACTTGAATTTCAATCTTAACAGTGGTATGATTCTAGCAAACTACTACCATAGTGAAGCGAGTAAAAGGTGGTCTTGTTCAGTTACTATATTAACCAAGTTCAGGGCATTTTGAGTATCATGAGTAACGGTGCCAGAACACATCGGATACGTTTCTCTCCACTGAGATAAAAAAAGTGTCATTTCTTCACTGGTCTGTGTTAAGATCTCATTTGAGTGCGTTCATCACGTCAAAAACCCTGGCTGATGAAATCGTAGCACGGATAGAAATAGCTCATTGAAATTTTTAGTAGTTCCTTCATGTGTGACATAGGTGGCATATAAGTCACCCTGCAAAATGGTCAGTATACTGTTTACCAAATGACGCTGTATCGCTTTCTGGCTGTTAAAATGAATGACATGATAGGTTGAAAATATTCACTCATATATGTCATCTGAGCACTGCATATAAGTGATCGAATCACGGTGTTTGTATCTCTACGGTTTGGTATAGGGTTCCAGGAAGAGTTGTGAAATAGGCTGATGAGCCCGTGAATTTTCATTACGTAAGATGTCTGAGATATATTCTATCAAACCGAATCCTCCTGTGACGCGTACTATCGGTTAGCATAAAGGTACTTTGAAAAAGAAAAAACAACAATTGTTGTTTTAGCTTTACTCAAAATCGATAATTCCAGGAAGAAACAACTCGTTTTAGTTTGACCATGTGCATTCTTATTTAAACTTGTTCCTAAACCAGTAAACAAAGCTGATGCAAGTAGATGGTACTTTCTTACTTAATTTCTTACTTACGCCTGTTACCCCTCATGGAGTATCATAGGTCGCTTACCAGTATATGTGGTTGTTAGCCTTACATAATATATGTCTCAATCACCTTGGTCAATGAAGATTCACCATCTTATCAATCGATTTGTTACTTCTACTCAGTACTCTGTGTCTAACTTCAGGATTTCTTTCTTATCGGTACCAACATACTATAGTATATAAGAATGTACAATAATGAAGGGATGTGTACCAAGACAAAATAACTGTTCAGTACACCTTAACAACTAATGACTCGTCAATCGATATCAGTCTATGGTAGAAAGTTATCTTCATTTTGAACTAATCTTAACAATATAGACAAATGAATAATTCAGTTATCAATAAAAGAACTTCTGTTCTGATGCAATCTTCTCAAAAAACAAATTTTTCTGATCTCCAACTCATAGGTCAATGTATCTACTCTATAATAATTATTTTTTCTCTTCTTCGTGTTACACACATTATTCGTATGATATCAAACCTTGATAAAAACTATGAACGGAGTTTCAATGAACAAATTCACGATTCAAAAAGTGTTTTAACACTATTAGGATATATTATTATTATGATTAATGGCTCTGAGAGCGACGGTCCCAGATCTGTACCTGTGTAACTTCTTCACGCCACCGGTAGCTTGGGTGCTTTTGCGTGCAGCCTCAGTGGCCAGCTGCTTTCAAGGTGCTTTACCTCTGGTTGAGTTACTAGCAGTCTTCTTGCTTCGTGCCATTCCGACATATCGAGAGACAATCTTTATTATCATAATATTACTTACTCCTAAAGAATTCTATACTATAGTGACGCTTTTCTCTTATTTTTAATGATACTATAAGTAATGTGAATCAGTGCAGAAAAAACTGGACTCTATTTATTTATTTGAACACAGAGATATTGGTACAAGGGGGCACGAGATACATATGCGCCACACAAATCTCATTTGATATGTGTGAGGGTTGTGATACTGCACGGGTGCCCAAACCGAAGCAAGTGGTTTTTTAAGGGGCCACACCCGGAGCCTTCGACCTGAAGGTCTGATCCACAAGGCAGTGGAGCATCGTAAGGAGATGCAGTCCCATGGTAGTCGGTGACCAACGATTGGTTCATACGCCATTTGTTCACTCAGGATACTGGAGCCCATGTGCACCATTGGTTTGGAATCAGAGTTTTCCAACTCATCTAGGTGTACTCTCCGTGTCCACAAACCCGGTTGCAGTGCCAGACGTTTGCTTTTCGTCCTCTCAATCTCGTAGACAACAGTGATGCCACGAGAAGGCAGTGAGTAAGACTTCCGTGGCAGTGGCTATATACACGTGTCTATATGAGACCATTTCAAGAAGGTGAATGGATTCTCCCCAATCTCGCCAGTACCAGGGCATTTGGAGCCTCTATTCAAACCATTTGATCATAGCAACAAAAACCACACTTATATAACTCTTAAATAAATACACAGATAGAAAATTGAGATACTTACCTTCTCTTTTTCTTTTTTGAAATTTCCTCTCCGTAATTAGAACAATTTCCAGTTGACTTTATCACGACTCTTGTTATTGGTTATGTAGATAAAGAGAAGATAAAATATTGACTACACTCTTTATAGAGTTGAGTTTAGTTTTGTTTATTTTTGGTTGGTAACAATGTTGTCACTTGAATTCTCTCTCTCTATCTCTTTGTTTATAAAAATGAATATCGTAATACTCTATAATGATTGAATGATTATAATGAGTAATGAATAAAGTAAATAACAATAAGAGAACATTTTATTTATTCGTTGATTATTTAGTTCATTTCAATTTGTGCTCTTGTAATTTCTTAGTTGGTTTTGTTGCTGTGATTGTTGTTGCTGTGGTTGTGGTTGTGGTTGTTCTATTAATTATTTTTTACAAGAAAAATAATAATATTCACTATTGTTTTATCGATTGAGTAATTCCAATAAAATGTTTATAGTATTATTATTATTAGTAGTAGTAGTAGTATTAATATTGCTGAGAGAATACATCCCTTTATTTGTGTGTATATCCAAATCTATATAATTGCACAATATCTAGTGTGTGTGTGCGTGTGTGTGAGTGTTTGTATGCACATGGTGTTCACGTGTGATTGCTAAAGGTAATATTTTAACACAACCTTGTGTATTTGTGTGTTGGGGGTGGGTGGGTGGTTGTGTGTAGGTACCTAGGTACCTACTAGTCACCAACCAACATTTACTCCGTCTGTCTGTCTATCTATCTATTCAATTTTTAAAATTAAATATTAGACATGTAATACTATACGTATATATATATGATCCTGGTTAATCATTAATATAATGATAGTTTCTCTGTGCAAATTATTTACACCCTTTTAGTTAATGTCTCTTAATAAATTTATTACTATGATTAGTTGATACCACAATATTGACAATCAGTAGAGTAAAGTTTATTATGTTTATTGTGTAAATGATCAAATAAATAGTGTTACACCCCTGTGTTTAAGTGTATATGTAATATTTTGTTTGTGTACAATGTAATACAAGCATATTGATAGGTCATTATCATTAAAATGATTATTTTATGTTATGTGCTTTTAAAATGAGGATAAATTCTACGTTGTCAAGTTATCTAAGTATACAGTAGTCAGAAATTATGGTTATTAATATCAGAAGGGTTTGTGTAAATATCATAGTAAATTCAATAGTTGAAATCATAAGTCAATTGGGAAGCATTGGATGGATGTATCGTCCTAATATAGGACTCATCAGTAACACACATCCACGATCCCGTCACACGAGATTCGAACTCAGGATATATCAGTATCGCACACGAGCGATTAACCACTAAACCACTGAGTCGGTCGGTATCCAACAGTGTTAATGTTTAAATTCAACTAATCCACGAAATTGAGTGGCACATATACCATTGTCTTCAATGAGTTACTATCTCACAACAGACCCGGTTGAACTTTACTGGTTATCGCTTCTCACTAGAACTCCAAGAAATACCTCTTGAAGCCATTCACTAGTGAGATAAGTTTTCAAGAAGATTTCCAATGCTGTTGAAGATCGACACTTTCTGATTGATTGAGATCATGAACCGATTGATGTCAGACCACCTTTGGAAACCTGGAAGCACTGAACGACCGTTTCGTCCTATTGTGGAACTCATCAACAGTGTGCATTTTTTATATTTTTGTTTATTTAATCACTCAATTACAGATCATTTGGAACGATTTCTATTACAGAATTAACTGTAGGCAATATTGTAATTTCTTCTCATCATGACTAAATGTGCTCTACTTGAATCGTTCGTATCATGATAGAGTGGTATTTTTGTCGTAGTAAACTTTACATTTTTTGATATAAGCCAATATAAATAACAGAACGAAACATTCTATCATGGTTTGCGATAATGTGAGTTAATAATTTCTGATAAACTTTGGTTGGTTACCATATGTAATGCCAAAATTATGAACAAGAGTTTATCCCCATCCTAGTTATACTGAGAATAATGCCGATATCCATGTTATTTGCAACCTCATTACATTTTAATCAATGTTGAGGTTTATATTCTCGTCTAAATTAAGGTTTACTACACACAGCTTGTCAAATATAGTCAACAAAACGGAAACTAAGGCTAAGCAGAAGTTTATGTGATGACTGATTCACCAATTGACAGTAAATACAATGACATGACAGGAATAGCGCGTTCGCGCGCGAGGCCGGAGACCCTGGGTTCGAATCCCGCGAGCGGGATCGTGGATGCGCACTGCTGAGGAGTCCCATAATAAGATGAGACGGCCGTCCAGTGTTTCCAGGTTTCCAAAAGTGGTCTGACATCAATCGGTTCATGACCTCAATCAATCAGAAAGTGTCGGTCTTCAACAGTATTGGAAATCTTCTTGAAAACTTATCATCATTGAGTATTAAAATCGTCAAATTATAGAATTTATGACAGAATAGTGATCAAATCATATCTTAGAATTGGTTTTTCATTATTAAAGCACATTATTTTCTTTAAAATCACTTATCCATTCTAGAGATCAGGATAAATATTTCGATGCTTGATTCATTCATAAATACCCCCCCTTACAGTTTTAACATTATTCATGTAGAGATTAACTAAAACGGTAATACTAAGACAACGATTTGATAATCTACGACAACATGATTTCATTATGTGTTCACTGTGAACACAATGAATAAGAAAAAATGTACTAATTGGTGATTATTTCGGATAAAATCTGTCTTAGAAGGAAAAGCGGTTTCATGTAATTTTTTCGTCTTACCAGTCAATTTTCTTTAATTAACCATTCATCCGGCAAATGTTAGTCAAACTTCGTTTTCAGTCGGTCAGTCATCCAGTATGTAGGACCAGGGACATATATGCATCAGTTCAAGTTGCCATACCTCATTAGCACAACAAGACAAATACTGAATTCATAGAAGTAGTTACTTCAATGGTGGTAATATCTAAAAGAAAGATTGGATATAAAGATATAGTACAGGAAGAAAGAATTAGTTCGTAAACGGAAATATATGAAGCGATTTTAATCTCATAGTTTAAGGAAAGACAGAGAGTGTATACACTGACGATATTGGGATCGATTCTGAGTGATGTCACCAAGAGTCTCCAACCATTTGTTAAGATATTCACACGGACCCCAACCATGTAGTCTGCATCTACCAACATGGATAAGACTAGAAGTTAGTGACTTCAATGACTGATGCCACATTTTGATTTGGCCGCCAGTAACTTTCTTTCAGGCGTCTCCACTACCGGTTAGCATTGCATGTCGTGGTAACCGGTGTTCAGGCATACGTAACACGTGGTCCAAACACCTCAGTCAATGAAGATTCACAACCTTATCAACTGATTCACCATCATTTCCTAATACCTTGAGTCTACCCTCACTATTACCTACCCGATGATCTCAGCAGATGCGAGGAATATTTCTAAGATATCTGTGATCAAATATTAGTAACTTACGAATATCTTCTATTCTTAATGGACACGTTTCGCAGCCGTAAAGTAGAATAGAACGAACTGTTGCACATTATATTCGTTTTTCAATAATACACTGAATAATTCTTCAATAGAGTATCGCTTTAATAAATAAATATGTTTGCCTAAACAGGTATATTATTCTATTTCTTACTAATTCAATATAATGTTGATCAATACTCATGTATTTTGATATTTCTAATCGCAAACAAGTTTTTTTCTGTCACTCGTTTACCTTTAATATCATCATCATTATTACGTAATAGTATCTATGTGACATTTTTGCTTATATGCATGATCTTTATAACTTTGATTGTATAAACCACTAAGATCAAAGGCAAAACGTACATTTAAGTTCATTATTTACACTCTGTAATACATGATCACTATAGATTACATCATTAATGATAACAACAATCAAGAATTTGTTCAATTAGTATCTAATCAGCTACCTTAAGTTTTATTGTAGTGAAACTTATGTAATAAACCAATTAGATGATTGGTAGTGATTTGAAAGATGTAAAAAGCTTTACGTATTTGGGCAGCATCATTGATGAACAGGGTGGATCTGATGCAGATGTGAAGACGCGGATCGGCAAAGCAAGAGCAGCATATTTACAACTGAAGAACATCTGGAACTCAAAGCAACTGTCAACCAACACCAAGGTCAGGATTTTCAATACAAATGTCAACACAGTTCTACTGTATGGGGCAGAAACCTGGAGAACTACGAAATCCATCATCCAGAAAATACAGGTGTTTATTAACAGTTGTCTACGCAAAATACTACAGATCCATTGGCCTGACACTATTAGCAACATTCTATTATGGGAGAGAACAAACCAGATCCCAGCAGAGGAAGAAATCAGGAAGAAGCGCTGGAAGTCGATAGGACACACATTGAGGAAAGCACCGAACTGCGTCACAAGACAAGCCCTCACATGGAATCCTTAAGGCCAAAGGAGGAGAGGAAGACCAAAGAACAAATTACACTGAGAAATGGAGACAGACATGAGAAAAATGAACAAGAATTGGATGGAACTAGAAAAGAAGGCTCATGACAGAGTGGGTTGGAGAATGCTGGTCAACGGCCTATGCTCCATTGGGAGTAACAGGCGTAAGTAAGTAAGTAAGTGATTAGTAAAAAACCCTGAACCTAGTTTTTGTACTATTTGAAACTCCTCAACTAAGCACACCTCTATTCTTTGAGGTTCAATGATTACTCAGTTGCTAGTATCTCGGTCTTACAGGAGGTTATTTTCAGGGTGAATGACTCAGTTGTAGGATCCCAGACTGTCATGCTATGAGTGGATTGAGTTCGTATCCCAAAGGAAATATCAATTTTCTCAGGATTGCAGATACACCTTGCTGACGAATGTTAAATGGTATGAAGCCTGTGTGAAGCAAAATACAATTACCTGTAGTATCTTCAACCTTCTTTTTACAACTGAAATATTGTAGTTTTGTAATTGATCTGAAAGTGTGTGTTTTTCAGGGGGGGAGAGTGGAAAGATTGTTAGAGAACTATTATAAATTATTTTTCTATTAAAATAACTTAGAAATTAAATGTTTCCACGAACAATAATCAGTTAGTCACTTAGTGACTGAATCAGTGTAAGTGGGTTGATAGGTGTCGGCTGATAAGAAAGTATAACAAATTAGAATAAAACAATAGTCTAATTCGTTTTTCATTTTCAGTAATTCATCAGCTGATGCCTATTAATTTTAAAAAGTTACCTTTAGGAAATTGATTACTTATAATAGGCTTCTTGATTGGATGTCAATTATGAATAAATTGCAATCCTCTGCATGTATTATTATAAGAGGATCAATGACATTGTTTGTTGTTCTTCTCTCAGTTGTAGATGAGAGTTTAAAGGTTTGAATAATTTTTTTTTCTGGTAAGCGTTTTTTTAGCGAGTTAGTTTTCTACGGGATGGGGACGCTAACCCCATGCCCAACCCTCCTCCTTTATCCGGGCTTGGGACC